GCTTTGCTCTTTTTCTGTAACACTACCGTCCGTTTACCTGGTGTTTACGTTTACCCTAATGTCGCCACACACACACAGCTCCTCATGTGGTACAGGTCAAAGTCTTCGCATGAACTGCAGTCAGTATAAACACACAGCTGACAGCATACGACTACAGTTCTGACTTCATTTAGACCGGAAATAGCTTGGAGACTGAAATGCCTTGAGACATATAGTCTCAATCTCAGACACACACACACACACACACACACACACACACACACACACACCCTACCTCTGTGACGTGGATGAGTGGGATGGTCGTGAAGTACTTCTTCATCTCTCCTCTTCCTCAGCGTTAAGGGTCAGAGTGTGTGAAGTCAAAGTTCATTCCTACGAGCTTCAGAAGACGCTCAGTGATCATCAAAAAGCTGGCAGCCTTTTAGAGGAACAGCCACTGGGGGAGGAGTGTGTGTGTGGTTTCCCTCTGGCTCTGGTGAAAGCCCTTCCTTCCTGTCAGTGGAGATAAAGATGTGCTGTCACAAGGCCCGGCTCGGACTTCCCTAACCAACACCCTAAAAATCCAAGGATACACTCCTACACACACACACACACACACACACTCTGAGCCACTGTTCCCTTCCGCACCAGGTGCTACTGAACTGCTGTCAGTCTGCTGTCTTGTTCTGTCATGTCCTGAGGTGCGTTCAGCAGTCTGTTCTGTACTGTTCTGATCTGCATGGTTCTGCCCTGTTCCTGAGTTCCTGAGGGGTTGGGAGAGACGCCCTTATAAGGCAGTAACCAGCCCCAGCCTGAGGTCTCTGATTCTTATCACCCTCCCCCTCCCTCCTTGGCCCGCCCAGGCACGCTTCATCACAGCAATCATTCATTACCTCTGAGGCCAATCAGCAACCAGAACAGCAGGCTGAGAGGTAGTAGGGATGTCCCACAGGTTAGGAGAGGGAGGGAGGGAGGGAGGGAGGGAGGGAGGGAATACAGGACCTCCATATACTGCTGTCAGTATAGAATTGGTAAAGTTAGTGAAGTAATCTCTCCCCCTGCTCTGTCTCAGTGGTGAATACGTTCAGACAGAGACGTTAATCTGCACAGCCCTAGATAACAGCCGGCCCAGGCCTCTGTGTGTGTGTGTGTGTGTGTGTGTGTGTGTGTGTGTGTGTGTGTGTGTGTGTGTGTGTGTGTGTGTGTGTGTGTGTGTGTGTGTGTGTGTGTGTGTGTGTGTGTGTGTGTGTGTGTGTGTGTGTGAGAGTGTGTGTGTGAGTGAATGTGTGTGTGTCTCAACGCAACTGGGCTCTGCTCCCACTCCCACACATATTCAAATATACCCTCCCAACTATCATTCACTAAGGCTAAGCCCACTTGTCTCTGAGAACCATACAGTGTGTCCTTTTCTCCCTGTCTCTCTCAGAGCCAATTAAGAGCTGAGACACACAGTGGAGGTGAACACAACAGGGCCAGAGGTATTTTTACAGCACTGTGCTCAAGAGGAAGTCTAAAGGCCTGAAAACCCTACAAATAAAAGATTTGACGCCCCGCCCCCTCTCACCCATTAAACATCTACAGCGTCGGGAGGCTTGTCTCCCTGTCCAGGAAATACAACAGACACATCATATATCATCTCCAGAGGAATACAGACATGAATAAGATATGGAGAGAAGGAACAACAGAAGAGACAAAGTTAGGAGTGGGGGAGGAAGGAGAGTATAGGGGTGATAAGGAAAGAGAATGAAGCAGAAACAGAGGGAGTGAAAAGAAAAGAGGGAGTATGCTCAGAAGGGATAGAATGGACAGACAGACAGGTGGTGAGATGAGGGAAGAGGGATGAGGGTACCAGGGGGCAGAGGGGAGAGGGATGCATCTGCTCTAAAATGAGCCCCTATATTCCCTCTGGTGCCCAGCTGGCATCACCACCAACACAGCTGCCACCTCATTATACACACACACACACACACACACGAAGAGGAATAGAGAAATTGGAAGAGAGAGAGAGAGAAGAGAGAGAGAGAGAGAGAGAGAGAGAGAGAGAGAGAGAGAGAGAGGAGAGAGAGAGAGAGAGAGAGAGAGAGAGAGAGAGAGAGAGAGAGAGATTTGCAGAGAGAAAATGGAGAGCAAGGTGAGAGATGTGTTGAGTGTTCACTGACCTTATCATTAGCCACAAGGAAGTATTGCCATGGCAGTGCAAGTCCTCTCACTTAACTCAGATGCCATTTTACTCCATTTACACAAATGATGACTCAGAGACACTAGCTAAAACACCAGTGACACAGCTCTGATATCCTAAACACACTATACCTAACCAACCAAACAAGGCAGACTCGTGTTACTTTACAGCAGGTTCTGATAAACCCTAAACCCTCTATATTAATCCCTTAGACCAGGGTTCTTCAATTCCGGTCCTGGAGGGCCGAAACACTTCTGTTTTTTATTTCTACCTGGTAGTTAATTGCACTCACCTGGTGTCCCAGGTCTGAATTAGCCCCTGATTAGAAGGAGAGGATGAAAAACAGAGGTGTTTCGGCCCTCCAGGACCGGAATTGAAGAACCCTGCCTTAGACCTTTAGCACCAGGAGCTTCAACCCACTGAGCGACAAGTTGGAAACACATTTAAACACCCTAGTCAATTCAAACACCTTCCAGTCAAGGCGATAAAGCTCTGCCGCAAGGCGCCAAAAGATTACTCAGGATCATTAAGAGATTGTCCCCCGGTCCCCTCCTGGTGCCTATGTGACTAGCTTCCAAATGATAGCCCGTCCCATTCTAGAACTGCTGACTTGTGGCAATGTTATTTCACATTAACAAAGAGCTTCTCAACAACAGCCAAGTGCTCATGAATTTTGGTATAGCTGAGGTGTGAGTGGAATGCCGACTATGACTTCAATTGCAGAATAAATCAGGGGACACAGTGACCCCAGGTGGATGGATCAGTCATTACAGGTCTTCCTGAGAGTGATAGAAAGCATAAAGGAGAAAATGATGTGGCCCCTTTCCAATAACTATTTAAAGGCCCAGTGCAGGCAAAAACGTGATATTCCTGTGTTTTATATATATTTCCACACTATGAGGTTGGAATAATACTGTGAAATTGTGAAAATTATGACAATGCCCTTTTAGTGTAAGAGCTGTTTGAAAAGACCGCCTGAAATTTCAGCATGTTTTGGTGGGATGCAGTTTTGGCCTGCCTGGTGACATCACCAGTTGGTAAATTAGTTACTGGACCAATAAGAAAGATAGTTCCAAACCTCTCTGCCAATAACAGCTAGCTGAAAATGTTCCCCTCCCAACTCAGACCACTCCCAGAGAGTGCTAGCAAAATTCTTGCTTGAGAAATTGATCTTTGCTAAGAAGCAATTTTTCATGTTTATGGTCACAGATTCAAGAATGGCTGAAAAATCACAACAATTATCTCAAATTAACCCTCCAAATAGCACTGTTGGGAGATTTGGAAAACCATTGTCAATCAATCAACAATATAATAACACTTTTAGTAAAAATATGTATCTTACAATCTGTATATACTATGCGATTAGACAGGTTCAGAATTTATGTGAAACATCACAGCACAGTTGAAAAATATATGGCACATGGAAATCATAAGAGGGCGGTTTATGGAGATAGGTGGGATGGACTGAGAGTTGCTGAGGGGTGGGTTTAAAAGCTCATGTTCTATAATAGTTATGACTGAAAACACTATGTATAATGTATAAGTACTATCTATCTAGATATCAAAATATCAAATTACTTTATTATTGCTATGTAACTACTGTAAAAATAAATAAAAAACTAAGCTTATTTTTTTTGTTGACCATTTTAATTGAAAACAATCACAGTATGGTACTTAATTGTTACCCAGAATTGATTTTATATTGAGATAAAAAAGGCTGCATTGGACCTTTAACACACATCCTTCCTTCCTCTCTCCCTTGAAGTAACCACTGAAGTAATGTCAGTTCAGTGAGGGGGCATTTAAAAATGATTCAAACAGCCATAGAAAGGGATAGAGAGACTGACCTCATCCTCTTCCTCTTCACTGACCCCATGGCCAAATAGCATTGACAGCGTAAACCTTCTCATCTAACAGCCCGGACCGCTGGAAGCAAAGGCAGCGTTAGCATACCGGTAAACCCTGAGTAAACAAGCTGCTTCTGAAAATATGAATGTCCTTACTATGGTACAGACTACAGTAGAATAGCTATTATGACACCTACAAGTAGATAAACTGTGCATTTTTTCCAGTGCTATGGTCAAAGATCTACTTAAATGCCATATGAAAAGATTAACCAGGGACTAATACAGTATTTCTTTTCTGCACCACCAAGGATGGTCAAACTATAGTCTTAACTTCACATTCATTTTAGTCATTTAGCAGACGCTCTTATCCAGAGCGACTTACAGTTGGTGAGTGCATACATTTTCATACTGGCCCCCCGTGGGGTAGAGAATTGTCTGCCCAACTCACAGATTGGTACTAGATTGAGAAACACTGCTTATATATTGGATATGGCTATGATATAACTTTTACCTTCAGTCAGTAGTCCAGAATGGGCCACAAGCCGAGAAGAGTCAACTCACCTCTCATAGCGCAGCAGAGTCCCTGAGAGGACAGAGGGACAGGAGCTGGGTGTGAGTGTCTGTCTGCCTGTGTGAATGTGACACCCTGCCCATACTATCACCCTGATGTGATGGTCATCTGATAGCCAGTCAGCACAGACATGCTCCTAGTAACCCCATGTGAAATACTGCAGACTTTTCTCAGCTCAGCAATATCCTGCTGTCTGCAACACACACACACACAAATCAGACTAACACCCTCAGAGAAACTGCAAAAAATATTACCTAATAATCTGCCCCTCAGCAATGGGCCAGTCTCAGTCAGTCTTAAAAAACCTCTCAAACAAACTCATGTTGCTAACATTTTTGTCAGACTCGTGGAGAGCTGGTCATTAGTCAGCCAACTAGTCACTAGTGACATAACAGCCCACAGTTTCACACAAAGACTGAGTCAGTGTCCATATAGATTAGATTTTATTTAGAAGCAAAGATGTGCTGGTGAATGCACACACAGGAAATCACACTCATCATTTACAGAACAAGGTCACGGGTCAGAGGTTGAAAGTCAGGTCGGGTCACAGCTGGGTCACTGAGCCTTGGGGGGCACCCACTCGTGGATCTTCTTGCGGGTGGTGGAGTAGGGCACGTATGCTTGGGCCGAACCACTCACGTTGAACTGGTGGACCTCCGCCAGGAACTTCTTGGGCGTAGGGGGGTGTGTGGTGGGGGGGTTGTCTGTCATACAGTGCAGCCAGCGATGCCTGAGGAGATTTAAGATTGGGAGTTAGCATCAGGTACTCATTTCATCAATAGGCTAGTTCATCAATAGAAGGTTCCTAGACGGTAAAAACATCATTAAGACACCAGTACATCAACTCAATGAGTACTACCCAGATCTGTTACAATTCCATATCCATAACTTTAGGTCAGCAATTTTACTATGAAGGCCAATATCTCCAACATGGCAATGGCCCAGTCACTGAGATAGAGGCAACTCTACCTGTGTCAAACTAAGTAAGATGTATTTACCATTCAGCGGGCACCATGCTGCCATCCACCTCCCACATGGTGTTCTTTCCATTCATCTCTGTAGTGTAAATCACCCAGCGGTGACGACCTGACAAGGAGGGGAGGAGAGGTGTTACTCTGAGTACACTACAGGTCTTTAACAGCCCTCTCTACCACACCTCTATTACTTGATTTCCCCATAGTCTGACCAATCAACCCCATATGGAAAATATAAAATGTTCTACGCTAACTACATTCAGAGATAATATGATGATCCTCACTGCAATACATAGCCTACGGCCATTACTGGTAATGGGAGCAGAGGTTTCGGTCTGTTTAACCTTACCAAAAAAGTAGCGTGTGTCCTCAAAGTACTTGTTTCCATACTTGTCCACGCCAATCAGCGCTCCCGTTTTCACATCATTTGCCCTGTAACAAAATCAGTCACCACAAGTAAGATAACTAGCCAGCTAGTCCATTAGCCCATCCACTAGCACTATGTCTAATTTGTCAGACTGGATAGAGATCAGAGATCACACAATCAAGTAGCCTTGAAACAGTTCCATGTTAAAACACTGGTCTTTTTTTATTCGTTTAAATGAATATTCAACAGAGCGTGAGCTTTTAAACAGAGCAGTGAGTCCGTTTGTTTACCAACTTAGCCAGCTACAGTAGTTAGGACAGGCAAGTTAGTTAGCAGGTTGCCTGTCGACCGGGACCACGCTTATTTCTCTCGAGTAAATGCATTGAAAGTAACGACAACCACCTCTATAGATTACAAAGCACATAATTGTTATATTGCTCTTATACTGACCTGAATAACTGAACAAATAAGCCTTTCACACCACCGTGACCTCCTAACTGTCCCAAAGCCCTTCGAACGACATGTATATACTCCGCCATTTTCAGACGGGACTGATTTGGGCATAGGACACTGTTGTACATGTAAATACATTCGTGCTGAAACGCTCCCTGGTCCACAACAATTCCGCCCATTGTTTCAAGCAGTAGTCTATGAACAGCATTTCAAGCAGTTTCAAGCACTGTTTCTCTTCTATTCTGTGATGACAGATATAGAACACCGTAGTAAGAAAATGCTACCACCTAACTGTCCATTTTGAAGTGTCTCAATATTGAGAAAACAATTTGATGACAGGCCGGGTAACCTATTGTAAATAAAATAAATAAATAAAAATAATGCAACCATGCTAACAGTCTTTTCTCAAGTGTCTCTTACTTGGGAGCTAAATGTGATGACTATTATAGAAACATTCAAGAAGCGGCAGGTAGCTTAGTGGGTAAGAGCGTTGTGCCAGTAACCGAAAGGTCGCTGGTTCTAATCCCCGAGCCGACTAGGTGAAAAATCTGTCGATGTGCCCTTAAGCAAGGCACTTAACCCTAATTGCTCCTGTAAGTCGCTCTGGATAAGAGCGTCTGCTAAATGACTAAAATGTAAATGTAAATGTAAGCTAACTGTCCTGTTTCAAGTCTCTTTAGAAGCTAAATGTAATAACATACCAATTAGTTATAATAACATGCTACTAAAATATGGATAATAGTAATACATGAAAAAAAATACTTACATACAGTGCCTTCAGAAAGTATTCACACCCCTTGACTTTTTCCACATTTTGCTGTGTTACAGATTTTGTGTCACTGGCCTTCACACAATACACCACAATATCAAAGTGGAATTATGTTTGTAGACATTTTTACAAATTAATTAAAAATGAAAAGCTGAAATGTCTTGAGTCAATAAGTATTCAACCCCTTTGTTATGGCAAGCCTAAGTTCAGGAGTAAAAATGTGCTTAACAAGTCACATAATAAGTTGCATGGACTCAATCTGTGTTTAATAATAGTGTTTAACTGCTCAGGGATTTCATCATGGGGCCAATGGTGACTTTAAAACAGTTACAGAGTTTAATGGCTGTGATAGGAGAAAACTAAGGATGGATCAACAACATTGCAGTTACTCCACAATACTAACCTAAATGAAAGAGTGAAAAGAAGGAAGCCTGTACAGAATAAAAATATTACAAAACATGCATCCTGTTTGCAATAAGTCACTAAAGTAAAAGTGCAAAAAATAAATTAACTTTATGTCCTGAATACAAAGCGTTATGTTTGGGGAAAATCCAACACAACACATCACTGAGTACCACCCATTTTCAAGCATGGTGGTGGCTACAGCATGTTATGGGTATGCTTGTCATCGGCAAGGACTAGGGGCGGCAAGGACTAGGGAGTTTTTTAAGATAAAAATAAATAGAATAGAGTTAGGCACAGGCAAAATCCTAGAGCAAAACCTGGTTCAGTCTGTTTTCCAACAGAAACTGGGAGACAAATTCACCTTTCAGCAGGACAATAACCTAAAAGACAAATTGCTTACCAATACGACATTGAATGTTCCAGAGTGGCCTAGTTACAGCTTTGACTTAAACCAGCTTGAAATTCTATGGAAAGTCTTGAAAATGGCTGTCTAGCAATGATCAACAACCAACTTGACAGAGCTTGAAGAATTTTTAAAAGAATAATGTGCAAATATTGTACAATATAGGTGTGCAAAGCTCTTAAAGACTTACCCAGAAAGACTCACAGCTGTAATCGCTGCCAAATGTGATTCTAATATGTATTGACTCAGGGGTGTGAATACTTATGTAAATGAGATATTTCTGTATTTCATTTTCAATACATTTCCAAAAATGTCTACACACGTTTTCACTTTGTCATTATGGGGTATTGTGTGTAGATGTATGAGAGAGAAAAAATATATTTAATCAATTTTGAATTCAGGCTGTAACACAACAAAATGTGAAATAAGTCAAGGGGTATGAATACTTTCTGAAGGCAGAATTATCTTATTCAGAGGAAGAAAAGAGCTGAGTAAACCCACAGAGAGTGGGCGTTGGAGTTCGGGGTAAATATGAGTCATATTTTCAAATACTCTTATCTCCCTCAACACAGTGCTTTGATCACTGAGCTCAAAGCAGAAATAAGACAGCAGAGGGAGACTTCTTTATCAGTGTCAAACTTAAACACACACTTACACCTCAAACACACACACACATGCACACACATGCAAAGATCCACACCCACAAAGACATGCCTGCACCCACACATCAATCAGTACTATGCAATAAAATTACTCAGTGACAGTAATCTGAGGCTGAAAGATTTATTAACTCCCTCATCCCTTGATGTATCAAAGCATGAAATTAAGTCAAGATGCAAAGTCACTTTCAGAGGTTTTATTAAAAAGTGGTGCCTGAGTTCTGCAGATATATTGTTTACAGACGAGAGACACTGTGGCTTTCTAGTGATTGTGTTTTAGAATGGAGGGACATTTAGTCACTATAAAATATTATCTGTTTTGAGTTATCCCTAATCCTTCTCTGTGTTATAAACTTAATTTCCCATAAGGCCACTTGTCACAATGGTGCAGTACTGCAACCTGATTAGTACATTTGAAGTACAAAATGTAAACTCTAAACAAGTTTCAATTAAAATACATAATGGATATTTACACTGTTTAATATCAGATGGCCAGCCAATGTAGTCACTGTGATAATAGAATATCCTAATTCAAAAGAATAGTGAATTAAACAATGCACCACATAATTAAATACCATTTTCTGTATCTATATTATTACAAGATAACTGAGAATATTTAAGGCACTGTCTGGATGTTACTTTATTGCTAGGGAGCATTTCCTAAGGGATACATTTCATTCTCCATTCCATGTCTAGCTCAAAAAACTAACATTATTTCGTAATCTGTCCACTTAATTTTTTTATTTTATTTTTTACAAACGAGGCCTGGATTAAAAGATTCATCCTAATGAATCCAACAAGTCTGTTGTGGCAGTTTAAAACAAACTACAACATGTGCTTTTACAACCATCATGGCATACAATAAAAAAGGTAGCTACTTCTCATGTTTTTTACAAAAGTGACAAAGATACTATCTGTTATCAAATAAATCATATTTCTAAAATCACATAATTATGGACAGTGAGAAATGTACAGTTCTATATAAATATTAGCTCTCGACTTTTACAAAAAAAAGGGTCATTTTATTCTCCCAATTCTACATATTACCCAAGCACCACTTCTGTTGTGGTTGGAGTCTAACAAATACTCTTTAAAAATGCATTTGTTCTATAGGTTGTGTGTAAAATATTTGTCATTTCCAGTTTTATCCAGTATACTGCATTATAAATGTGGTAGATGTACTGAGTTAAGCCTAACAGAGAACAACAATATAAACCGACCCCTGTAATTTTGCTATATTTCTAAGGAGCAAAATGCTCATCTCCTGTGTCTCTGTGGCACCCTGTTTTTTCACAGTTGAATCCAACCCCCTGCAGTGCACCAGAGAAGCTTCCCTATTCAGAGAGAATACACTGCTTTCTCACCCTTCTTTGTAACTGGTATCCCATCATGCAAGGTTCCCACTCTAATCACCATTCCATTTTCCATAATTCATCAATATTACAGTTTAAACTTTTCTTACAATATGTTACATTTCCCAAAGAAAATCACAAAATCCTTTAACTTTTCAAGGATAATGTAAATCAATAGCAATTTACATCAAATAATTTTCAATGACTTTCAAGGCTTTTCGTGGACCGTGGGAACCCCTGTATAAAGTAGCAGGCTGTCCACAGACATTAATTCTGTTAACACTTCCACACACACACGCTTCAGGACATGACCTTTGACCGACAGCTGTGACACATAACTGTTCCATCTAAGATCCAGAGCAGATAGATCTGCAGCCTGTGAGGCTCAATGCGCCCATAACCTCAGAACTCCACTGACAGCAGGGTGGTTTGAAAGGCTGGACCAAGGGCACATTTTCAACAGATCCCAACATTTAGAATGAATGTAATGTAGAGCTGACACAAAGTCCATATTTCCATCAGAAAGACAATTATGTCTGCTCTTCACATCACTGACAATGAGGTCTGCTCTTCACACCACTGGGACTGGGGTCTCCTGCTGGGCAGCCAGACCGGTTCATCAGGGCTCGGGTGTGGGGAGTGCTTCCTGAGCTGGTGACCCCTGACATGTGTCTAGAGGTCAAGGATCAAAAGGTGTCCTTCAACTGGCTCCAGGGGTAGGACATGAGCTAACTGGTTAAGGTGTTAAAGAATCATGGCCTCCTGGAAAGCCTCTATCCATCTGAGAGAAAATTGAGAAACACAACATTATTGAACTTTACTGAAAGGGCACCTGGGAAACAAACAAACTCATCAATAAACGTTATATTCATAAATAACTATATGAATGCTTTCCCCCTCCCACGCTCCAGTGTTATCTGTTATAGCATGGTCCCCTCCTGACTGGTTAATACTTTATTGATCCCTAAACCAAAGGGAACTTCCATTACCTCTGTGCAGTGGGGATGTCGTCAGCCTTGAAGATATAAAACAGGGTGTTTTTGTGGTACAGTTTAAACTGCAGCTTCTGGAAAGGGCCACACTTCTCCTCCCGCAGGAAGAAGCCTAGCAGAGGCTGGCTCTCTAGAGCGGCTACGTCCTGGAGAGAGAGAGAGAGAGAGACACATGTCACACACACACACACACATACATACACACACAAATGTGACTAGAGTGGCGTAGGTGTGTTACCTCGCTGGCGGCGTAGGTGTACAGGACTTTGTTCTTGATGACGAACCATAGCCTCTTCCATTGCTTCTTGTTGCCCTTTGACCTCTGTAGGTAGCCACTCATGGAGGAGTTCTCTGTGTTTGCAGACACCTCTTTGAGAGCAGCTGGGATCTTCTTCTGTTTCCTGGAGAAAGAGAATCCCCCGGATCTGCCAGTAGGAGACAGCGCCCCAGAAGCAACACGGTCACCTAGGAAACACACAAACACACAGCACTTACAAACTCTGACATACATTGTGAATTTACAATAACAAACAACATAGGGTTTAAATCATTACTTACCTTCTTTAATATTTTAAATAGCTAAAATACTTTAATATTTAATATGTATTCATGTAAAAGAAGCATACTGTTCTCCTGCAGCTTGACGAAGCAGTGGTCACACACACGAGCCGGCTGGTTCTTCAAGTACTCCAGATAGAACTTATTGGACGAGCACGTCTGACACACCACCTGCAATACACACACAGTGAGTGAGAAAACCCCTACACACACACACACACACACAAACACATGCACACACACGTACATACACACACTATGGAGTACAGTGGTGAGCCATTGTAAATTAGGGCCCATGTCCTTTCCTTACCTTCCCGCAGGCTCGGCAGTGGTGGCGTCTCCAGGTGAGGGTGAACTCACAGGTACAGACCATACACATGGTGGCCCTCAGGTCTGGGATCCAGATAGGGGCCTTAGAACCCAGCGGGGCCCCACTGTCACATACACCATCAGCCTACACAGAGAGAGACCATTACAGCCATTACAAATGGACTGTAGCAAAACTATACTGACTATGGTAAAGAGTGGGAGTGTAACCATATTCAGTCAGTCTAATGAGCTACTTTGGAACAACACATGCTACAAGCACGGTACATGCTCACTCACACAAACACGCACACTGCCTCACCTCCTCTTGACTCCGGCTGGAGATGAAGGTGATCTTCTTCCTGGTGTGGTCGTCTATCGCCGTGGCGATGGCCGCCAGCCACTCATCTCTCTCTGTGGCCGAGCTTCCAGGCAGAAACAATAACAGAAACTTCCATAACATTCCCCAGGTTAACTCATCAGAATGTCCGTAATGTTAGGTAGCACCTTCAGGTGTTCAGGTGTATCAGTGAGCAGGTACTCACCTGGCAGACAGGATGAAGGAACGCTCCACACTCTCAATATTCAGTTCATTCTGATACGCCTCCTGACTGGGCTTACTCACCTGAACACAATAGACAAATGTTTTAGATGTGACTTTAGAAGAGTATTGTCCAGGGTCAATGTGTGTGTTCAACCCTGTCTGTACTCACCTTCATGCCTGCCAGAGAGAGCATGCTGTTGAGTTTATACTGACCAGATTGAACTGGAGTGGTGTACAGAAGAGTGTCATTGAACTAGGGAGAGAGAGACAGATACACACACCACATCAACATACAGATACTTAGGGGGCAATGTTCTAGTCTACAGACTATGTTCGAAGTGAACTATTACAGACTTGACTCTAAATCAACTACAGAGCTGTAACAGTAATGGGTCAGGTATCACACTGAGACCTCCACTACCCCAGGGGCCTCAGTCAGTACTCACCAGGAAGAACATCCGTGGCTGCATGACCTTCCTGGACAGCTTCATCAGAGTACCCTCCTTAAGGAACACCTGGAGACAAGAAGTGATCACAACAGATGAGATCACAGGTGTGTATGTGTGTGTGTGTGTGTGTGTGCCATAGTGCTGGACACTCACCCTGCCCGGCTGAACAATCTCATGCTGTCCGTTCAGACTGTACTGAATGTGCATCAGCTTTTGAAAGTTATCCTGAAAGATAGCGATAGATAGACCAAGGTCAGAGATCATTTCATGGGATGCCTTTGGCCAAATTCTCATGTGGATGGACATGGTGTGATGTCTCACCCCTTGTTTCATGATGTCGTTGGCATGGTTGGCCACCTCCTTCACTATGCCCAGAGCAGCTGTAAGGTCAAAAGAGCCAACATTATGATTAACATGCTGTGAGAGTGTCTGTGAGAGAGAATGGCATCACACCAGACATTGTCACACACAGCCTAATCAACATTGTTCCACTCACCCTGTGTGTCTTTGTAGTCAGACGAGTCCTCAGGAAGGTTCTTCAGATAATCTGTAGAAGAGCAGGAAGTTACATCAGTCCCAGATCACACTAAATCATGCTATATACAGTATGTTTTACATAAGCAGTATATATATAAAAATAAATAAAAAATACATGTAGAGAACTGTGTCTGCTGTTACACTATGTGTCCACTAGGTGGCAGAGTGCTGCCGGTGCACTGAATAGTGGGGTCCATGGGATGCCACAGCACCATACCAGTCGGAAGTAGGGGTGCTGAGGGTGCTGCAGCACCCCCTGAAAAATCATAATAATACAATTTAAAAAAAATATATATATATAAATACAAATTTAAAAAACTATTTTTTCACAAAAGTAGTGCACTGGGCCTTTGTTAGTATTAGCGGACCGATATTGACCTCTGCAGCACAGGCAAAAACATTTTTTAAGCATCTCTGCTTTGGCAGAAAAAGGTAGTTGTAAAATTAAGAACAGTATCTTGTAGTATTCAATAGTTGGAATTGTAAGAGTTGGTGCCCCGTCCCTTTCTCTGCGATTGTCATTCTAATGGAATCCAGAAATAACAAAAGGTGCAAAGTTATGGGCAAAACATCCACATCAAATTAAATATTTGTATTGATCAAATAACATGGAAAACAACCACTTTTAGTGTAGTATTAATTTACAATCCTTACAAACCACTTAATGTAAATGTACATTACTGTATTTTACATAGGCTGTTCATCTAGGTTTGTACCTGTATACTTTCCATCTCCATGAAGAAAAACAATGCACAATACAGGAATTGAGTACATTGAAACATCAAGTGGTTTGTGAAGATGTGATGTGATAATGTGACTCAGTTGGTCGAGCATGGCGCTTGCAATGCCAGGATTGTGGGTTCAATTGAAAATATATGCACTCACTACCGTAAGTTGCTCTGGATAAGAGCGTCTACTAAAATGTAAAAGGAATGAATAGACCATTTAGGTTCACATAGAAATAAGTTGCATTTGCAAAGTATTTCAAGAAACTGGAAAACATACAGTACCAGTCATAAGTTAGGACACACCTACTCATTCAAGGGTTTTTCATTATTTTTACTATTTACATTGTAGAATAATAGTAAAGACATAAAAACTATGAAATAACACATATGGAATCATGTAGTAACCAAAAAAGTGTTAAACAAATCAAAATATATTTTATATTTGAGATTCTTCAAATAGCCACCCTTTGCCTTGATGACAGCTTTGCACACTCTTGGCATTCTCTCAACCAGTTTCATGAGGTATTCACCTGGAATGAATTTAAATTAACAGGTGTGCCTTGTTAAAAGTTAATTTGTGGAATTTCTTTCCTTCTTAATGCGTTTGAGCCAATCAGTTGTGTTGTGACAAGGTAGGGTTGGTATGCAGAAGATAGCCCTATTTGGTAAAAGACCAAGTCCATATTATGGCAAGAACAACTCAAATAAGCAAAGAGAAACGACAGTCCATCATTAGTTTAAGACATGAAGGTCAGTCAATCCGATAAATTTCAAGAACTTCGAAAGTTTCTTCAAGTGCAGTTGCAAAAACCATCAAGAGCTATGATGAAACTGGCTCTCATGAGGACCGCCACAGGAAAGGAAGACCCAGAGTTACCTCTGCTGCAGAGGATAAGTTCATTCGAATAACTGCACCTCAGATTGCAGCCCAAATAAATGCTTCACAGAGTTCAAGTATGGGGGTGCCACAGGATTCAATTCTCGGGCCGACTCTATTCTCTGTGTATATCAATGATGTCACTCTTGATGCTGGTGACTCTCAGATCCACCTCTACGCAGACGACACCATTTTGTATACATCTGGCCCTTCATTGGACACTGTGTTAACAAACCTCCAAACGAGCTTCAATGCCATACAACACTCCTTCCGTGGCCTCCAACTGCTCTTAAACGCTAGTAAAACTAAATGCATGCTCTTCAATCGAACGCTGCTTGCACCCGCCTGCCCGACTCGAATCGACACGACAACTACAAATATCTAGGTGTCTGGTTAGACCGTAAACTCTCCTTCCAGAATCACATTAAGCATCTCCAATCCAAAGTTAAATCTAGAATCGGCTTCCTATTTCGCAACAAAGCCTCCTTCACTCGTAAAACTGACTATCCTTCCGATCCTTGACTTCGGCGATATCATTTACAAAATAGCTTCCAACACTCTACTCAGCAAATTGGATGTAGTCTATCATAGTGCCATCCGTTTTGTCACCAAAGCCCCATATACTACACACCATTGTGACCTGTACGCTCTCGTTGGCTGGCCCTCACTACATATTCGTCGCCAAACCCACTGGCTCCAGGTCATCTATAAATCACTTCTAGGCAAATCCCTGCCTTATCTTAGCTCATTGGTCACCATAGCAACACCCACCCGTAGTATGCGCTCCAGCAGGTATATCTCACTGGTCATCCCCAAAGCCAACACCTCCTTTGGCCGCCATTCCTTCCAGTTCTCTGCTGCAAATGACTGGAATGAACTGCAAAAATCTCTGAAGCTGGAGACACTTATCTCCCTCACTAACTTTAAGCATCAGTTGTCAGAGCAGCTTACCGATCACTGCACCTGTACACAGCCCATCTGTAATTAGCCCACCCAACTACCTCATCAACATATTGTTATTTACATTGTTATTTATTTTACTCATTTGCACCCCAGTATCTCTATTTGCACATAATCTTCTGCACATCTATCATTCCAGTGTTAATACTAAATTGTAATTATTTTGCACTATGGCCTATTTATTGCCTTACCTCCATAACTTACTACATTTGCACACACTGTATATAGATTTTCTATTGTGTTATTGACTGTACGTTTTGTTTATTCCATATGTAACTCTGTGTTGTTGTTGTTTTTATCGCACTGCTTTGCTTTATCTTGGCCAGGTCACAGTTGTAAATGAGAACTTGTTCTCAACTGGCTTACCTGGTTAAATAAAGGTGGAACAAAATAAAAATAGTAACAGACAAATTTCAACATCAACTGTTCAGAGGAGACTGTGTGAATCAGGCCTTCATGGTCGAATTCCTGCAAATAAACCACTACTAAAGGACACCAATAATAAGAAGAGACTTGCTTGGGCCAAGAAACACGAGCAATGGACATTAGACCGTTGGAAATCTGTCCTTTGGTCTGATGAGTCCAAATTTGAGATTTGTGGTTCCAACCGCAATATCATTGTGAGACACAGAGTAGGTGAACGGATGATCTCCGCATGTGTGGTTCCCACCATGAAGCATGGAGGAGGAGGTGTGATGGTGTGGGGATGCTTTGCTGTTGACACTGTCTGTGATTTATTTAAAATTCAAGGCACACTTAACCAGCATGGCTACCACAGCATTCTGCAGCGATACGCCATCCCATTTGGTTTGGGCTTAGTGGGCCTATCATTTGTTTTTCAACAGGACAATGACCCAACACACCTCCAGGCTGTGTAAGGGCAATTTGACCAAGAAGGAGTGATGGAGTGCTGCATCAGATGACCTGGCCTCCACAATCACCGACCTCAATCCAATTGAGATGGTTTGGGATAAGTTGGACCGCAGAGTGAAGGAAAAGCAGCCAACAAGTGCTCAGCATATGTGGGAGTGGCTCACTAACTGTAAGTCGCTCTGGATAAGAGCATCTACTAAATGACTAAAGCAGGTGAAGCTGGTTGAGAGAATGCCAAGAGTGTGCAAAGCTGTCATCAAGGCAAAGGGTGGCTACTTTGAAGAATCTCAAATATAAAATATATTTTGATTTGTTAAACACTTTTTTGGTTAGTACATGATTCCGTATGTGTTATTTCATAGTTTTGATGTCTTCACTATTATTCTACAATGTAGAAAATAGTAAAAATAAAGAACAACCCTTGAATGAGTAGGTGTGTCCAAACTTTTGACTGGTACTGTTTATCAAGCAAGTATTTATATATTCCACAAGTATTATCATATTAACTGTTTTGTACAGATAATTATCAGACTCAAGTTACAAATGCTGGTAAACACTCAAATACTTTTAGTTTTTTTTTTAAATCACACAAGCAGTGCATTGGGCCTTTACTATATATAGACTCTTCAGAACAGCATTTTTTTATTCATGCATTTCCAGCAATCCCCCCCTTGTGCCTGTATGTGTATGTGTGTGTACCTGTGAGCAGTAGCTGATACTGGGGGATTCTCTGTACAGGTTTCAGCAGGTAGTGCTTCAGAGCCAGGCTGGCACATCGAGGACTCATCTGGGACAGAGTACAGGAGAATTGTCAATCAAATTTGCATACAGTATACATACACAAATCTAGCTCCACGTCCTTGGCGCTAATGTAGTCTCCAGACTATGGCTTGTTACATCTAAACACTCACACGCACTCTACCACTCTATCATCAACTATGCAGAGAGGAACTTCCTCTGACACACACAGCTGTTTACCTCAAACTCCCGGACCACAGCGGCGAAGCCAGGGTTTTTCCTACACTGTTCATCCAGCATAGCCACGTTGTTGTCAAACTGGCGGATGTAGGTGGAGTACATCTTCAGGTACGGCCCCTTCTGAACAAAGATGTCTGCCAGTCTCTGGTGGTCCCCCCTACACAGGAGAGAGAGGCAGAGGGTGGGAGATGGTCATTGTTAGACCTCATATCTGTGGTCTGGTCTGAGTTCAGGTGTCCACAGCTTGGCATGGTCAGTTGAGGTTTATATCTCTGGTGCTGGCCTGTGACTGATAATGATGACGTGCATACCAGTGGGCCACTCTCTCCTCTAGCTCCCGGAGCAGGTCTCGGTTGAGCTGGTATAGTTGGGGCAGATAGTAGAGGATCTGGGTTAGAATACGCTCTTCAACCACCGGCTTGCCATTCTGACGCGTCGCCTTGGCAACTGCGTCCCGGAAATCCTGCAGGGAGGGAGTGGGTTAATGTTGACAGACGAATGAGGGGAACTGACACAGCGACAACAGGGTGGTGGGAGACTAATTAACACACGCACAGCTGCAGGGCAGGGAGAGACGTTACACAGTACAGCACAGGAACACCTGGTTATCACCTCGTAAACATGCCTCCCACTGCATCATACACACACACACACACACACACAACTGAGTCAGCACTCTCACACTGCCCAGTGAGCCAACACACACATCCAGGTGGAAGGAAGTGGTGAGACAACCAGGGCAGGGTCCCAATGTCCTGCTGAACACTCTCACACAACCACAGCCCCACACCCACAATGATACACGCACAGCTGCAGTGTGTGAAGGACCGAAACATGTATCCCTAGAAAACATGTCAAAAGTCAAGTCAAAATATAATGCATCACATTATTGTACACAATATATCAAATGAGAACCATCCTATAGGTTATAGGGGAGGACTTCAGTGTGAAACCAAAATAAACACTTTTTGCATAGCAACAGGCACACACTAACACACACACAGGATTAGCCGAAGCATTTCTAAGTCTGGGGGTCCTCTACTCTCTCACTGCAGGAAGCAGCTGTTCTGTGGTCAGGGGCAGCCATGGAGACTGGAGAATGTGATTTGACTTCTTTCTTTAAGTCTCCCTCTCCACACTCTACTGTGTCTCTCACCCAATCTCTCATCTCTCTCCCTCTCTCTCATGCCCAGCCCCATATTCAAAATGAATCCCATAGTGGGTCCTACTTAAGGCAGACAGGCAGGGGGACACTTGACCCTGAGTATGTGTGTGTGTACCTGGGATTCCCCTTTCTGACAGTCTGATGTCGACCCTGCAGCCATCTCAGACAAATTTCAAGTGAGTTTAGAGAGATTTTAGAGGCTGTGCGAGACAAATAAAGGCTGGATTAAAACATTGAAAACAAACACACAGTCTACCTTCCGCTGCAAAATCAAGCCCAGGACAGCTTGGCCTGGCTGGCACAGTTGACCTCCTCAGCCTGGCACAGCCCAGTATACCAGACCAGTACAGTAATCACCACAACACCACCACTGTGAGTTAACAAGCCTAGACTCATCAGAGCTCCCACACACACCTGTCACCTCCCCCTGAGACCAACATCAAAGCACCCAGCTCTGTCGTCACGGTTACCTGCTTCACTTTTCACCCCAACAGGCAGAGAGCAGGGACGGTATTCCTCCCACCAAGCAGGAGTAGCGAGCTAGCACAGCCGGTAGTTAAATATAATGAAACAACTCTAGCCTATGTTTCCACTCCATAAAAATCCATCACTTGAAAGTTGAAACTAGCAATACATGCTTGACTCCTTGGCTTCCTTTATGATTTAGAAAATTAGAGTCTCAAATTAGAGTCTCAGTGTTTGCCACTGACCCTGCTAAGTGTAATACCTCCCAGGAACAACAACAACAACAACAACAACAACAACAGTGCTATCAGAGACAACTCCACTGCTGAACACTGCTGCCTCAGGGACTGGGGAGAAAGGCATCACAGCTCAGCTAGTCGAAGGCTTGCTGAGTAACACCATAGAACACACAGATAACACACAGATATGGTCCTCATCAAAAGCTCAGAGGCTTAACTGATACTTACTATGTGAAGAAGCTTCAGGACGTCCACAAACCTGGAGGGAGAGGAGGCGGGTGGAAAACATCGTTATATGACAAAACAAGACACCCACCGCTAAGCAAAAGAACGACTCTGTGGAATATTCTCATGATAAAGTCATTGATTGGGTGTGTGTGTGTGTGTCTCGGGTACTCACACTTTCTCGGAGCTCATGATCTCCTGGGCGATGTGCACCACCTTTTTCCTCTTCACCTCATCCTCCTGCTGGAACGACAGACAGACAGTCAGTCAGATAGAGAAAAACAGAGCATTCAGTCAATGTCATGAAAAGAGCTAGCTAGCCATATTCTAAACTGTGCAGACATACTTCCACGTACCAGGTCACTGCAGCCCACCATCTCAACTGTTCTGCTATAGTATGCATAGGCACAATCATCTGGCCATTTGCTGTTTCTAAACAGACACTCAACAGAGATGATGTCCGAAAGCAGAGCTGCCGTTTCACACGTCTCTTTCCCTCTCTACTCTCTATCCACTTCAGCTATCTTCTCTGCTAGTGAGTGGTCTGGGATGGAAATGAGGCGGTCTCATTTCGGTGTCTTAATTTGGACAGTGGCCTTGCCCTTGCGTGACTGAAGGGGCCTCCTGCTCCTAATTGTGTGTGTGTGTGTGTGTGTGTGTGTGTGCTCGTGCGTTTGTTTGTTAGAGACACAGGCTTTTAGAGTATCATGCACAGGGTCAGACAGGACAAAGCCATCAGCCATTTTCAGAGTTATTTCTGCCCCCTAAACCCTCTATGTCTGACACCCTAACCCCCCTCACACAGAATGACAGCTCCATCATCACAAGCAGGCACAGTGTGATATCCCCCGCCTGCCCTTCTTTCCTCCATAGAGCCCTGTGCCAGACCTGTTTTACACACAGGGCCCAGAACCCATGACGCCAGTCCAATAGTGTCGTTATCACTCGTGTTACGCCTGCCAATTTCCTTCCTGTTATACCACCTATCATCACTGTCGTTACTCTGGCTCAGTAACATCACCTCTGTTATCACTCACGCCTCACTGCATGGCTGGAGGACCTACCAGAGCAAACAGATCCAAAGAGCTCTACCATAAGCTTATTGACAAGGCCGCCACATCCACTGTGTATCGGGGTGTGCGTTTGTGTGTGTGTGTGTGCGTACGAGCGGGTCCTCCTGAGCCAGTGTTGCAGATTGTGTCACCATCACCAGTTAATAACAACCACATAAGGATGTGTGTGTGTGTGTGTGTGTATGAAAGCCAGCTACCTGTTTGTCTTCTTCTGACAGCTCCAGGTGTTCCTTGCTGGAGGTGGAGCTGTTGTCATCCTCATCAGAGCTGTGGACTTCCTCCTCAGAGTGAGCATCGTCCAATCCATGCCAGCCCCTACAGGCAAAACAGAAAGTCCCGGTCACCACATTATCCTCATGGTTATCAGCCAGAGTGTCTGTGCACTTACACATACAGTATATCCATGCAAGCATACCACATACACACACTTCTGAATGGACTTTTGAATGTTTTATGGGAACAGTAACAATACTCTGTCCACAGCTGTACTCAGCTAAACATAGTTGCCATGGAGACTCCACAGCCAGCCTGTCTGCTGGCAGCAGTGCACCAGTCAGCTGATACAGGTCTGTCTGCTGAGTGGCACAAGTAGCAACATGTTTGTGTCACTAATGTTTTCATCTTGGCTTCACAGCCTATCCCAGGAGATGTTATCACAGCTGGATTTTGAACCAAACAAACCCAAAGTCCTGTCTCCTTTCTAATCTGGAGGACTCATAAGATACTGTCACTCTCTATATTTTGACTACTTTGTCTGTCCCCTTCCTCTCTCTCAGCTATCCCTCTTTCCCTCTCTCTCAGCTATCCCTCTTTCCCTCTCTTTCAGCTATCCCTCTTTCCCTCTCTCTCAGCTATCCCTCTTTCCCTCTCTCTCAGCTATGCCTCTTTCCCTCTCTCTCAGCTATCCCTCTTTTCCTCTCTCTCAGCTATCCCTCTTTCCCTCTCTCTCAGCTATCCCTCTTTCCCTCTCTCTCAGCTATCCCTCTTTCCCTCTCTCTCAGCTATGCCTCTTTCCCTCTCTCTCAGCTATCCCTCTTTCCCTCTCTTTCAGCTATCCCTCTTTCCCTCTCTTTCAGCTATCTCTCTTTCCCTCTCTCTCAGCTATCCCTCTTTCCCTCTCTCTCAGCTATGCCTCTTTCCCTCTCTCTCAGCTATCCCTCTTTTCCTCTCTCTCAGCTATCCCTCTTTCCTTCTCTCTCAGCTATCCCTCTTTCCCTCTCTCTCAGCTATCCCTCTTTCCCTCTCTCCTTCTCTCCCCTTCTTCCCTCTATACCCTGTTTCTCCTCCCTACCCCCCATCTTTTCCCTTTCACTCTCTCTTTCTCTTCCTCTCTCACTCCATAGACAGGCCTTCCTGCACACTGGGTCAGGCACAGAGTACCTCTTGTTTACTGCCTGAGGCTAGTTACATAAACTAAACAGGCTCAGATGCTTGGGAAACACTACAGATTCACGACACACATACACACTCTTTCAAACAACCACAACGGCACACACATACACACATGCATGCAAGCACACACACACAAGCACGCACAAACGCAAGCATCTTTCAAACGACGAAACACACATAAACATGGGCAAAAATCACACAGTGATAGATAAACACTAATATTATCCAACTGGAGTACCAGATATATGTGTAACTGACTGTTGCATACTGCTCTTTACTGCTGAACTCTGAGTCTAATATTTCCCTTCACCTGCCCTTCCTTATACCTGTCCTGTAATCTGACTCTGACCTGCCTTTACCTCATGGCCCCAGAGTGCCTTAGCAAAATACTGGTCTGAGCATGCATGTGCACTGCACACACACAAAAGCCTTTTGATATATGATGTAAACACACACACACAAGAACACTTGAATGAGAATGTGATTACAGTGAGTTGGAAGGCCTGACTCTTGTTAGCAAGGACCGTGTCCAGTCCATTCACTCATCCACTCATTGAACGGTTTCCATACACACAAATATTTTCGTGTCCAATACAGAAGCAAAATATTAAATTACGTTGAGTCATTCTAAAAGGGTTCACTGAGAATGAGAGAGAGAGAAAAACCGAAAGAGAGATGGGAGAGAGCGATGGCAGAGAGAGAACGGGAGAGAGAGGGAACGGGAGATAAAGGGAGAGATATGGGAGAGGGACAGGAAGAGATGGGAAAGCGAGAGCAAGAGAGTGGGAGGGAGAAGGAGAGAGAGAGAGAGGCTGGTGGTTGGTGGAGGTTTATTTTCCCTGTTCAGAGTGCAGTGTGGCATTTCTGTGATTTTCAGACATTTCCTGCCCTGGCCACTGAAAATAACCCACAGGAAAACAGCCGAACCTGCTGCACATCAATGCTCTATTCACAGCTTGGAGGGCCAACACTGAAGCTAACTCTCACACTCGTACAAGCACAGCCTGCTAATGCTAACTCTCACACTCGTACAAACACAGCATGCTAATGCTAACTCTCACACAAACACAGCGCGTTGGTCTATGTTGTAAGTACTGTGTAATAATGGATATGGTACACACACTGTAGTTACATAGTTTTAGCACTAAAGTGGGACTAAGACTGCAAAGTGAAAACTAACTCTCACACAAGCACAACCTGGGCTAAAAACACTGGCCTAAATACTAAAATACTTTCTGTCTCACTGTGACACAGTACACACACACACTTGCATGCACAAACACACACATACTGTACCTCTCATAGTCAATGGAATGGGGTCGCTTATAGTCGCAGTGGCTCTCGTAGGGATCCTGCACCTCATAGACATCTGAGTCACTGTGTCTGTGTTGGCTTGGGTCCAGACTGTGTGTGAGTGGCCAGCCCAGCCGTGCGCTGAGGAAAGGCAGGTTCATGTACTCTGGTATCTCCTCATACAGAGGAACGTTCTCATACTCCATCAACCCCTCTCCATCCCCACCAGACACCACCGCGCTGCCGTTGGACTGGTCCACCGTCCTCTCCCCCCCATCCGGCTCCACGCTGGTACAATGCAGAGACTGGCCACTTCTGGCCAGTAACCGTGGCAACATCTTGACAGACAGCCGCAGCTCCAGAAGCTTTCGGAAGGAGAGACTCCTCTTGGTGCCGTCGGCGCGGGCCAGCAGGTCAGCTGAGGAGAAGGACTGGGCCCTCTGTTTCCCCCCCAGCAGAGCTGCTTTCCCTTGGTGGGCCCCTCCGCTGTTGCCGCCGCTGCTGTGTCTGGAGGAGCTCTGCCTGCTGAAGAATGGCCTGGGGAAGCGCCAGGCTGGTTTCTCCTGTGGGGTGGCTGGCAGCTCCCTCATGGGGGTGTTGGCGTGGTGCGGAGGGGGTGGAGGGGGGGTGATGGACGGGGGGGCGCCCGCTGGCAGGCTGTGTCTCTGGGGCTTCCTGGGTGGGGCCCTGGGTGACCCGCCCTCTTCCACCGAGCTGGCCTTCATTGTCATGCCGACGGGGGGCGGGCGGCAGCTCAGCTTGATCTGTTTGGGCAGGCTCCGGGTGATGGGGTAGCGCTCAAAGTCTCCGTACCCGTCCTCAACTTCTTCCTCCCCTCCTCCTCCTCTTCTCTCTGAGGTCAGTGCGTTAAGCTCAGGCTGAGAGAGCAGGTCCAGAGAGTGGGAGGTGTTTCGGTTGAGTGGGGGGGAGGGGGGACAGTGGATGGCTCTGTGGAGGCGGGGGGAGAGGGACTTCTGCCTCGGTGGAGGCACAGGGTGAGGCTCCTCTTCAACTTCAGGGTCCTGGGAGGGTGAGGGACAGTCATACACTCCCTGGGTGTGTTCTTCCTTCTCTGAGGTGAGACATCTCCCCCCACTCCCCTCAGTCTCCCCCACCTCTCCCTCCTGTGTGCGGTTCTTTGTCTCCCCCTCCTGGGTGCTGGCCTCCAGGCCGTCCTGCCTTCCCAGGGCTGGCTTACGGGGCTTGCGTGGCAGCGGCACGGGCAGGGGCTTACTGGGGGCGGCAGGGACCGAGAGGTCAGTGGGTAGCCTGGATATTCTGGAACACTGTGTACTGCTGTCTGTGTGGGAGGGGGTGCTATCAGGCTTACTGTCCACCTGGGAGGGGGTGAGGATGGGGGGTAAAATCTGTGGGGGGGTGCGGGTGGGTGGGACAGTCTGAGGGGGGGTGTGGGTGGGGGGGACTGTCTGAGGGGGGGTGCGAATGGGGGAGACTTCCAGTGGGAGGATGAGGGGAATGGGAATTGTGTCGCTCTCATTGCTGTCTATATTACAGCTGTCAGTGTATATCTGTTCTACATTAGGAGCTTTAGTCTCAGTCTCAGTCTGTGTAAGTGTCTCTGCCACCTCAAGAACATTACACGACTGGTCCCCTGACCCAGTCTGATACTCCTGACCACCCTGACCTTTCTGGTTCCTCTGTCTCTCCTCTTTGTTCCCCTGCAGCTTGTCCTCATCCCTGTTTCCCTCTCCATCCCTCTTCCCCTCCTGTCTCTGGGGTTTGTCCTTGAACCTGAGATGGAGGCTGTTGGTCACTCCTCCGCTCTTCTCACTGTCTCCATTCTCTGTTTTACCCGGCCGATTGGCTACCAGCGTTCCAGTGCTTTCCATGGCATTCCCGTTAGGCCAGGAGCCGAGTGTATCGCTTCCGACCTCTGTAACGTTCCCATTCACTAGTCGTTTGCATTGGGAGCAGTCCTGGAGTCCGCAGGAGCACGTAGGAATGATGTAGTCCAAGTCGCGCAGGATGGGCTGCGACAGGATCCCGTTTCTGGAGTTGAGGAAGGAGAGGCTGTCATCCCTAGACCCCCGGCACTCCTGGGAAGGAGTTTGGGGTACTCTGGGTCTGGGTCTGGGGGGTGGGGGAGAAGCCGGGGCTGCAGGGGCGGAGGGTTTGGAGAGGCATGGTTTGGGCGCCACAGCGGGTTTGGCTCTCTTTAGCGCGGCAGGGGAGGGTTGGGTAAGGAGGGGGGAGGGTTGGGAAGGCTGGGAGAGGAGAAGATCAGGTTTGGGGGCGATGGGAGGAGGTGAGAGCTTCACCGAGAGGGAGAGTTTGGGTTTGGGAGCCACTGGCGGCTTCTTCACACCTGTAGAGAATTAGAGGAGGAGGAAGACAGGAGTAGACATTAGACAATGCTGGGGAGGGGGGCTGCTGAAAACACACATCATAGGAGGCAAAGAAAGAAGTGACCCTTTAACCTTTATGTCTGCTTAAAGGCACAAACAGGAGGCAAAAAGCAAAACAGAGCGCATTCCACTGCCCTGCTGTAATGCATGCACTACCCTGGATCTCCCTTGAACCCCCCCCACCACCTCATCGACACATACCAACCAGCCAACAGCAGCACACAGACAGCTGGTGGGGTAAGAGAGGGCAGGGCAAGGGTCAGAGGATCAACCCCTAGAGGTCAATGGGATTTTTAGCTCACTAAGGAAGGTTGGGCGCAAGTGGTCAGAAAGTGAAGGAATGAAAGAACCAAATGATTCCTGTACTCATATATCCAATCATGAGCCTGACTAATACAGTCAACTGTAATGGTTCACTGTGTTCAGTCTGTAGAACTATAACCTTAGCGACATCACATCTCCCTCATATAAAACATTTTGATGGCAGTGTAATGCAATTACTGTATGAATGTGTCACAAAGCGGGCACCACACATGCCTGTGACAGGCTGAAGCTGCACTAAATGGATAACTGGATAATGAATACAGACCCCTGCATTGAATATGAGACACTCGGTCCTGCATTGAAGGTCCTTCAATATCAGGTGAAGAATGACAACCCTCATGATGTTATGAAACACTACACCACCACACCTCTCCTCCTAAGGTGTTAGGAATCGTCAGTGGTAGACAAATGTTACATACAGTAAATGATCATCTATGCCATTGCCAAGAGTTCTCTTAATATACAGTTAATCCACTGATTCGCTAATATATGGGTGCACAAGTAATTGAGGGCAGAAGTCTTAATGTCTTACTTTGTTTTTGTTCTAGTAGGCCTACTTAATAGATCAGATGATTAGGCTAATGCCATTGATTTCCCAGAAAGTGCACACACCTGGATTATATCCTAAATCAGTTGCTGATTAAAAGTGAGGAAAGAGCCTGGCTACTGCAAATCCTTTGAGGTTGCAGAGAAGCTTTACAGGCAGCTCTCCATAAAGGAGGATCCCTCACGAAACTAGAACAAAAGAAGACCATGATTACTTATTTCTTTTTCACAAAATGTAATTCATAGAAGGGTCCTTTGGAGGAAGTTTTATTGACATACACAACCAGTCAAAAGTTTGGACACACCTACTCATTCAAGGGTTTTTCTTTATTTGTACTATTTTTTTTTTTTTACATTGTAGAATAATAGTGAAGACATCAAAACTATGAAATAACACATATGGAATCATGTAGTAACTAAAAAAGTGTTAAACAAATCAGAATATATTTTATATTTGAGATGCTTCAAATAGCCACCCTTTGCCTTGATGACAGCTTTGCACACTCTTGGCATTCTCTCAACCAGCTTCATGAGGTAGTCACCTGGAATGCATTTCAATTAACAGGTGTGCCTTCTTAAAAGTTAATTTGTGGAATTTCTTTACTTCTTAATGTGTTTGAGCCAATCAGTTGTGTTGTGACAAGGTAGGGGCGGGGGGGTATACAGAAGATAGACCTATTTGGTAAAAGACCAAGTCCATATTATGACAAGCTCAAATAAGCAAAGAGAAATGACAGTCCATGATTACTTTAAGACATGAAGGTCAGTCAATACGGAACATTTCAAGAACTTTTAAAGTTTCTTCAAATGCAGTCGCAAAAACCATCAAGAGCTATGATGAAACTGGCTCTCATGAGGACCGCCACAGGAAAGGAAGACCCAGAGTTACCTCTGCTGCAAAGGATAAGTTCATTAGAGTTACCAGCCTCAGAAATTGCAGCCCAAATAAATGCTTCACAGAGTTCAAGTCACAGACACATCTCAACATCAACTGTTAAGAGGGGACTGTGTGAATCAGGCCTTCATGGTCGAAACGCTGCAAAGAAACCACTACTAAGCAATGGAAATTAGACCGGTGGAAATGTGTCCTTTGGTCTGGAGTCCAAATTGGAGATTTTTGGTTCCAACCGCTGTGTCTTTGTGAGACGCGGTGTGGGTGAACGGATGATCTCTGCATGTGTTGTTCCCACCGTAAATCATGGAGGAGGAGGTGTTATGGTGTGGGGGTGCTTTGCTGGTGACACTGTCTGTGATTTATTTAGAATTGTAGGCACACTTAACCAGCATGGCTACCACAGCATTCTGCAGCAATACGCCATCCCATCTGGTTTGGCCTTAGCAGGACTATCATTTGTTTTTCAACAGGACAATGACCCAACACACCTCCAGGCTGTGTAAGGGCAATTTTACCAAGAAGGAGAGTGATGGAGTGCTGCATCAGATGACCTGGCCTCCACAATCCCCCGACTTCAACCCAATTGAGATGGTTTGGGATGAGTCGGATGGCAGAGTGAAGGAAAAGCAGCCAACAAGTGCTCAGCATATGTGGGAACTCCTTCAAGACTTTTAAGAAGGCACACCTGTTAATTGAAATGCATTCCAGGTGACTACCTCATGAAGCTGGTTGAGAGAATGCCAAGAGTGTGCAAAGCTGTCATCAAGGCAAAGGGTGGCTATTTGAAGAATCTCAAATATAAAATATATTTTGATTTGTTTAACACTTTTCTGGTTACTACATGATTCCATATGTGTTATTTCATAGTTTTGATGTCTTCACTATTATTCTACAATGTAAAAAATAGTACAAATAAAGAAAAACCCTTGAATGAGTAGGTGTGTCCAAACTTTTGACTGGTACTGTATATTTGCCATTTGTATTTTAAAACATAATTGAGAAATAATTAATTGAAGTCATTTTGGCCTTACCCAGGCCACCTTTAAGACTCCATAGTGTTTCACATGTAGGCGTTACAAAGAAAAAGTTGGTGTTATATGAAGCTTCACCGCTTGCTCTGTAATATGAGTAGTATTTTGATTTCAATAATACATTTCTTACAAACATTTATGAATATTGCAAAATATAAACATGAATATTGAAAATAAAAAATGTTTGATTTGGCACATTTTTCAATATATTGTTGAACATAATATTATCTACGGGCACATCAAAGTTCCAGAGTGGGATCACTGATAGTTTTATAGTTATGGCCCATTTTATACAGAGAAATTGGCATAGTAGGCAATGTATCCAATTACAGCCCTCCCTTTACTTCTATCATTGCACATCCTGCAAATCACAGAGGGTAGCCATTTTGAGTCCATTTTCACATTCACAAATTGGATCATAACTATAAAAGTAGCAGAGGTCCAATTCTGGAACTTTTATATGAAGGTAGAGTATATTATGTTTAACAATATTTTGAAAAAATTCGCCAAATCAAAACGTTTCTATTTCAATATGAATGTTTCTATTTTTCAATATTCATAAATGTATGTAAGAAATGTTTTATCGAAATCAAAATACTACTCATATTACAGTGAATGCGGTAAAGCTTCATATGACACCAACTTTTGCTTAGTTGCACCTACAAATGAAACATTATGGAGTCCTAAAGGACAAGCAGAAAAAAAAATATATATATTCCAACTTCAATTCATTTTTTCTCAATTATGCTTTAAGATACAAATGTCAAATATATGTCAACAATCCTTCCTCCAAAGGACCCTTCTATGGATTACATTTCGTGAAAATTCCAACAATCATGGTATTTTTTTTGTTTTGTTATAGTTTCGTGAGGAATCACCCAAAAGTATTCTACCTTGGTCCTTGCCTATTAACATTTCTGTTTTTTTCAGACCTTAGACCCTAGGTTCTGTGAATTGTGAAAGAACCATGGTGTTGACTGGAGTTTGTTGGCTTGTTTATTTTCGGTAGAGGAAATGTGTTCTCAGCTCCAATGGCACCAACCCAAGTAGAATCCCGTGTCACCTCGCTGCATGCTTCCTCCTTGCCCTAGTCTGTTGCTGAGTAATTTCATGGCACTGACTTGTTTTGAAGTTGGCTGTATGTGTGTTGTGAAAGATGTGCGTCCTATATGTTATCCATAATGAGATGCCCAAAAGGATATGGCCTCGTTTTCTGCTCGACTGGGGCTGGATCAGGGCTCCTGACTGGCCGGGAGAGTGAGACACCACGAGAAGCGGAGTCAACGAGCGGATGTGCATGAAGCCTGAATGACCCTCTAGCTACTCATGGAAAAAATCTGTAAACATCAGTGCCAAATCCCCTTTGCTTCAACGGATTGAAATTTCGTCGGTTTCGTGGTTGACAAATGCTGCTTTAGGTTATATAACCATGTTTGAAAGTTTTTAAAAATCCATTGCGCATCTGACTGCATCAAAACAGGAGGACAGATGTTACACAAAGGAGCTCCATGTATCTGCCCTCTCATACACGCTCTCTATCTCTCTTCACATTTGGCTGATGCATCAATTGTGTTGCATGTACTTTTGTTGGAGTATTCTAACCAGAATGACTGTTCTCCCTAAATCATGAGCGGGTGAAAACTGCTAATCTTTGCCACTACAACGCCTTCGGAGAGGTAACGTTATCGTTATGAAAAACAGTCATTACAATGTAATAACCTGGGGAATCTAAATCATGAGCGGGTGAAAACTGCTCATCTTTTCCACTACAACGCCTTCGGAGAGGTAACATAATCATTATGAAAAACAGTAATTACAATGTAATAACCTGGAAAAAGCTGGGAATATATGTTGCTGCAAAAGTAACATAACTTTATTTTCTGGATTTGCTTGGTAACTGCAAACGCACTCAAATAAACTGCTTTGTCGACAAAATGCAACTACTTAGCCATCCAGGAAACAAACCTGTGCTCATGACTCCCGACTTGCTCCTTTCCTTACTCCATGAGTAAACTTGCTTTCAATGGGATGGCATGGAATTTCGTGAATTTTCTTTTTCAGGCGCCATTGTCAGTCAGTCTCAAAAAACACCAGGTAAACAACATAAAAAAATAAACAAAATGTCGCTTATATCACCGACTGAAACGTGAATAAACTGTTTCCTCTGGGCCCCCTTTTTCCAGTTTTCTGGAGTTTCGTGTTTCGTCCACGGTGGTGTTTCCTTCCCTTGCTCCCGGCTGAGGACGTTGCATTGCCCCGCTTGACCACTGGAGGATCCTGTCGCTACCGCTCGAACACTGCGGTTCGCGAGGAAGGGTTGGGCGATTTGGATTGTGGGAAGTGTCGTTTTGCCGAGGAGTTTGTTTTGCGCAGCTAACAGGCGCTAGCAACTGCTTTAATTTTTCACTTCTTGTCATTTACAAACGACTACAATCCCAGAATGCGTAACGGTTGGATATCGATGGCGGAGAGCAATGACTGAGGAGTTTGATGAAGATGTGGTATTTGAGGTTTGTTTTTATTCAGGCACATATGTTCCATTAACGCGTAGTGCAGTGTATCAAGCCCGAGTTTGTATAGGTTTTCTGATTCATTCTGCGAGCTGAAATTGGCGTGGTCGACCAGACTGTCATAGTAGCTGACTCGCTAACGTTAGCTAGCTTATTAGCATGGCCATGAGCAACGTTTACCCATTGGCGTTTGGCTACCCCTGTTGTTATGCGTAGCTGAGACATAAATCCGAGCAAAATTGGCCGTGTAGCCTAGTCAATCCTACCTGACTGTTAAGTAGCTTTTCTTATCATGGGGCAGTGTGCTGTTTCATCATCATAGCTGGCGTGGAGCGTGTGTGTCTGGTCGGTGCTTTATGCGACGTAGGAAGGGAATAGCTGTTCGAAACATCTGACAGCCTGATGTGTCAACATGTGCGCCACCGATACCGTCCGAACATGCAAGTGAGTAAGGTTAGCCCATCATGTCATGCTTGGATCGGGGGTGTCATCATGATAACGTATTATAGGTGGCTCTATCAAGGTAGGCAAATGGCTTGCTATCCAGATGTAGAAGCACGGATATGTTTTGTTTTCTCTCATGCTACGGATGAGGAGCGTCGGCAGCTGGTTGGGAATTGGGTCAGGTGTCTCCTTGGTAAAATTGGAGCATAATGTTGGTTCTTTTTTCTTAATTGTGGGCAAATTGTTGTTATGCCAGTACTGTGTCCTAGAGATAAAAAGTCGCACTTTGCTGCTGCACATCTCTCTATTGTAGGGAGATTGAGGTGGGAGTCTGACCTGGGATGTTGTGATGCAGGACAGTGATTTGCTCATCCCTGCTGGCGACAGACACACACACACACACTTCCAGTCAGTCCCACTTTAAGCTGAGCTTTAACACATGATCGTGATGAACGCTCTTTTATGCAAGGTTTTTAGATTATTGTGTTTGTGTTTAATTCCGTCGCTGGATTGGACTAATGGACTTTGGAGCAGATTAGGTGTAAGAAAGGGGATTGAAAGAGGCAAGATGCTTAGGGCCAGAGGGAGATTTAGGGACTGTAGTGCACATACAGTGGGGAAAAAAAGTATTTAGTCAGCCACCAATTGTGTAGGTTCTCCCACTTAAAAAGATGAGAGAGGCCTGTAATTTTCACCATAGGTACACGTCAACTATGACAGACATAATGAGAAAAAAAAATCCAGAAAATCACATTGTAGGATTTTTAATGAATTTATTTGCATATTATGGTGGAAAATAAGTATTTGGTCAATAACAAAAGTTTCTCAATACTTTGTTATATGCCCTTTGTTGGCAATGACACAGGTCAAACGTTTTCTGTAAGTCTTCACAAGGTTTTCACACACTGTTGCTGGTATTTTGGCCCATTCCTCCATGCAGATCTCCTCTAGAGCAGTGATGTTTTGGGCCTGTCGCTGGGCAACACGGACTTTCAACTCCCTCCAAAGATTTTCTATGGGGTTGAGATCTGGAGACTGGCTAGGCCACTCCAGGACCTTGAAATGCTTCTTACGAAGCCACTCCTTCGTTGCCCGGGCGGTGTGTTTGGGATCATTGTCATGCTGAAAGACCCAGCCACGTTTCATCTTCAATGCCCTTGCTGATGGAAGGAGGTTTTCACTCAAAATCTCACGATACATGGCCCCATTCATTCTTTCCTTTACACGGATCAGTCGTCCTGGTCCCTTTGCAGAAAAACAGCCCCAAAGCATGATGTTTCCACCCCCATGCTTCACAGTAGGTATGGTGTTCTTTGGATGCAACTCAGCATTCTTTGTCCTCCAAACACGACGAGTTGAGTTTTTACCAAAAAGTTATATTTTGGTTTCATCTGACCATATGACATTCTCCCAATCCACTTCTGGATCATCCAAATGCACTCTAGCAAACTTCAGATGGGCCTGGACATGTACTGGCTTAAGCAGGGGGACACGTCTGGCACTGCAGGATTTGAGTCCCTGGCGGCGTAGTGTGTTACTGATGGTAGGCTTTGTTACTTTGGTCCCAGCTCTCTGCAGGTCATTCACTAGGTCCCCCCGTGTGGTTCTGTGATATTTGCTCACCATTCTTGTGATCATTTTGACCCCACGGGGTGAGATCTTGCGTGGAGCCCCAGATCGAGGGAGATTATCAGTGGTCTTGTATGTCTTCCATTTCCTAATAATTGCTCCCACAGTTGATTTCCTCAAACCAAGCTGCTTACCTATTGCAGATTCAGTCTTCCCAGCCTGGTGCAGGTCTACAATTTTGTTTCTGGTGTCCTTTGACAGCTCTTTGGTCTTGGCCATAGTGGAGTTTGGAGTGTGACTGTTTGAGGTTGTGGACAGGTGTCTTTTATACTGATAACAAGTTCAAACAGGTGCCATTAATACAGGTAACGAGTGGAGGACAGAGGAGCCTCTTAAAGAAGAAGTTACAGGTCTGTGAGAGCCAGAAATCTTGCTTGTTTGTAGGTGACCAAATACTTATTTTCCACCATAATTTGCAAATAAATTCATTAAAAATCCTACAATGTGATTTTCTGGATTTTTTTTCTCAATTTGTCTGTCATAGTTGACGTGTACCTATGATGAAAATTACAGGCCTCTCTCATCTTTTTAAGTGGGAGAACTTGCACAATTGGTGGCTGACTAAATACTTTTTTCCCCACTGTATATAGGGTGCTCTGTTCTCATCTAGGCTTTTAACATGAGCATATTTTTGATCAGGGGAAGTTTAGCCCTTAGCTAACTCACACATGTTTCCCAAAGCCATAGCACACAAAAAATCTAAAGAAAACAAGCAGCTGCACACAGTAAAACAATTAGTTGACCATGGCGACCAAGATTTGAGCAGAGAGAATATATTATTTCATTTTCTAGCTTGTCATCTGAGTGACTGTTGGGCAAGATGAACGGGAGAGAGGGTGGAGAATGAGCGTATGATTCCAGACAAGAATAGCTGCCTGTGTATTGGGAAATCTGTAAGAGAGAATTGGGAAGAGCGGGAACAAAAAGCTGATATTTGTCTAAATCTCTCTCCTCCCCATCCTCCTTCTGCCCTTTCACCCTATTTCTCTCTCTCTCTCTCTCTCTCTCTCTCTCTCTCTCTCTCTCTCTCTCTCTCTCTCTCTCTCTCTCTCTCTTACACACTTTCCTGTCTCTCTCTCTTCCCAGAACTCTCCGCTCTTCCACTACCTGCAGGATCTAGGACACACAGACTTTGAGGCATGTCCCACGGTGTCTCAGGAGGACGAGTGTGGAGGAGGAAAGGGGGGGGCGGCCTCCCTCCAGGACAGCCTCTCCAAACCCACAGTGAGTTACCCCCCCCCCCCCCCCACCCACAAACACACCCCTCACTGCTACCATAAGGAACCCCCACTATGATCGCATAGCCTTGGGGTGTTGTGTGTGTGCTTGACCAACTCACTGTACATTCATGCAGGCAGACAGAAAGTAATTACATATGCTATTGATTCCAAACAATGAAACATATCACACACACACTCACTCATTCACACTCATACCCGGCTGGCGGCAGACAGACAAGACAGTGATCATGGAGGAAAGAGAGCAACAGATTCAGAGCAAGGTATTTGTCTGTTCTGCATACACACACTATTGTCCCCTATTTCAGGGATATGCTCTGTCTATTTGGTCAGATTTCTCTATTAGTGCTGAGGGGAATTCCTAGTCCTGCTTAGGAAACTCTGTGAATGGAAGAAAGTCATTCTCTCCTTTCTCTCTCTCTCTGTCTCTCTCTCTCTCTCTCTCTCTCTCTGATTCACTGGGGCTGAATTAGATTACTGATATCTGAAGTGCATTAAACTCTTCTACTGTCATGCTGTAGGGTGTGTACATGTATTTGTCCGACCTTGTGTTTTTACTTGTGTGAACATGTGTATGCCTCTGTGGGACCTTGCTTGTGTGATATGTACTATAATATACATATGCACAATCATAACTCTTTGCTTCGCTAGTAATACTCAGCAACATTTAAATAACAATTTAGAGCCCTCAAGCAATGTTTGAAACATCTTGAACGCACCCCTGTTTCTATTTAGGGGGACAGGGTTCTGGCCAACCCATGGTCACATGACTCTGAGTGCGTTCCTTTTCCTGTTTATGTATTTCTTTCCTCGTAGGACAGGAAATTATGTCACATTAGCCTCCTCCAGGAACTTTCCGTCCGTCCGTGTCATGCTTCCTCTCCGAGAGCCTGTTATTCGGAGGAGCGTTTGGGAATTATTTTCATAGAGGACTCATCATGGATATAACCCATTTAAACATGGACATTGCCATTGCTATTGGGCATTGCCATCATCCACCATTTTAAAGTAGTCAAGTAGTCAACTGGATGGGGATTCCTTTTGGTTAATGGCAAAGATATGGTTATTCCTTGTCCAACTTCCTGTAGCCCAGATAGAGATGCAGCCAGGGCCAACACAGCCACCCACACTGTGTGTGTGTGTGCGTGTAAACATGGATGATTGCTTGGTGTATATTTGATTTCCAGACAGTCAGAGGCCAACACTGGTTATCTGCTCCTATTTAGCACACACTGGGCCTGTTTAACATACGGTTACATCATGGGCCATCTGTAGTGAAAATGTGTGTGTACATGTGCAAGTATGTGTGTGTGTGCATGTGATGGTGAATGTGTCTGCTAGCAGATGTGTATCAGCCCAAGGTGAAATTAGTATTTTCTGAACCATTGACCTACATCCTAGAGATTTGTGGAGTGGTGGCATCAGTATCCATACAAATGCATGTTACAGTTACATAATAGTTGTTTTCAAAACGAATTACAGTGTGGAGTAGAATTTAAAGTGCTATTTTAGAATGCTTCTATTATCTGTGGAAATGTCACCCCTGTTCTTCAAAAGAGTAACGCCACTAGAGGGGGGAAAATCATCCACATTTGGGAATGAAATAGGATTTCAAAAACGTTTGATGGCAGGTGGGGCACATTGATGTTGTCATTTTACAGAAATAGATGTCACACTAGACCAGAGCATTGAATGACATCAAAGGAGGTTAGTGAGGAGAAAGGGAGAAATATGGGAATATGTCAGTGTGCCATCTGAATACAAGGCTCTTTGTGCCACAATTGCCTGCTGACTCTACCAATGGGAATACATATTGCCTTTTTGCATGTGTCATGTCAGATAAGTCAAAAATGAGACAGCTAACTGAAGAGAGCGAGAGAGAAGGCAGGACAAGGTCAGTTGAAGTTTATTGGCAATAAAACCTTCACTGCCAGCCTGCCTAGTCTCCTCCTTCTTGTCCTGGAGTCATAAGAGAGTGAGATGGAGAGAAGATCAAGCGTTGAGGATTGCTTTATGGTAATATGGCCATAAGATTTAGAATACATACATAATGTCACACAGTCTCTCTTCCTCTCCCTCCTCTCTCCCTCTTTCACTCCCCCTAACTCTCTCTCTCTATCTCTCTGAGTCTCTCTCACACACACACACACACGTCTTTGCAGAGTGTTTTTTCCATTCTCTGACTCTCTCACGGCAGACGGGGAGCACAAAGCCTCGGGAATGTTTCCCAGGGTGACGCCAGCAGAATACTAAAAAGCAGGAGAAAGACGGGACCAGGAAATGAACTGTACTTACTAGTGATGTGTTGGTTGTTTGTGTCACTGTGTTTGCATTCCGCTGTCCGTGTGTATGTGTGTTTTTCTGTGTGGCCCGTCTCTGTCTCCTGCCTTAATGTTTGGATAGGGGATATTAGATTGAGATGAGTGAGTAGTAAAGAATGGAAGAGCCTACATGGGCCTCGCAAGAGTTTTTGAGGCCACCGCCTGCCCCTCATGACTAACACACACACACACACACACACACACACACTACCCTCTCTCTGGGGGGTGGTTTAGATGCCATGTTCCCTTCCTGCTGTTGTTGGTTGGTCGGTCAGTGTAGCGTGAACGCCCAGTCCTGCAGCTCAGACCCATAATCAATAGCCCTGCAGCCTGCTGGCCAATAACACACTGTGTCCCAAACTCCCAATAACAGTCAGTCAGGGTGAAAACACACCCAGGCCAGTCTGGATTTATAGTAAGGGTGAAATTGCCCCTAGACGCTGATCTTGGTTCAGTTTTGCATTTTCCACAATAATGGTTACGGTTAGGATTGGGAGAGGGTAAGCTGATCCTAGATCTTTACCTATTGGAAACTTCTTCATGAGCAACTGTAGGCTGGCTGGAACACTGAATCCTTACAGGCCCGGGTCAAAAATAGTTCACTATATAAAGAGAAAGGCTGCCATTTGGGACCTAACCTGAAATATGCCGCCTTAGTGGTGATGTTGCCTGATAGTACCAATGACTGTATGGGATAGTACTGCTACTTTCCCAAGTAATAGAAAATACTGGGAGGAAATTAAGGTATTCTGATCACTAGATTTTGTCACTCGCTGTAGGCATTTTAATTCACTCTGTCTTCACACTATTGTGGTTAAATTATCAGGATTTCTATATAGACATTTTGGAGAATTGTTTGGTTAAAAGCAGCATATCAAATTGTACAATTTAGTTGGAATGCTCATAATTACTCTGCTAGTAATTAGAATATAATTCTGTTTACTTTGTTTGTTTACAGTGAATCTCCTCTTGGAGCCTGGCAGACTAGCAACTAGGGGGGAATGGAGGGTGTTTGTGTGTTGGGGGGGGGAGTCGAGACACACACACACACACACACACACAATCAGTCACTCATTGTTGGTGTCTCAAAGAGCCTGTTTCCTGGGATATGCCCTGGAATGAAGAACATGTTTCTTAGGAATGTGTGTGTGTCTGTTATGAGCATAATTTGTGGTTGATGGCCAGAGCTCATTCCCCAGTGAGTTTGCTCTCACAGATGTAGTAGTCAGTGTTGTCTGCTTCTGCTGTTCGTATGAAGGATGTGTGACTTATTCATTTGCAGAATTATGTCTGGTTGATTACTCTGTTCCCCTTATTAGCTCCAGTCTCTTCCCCGCCTGACCCATTCTCCTCTGTGTTATTGGCAGGGAGGACATCTATGGAGATTGGCTGATGCCTTGTGGAGGCGGAGCCCGTTCCACCAGGCCGCCTCGGCCCATAGGCTGGAGCAGCAGCTGGTAAGGGTCACCATGGAAACCATGGGACTAATCATAGAACCTTAAGTGACTTCATCCCAAAGACACGTTCTTATATTCTTTCTCTCTGTGTCCTCTTCCTCTCCCTCCCTCCCTCCATCCCTCTTTCTTTCTCTCTCTCCCTCCCTATAGGACTGTGTGTTTGGCCAGTACGCGGTGCGGTGTATCCTGGACCAGGATGTGTTGCTCCAGGAGGATGTGGAGCTGATCGAGCTATTAGACCCCAGCCTGCTCACCCTTGGCTCCTCGCCCTCCGGCTCACCCAGACGAGACAACTCCCTGCCCTGCCCGCGCCTCCTCGCCTCACCCTCGCAATGGTACGCCCCAAACACAGATCCTAACATAGTCTCACACACACATACATATCCACATGTACACACAGCAGACACTAACATTCCGTCTCTTTCTGTCTTGGTTTTCTCTCTCTCTCTCGCTCTTTCTCTCTCTCTCTCTCTTCTCTTTCTCTTCTCTCTCTCTCTCTCTCAGGGACGTAGCAATGCTGGTGGGCCTGGCTGCAGTGTTACTAAGCCTGTCCTCTCTCTCTGACGGGGCCTGGTCTCTGGCTGTTATCCCGTGGTGTGCTGCAGTCATGGGCTGGGTGTGGCTGCGAGGGGCGGGGCTGTGGAGACAGGGGAGGATGCAGAGGGCAGCACACGCCCAGGCCTCCGAGCTGCAGACCATGGTGCTGAACAGCAAGGCTCTGACCAGCCTGGCCCGCAAGTCCCTGAGACTACTACAGGAAACAGAGGTCATCTCTCGAGGGTTCACCCTGTAAGTGGACCATTTGATCTACTATCTATCTACTTCATCCATAGTGGTAGTGTGCATCCACACCTTCCTACTCATATTGTGTGCATGCTAATCCTGCTGTGAGTCTATACTCCTCCCCCAACGTTAGTGTCCACTTTCACCCACTAGCACTTTCATCTACCCAACTATAAGGTTAGCACTTAGGCTAGTACCTATTATTATCCTAGGTTATCTTTACCTGCAGTGCCCACTTTTTACCTGTCCCTGCCTGTTCCACAGCCCGTTCCTCCCTACCCTAACCTCTGTTTTACTGTTCAGTCTCTGTAGTATTGTCGGTAGGACAACATGGTCACTGTATTCGTCTCCATCTGTTATCGTCTTGTTTGTTTTGTGATAGTATTTTGTCATAACCGTGTCATATGTTGTTAGCCTGTCCTGTTGTGTCTCAGTTAGTCATAAACGGATTATTAGCATGTCGTTAGCATGTCGTGTTGCGAGTGCTGCCCTGCCTCTCTGGGACGTCTGCACAGTTGTATCACATTTCACTTGTCAAGTCTGCTCGACAGGGTGAGTGCATCCAGCTCCTTTAGCAGGGCAGGGCTGGGGGCGGGGCCACGGGGGCAGCAGCTGATTGGCCTGCGGAAGGCGGTGTACCGGGCGCTCCGCTCAGCCTTCAGAGCCTCCCGCCGAGCCACCTGCCACATGCTCAAAGCATATCCTTCACACACACACACACACACACAGAGATAGAGAGGATAAGGTGTTCATTTTCAAATAGAGAAGGGATATTGCCAGACTAAACGTATGCAGGAATTAAACAATACAAGCACTAAAGATTGATTTCTACCAGTAACCCTTTGGTATTACCCTTGAGTGAATGTGTGTTAGGATATATTCTGTTTGACCAATTGGCGGGTCATTTAGTATATGAGTGTCAATCTGTGAGCTGATGGGCTCCTTAACTCGTACCCACTTATCCCCTGAACTCTGAGATCGACAATGTGACCAACTACGTGTCTGCGGTGCCTCTGAAGGAGCTGGGGATGGGCCTGGGGACAGAGCACCTGACTGACGAGGAGGCACAGGAGCTCACCGATGACTACAGCCTCCCTGCCCTCAAGGTGAGTGAGTGAGTGAGTCAGTCAGTGAGAAATTCAGAAGTGTCTTGCTTTTATAAAGACAGTGGAGGAAAGAGCATGATGAAAAAGAAAGGAAGAAAGATAGATGGAAGAGATCATTTAGATGCAGGTCGATGGTGAAATGACAGACAATAGGTTCAGGGCATTGTCAGAGTGATTGTGTTAGCTACTCTGTTTGTCCCTGTGGGCTTGCTGTCCTCCAGGTGCTGTTCCAGCTGTGGGTGGGGCAGAGCTCAGAATGTTTCCGTCGATTGGCCCTGCTACTGTCGTCACGACGACTTGAGGAGCCCAGGGAAGACTGGGTCGAAGGTGAAACCCCTCCTCCGCCCATACATCGCTCTGTTGCCACGGTGACACAGCCTCTCCACGGTGCCCTGGCCAGTTGCCTAGGTGACCTGCAGCGTAGCTATGAGTTCCACCGGTACTTTGAGACGCAGCACCGGACGCAGGGCTCGGACAGGGTGGGGCGCGCTCGACAGAAATGCAGAGAGCTCAACGCACTGCACACGTCTGTACGCAGCCTGCAGCTGCATCTCAGGGCCCTGCTCAACGAGTGAGTCAAACCTAACCCCTTAGTCAACCCTCACCCTCCTAACCCTAACACCTGTTACTCCATACCCTCCTCACCCCTCAGTCTAAAGGCGTCAGTATGTTTCAGTTCGGCTGGCGCCTATCCGAGAAATGAACGAGTGTGTTCGCATACTCCCTTAAAAGACCTTCACTTGAAAAACTTGAAAAAGCGACAATAGTACTGTTTGTCCATTTTGAGACGCCGTAGCCAGTATACACTTCATCAAAATAGTCAGAAATCTGTCATTAATTTGGATGTTTTTGTCGAGGAGATCTTAGTCATGCAATTTTACATCTAACTAAGATGTTTGGTGCAGTATTTCTCAATGAAGAAATGTGCATGAAAACGAGTCTTCTCTCGTTGAATAACAACAGACTATTGAAGAATCCCTACTGTTGACCAATCACCGACGAAGGTGCGTAGACTTCGGCTATCAAGTTCGGCTTGCCTCTAAAAAAAATTGTGTGCCCGAACAGCCGGGAAAGAAAACTCTTACCAAAGTCCAAAACAAACAAAAACGTCTCAATGTTGTCATAATAAATGCACAAACTTGTCTGAACTGTTTCCGCTGGGAAGCATGCGGACGCCTTTAGCCCCTTTTCCATACCCCACTCACCCCATCCTCCTCTCCCATCCTCTCCTCACCCCTCCTCCCCTAACCCTCCCCTCATCTCATCTCCTCTTCCCCTCACTAGGATGATTATCCTGGAGGATGACCTGGAGAAGCTGATGGTGACCAAGGAGGCGGTGGAGGTGACTGTGGAGGGCTACCAGGACATCCAGGAGCGTCTCAGTCACCTGCAGCCCCACATGCAGGCCAGCGCCGGATGCTGGGAGGACACCGTGGGCCAGGTGGAGCGCATGCTGAGGAGAGCTAACACCTGCCCAGGTGAAGAAAGGTTGCAGGTGTTACACACACTACCTTTATTAGGCTTAGGTAGTTAACGCAGCTGACCAGTTGAGGTGACAGGACCTGATGTTGGGTCTGAATACTGGACCCCCCCCAGGTTTCCATGGTTACAGTGGAGGGGTTATTTTTAGTCAGGACTCCCCCCCCCCCGCCCAGCACAGAGACTATTCAGAGTCAGAGAGGAAGTGGCTCCTTCAAATATAGGATAAGAACTAGAGCTTGCATGGGAGGGAGGGAACAATGACCTAGTTTCACCACAGACTGTTTCAGCACATTGTAGAGGTCTACTCTTTGGGAGCAGGGAGCAGGTTGACTGACTCAAGAGAGCTGAACACGGTTTAAACAAACAGATAATTGTATAAAGTGGTATGTCTGCATTTGAGTGTGTGTGTGTGTATACTTACCTGTATGTGTGTGTAATGTGTTCTATTCATCCTGTCTCTTTCAGGAACTCCTGAGGGTCCAGAGCAGTGTCTCCCTCCTGTGCCCTGCACCCCTGTCCCAACCTACACCCTCATCCTGGACAGGGACCCTGTGCCTGAGGAGCAGGTACTGAACCTCATACCTCACTGTGGATCTACACACACATACACACACACAACTAGGTGCCTGTATTGTGTGTCTTTATGTGTAATGGGTCTTTCCTGCCCTCTGATTGGCCAGGAGCTGGAAGCGTACGTGTCGGACTCAGAGGATGAGAACGGGTGGGCGGGGTCGGTGGTTGACATGCTGTCTCCCGAGGAACGAGAGCGCCAGCGGCGGGAGAGGGAGGAGTCTCGGCGTGTCCTATCGGAGCTCAAAGCCGTGCTGGGCCAGCGGGCGTCCGAGGGCGAGAGAAGGAAGTGGAAACAGCTGCTCTTCAACGACCAAGGTCTCTCTCCTCCTACCCACAATGCACCTCTCTGCCTCTGCCGCTCCTTTAGTTCTCTGTCTCTCTCTCTTTCTCTCATTTGGTGTGATCATTTAATGATGATGTTTTACTTCCTTTTGTCTCCTAGCGGCGGTGATGCCTATCGTTTCCGGGGTAACGTCAGCAGAATCTTCTACAGAATCTCAGACTCCCTCCGACCCATTGGACACTCTGACACTTGTGGGCATGGCCAAACCAGGTGTTGCCGAGGGAAACCACCTATCGGACAGGCTGAACAACGAGGAGGAAGACGAGGTCAGGGACGAGTGCCCCCTCACAGAGGCAGAGGAAAAAGCACTTACAGAGTTCTGCTGTGGTGAGGCGGAGGAAAAGGGGGAGGAGGGTGAAGGTGGGGCTTCGGTCCCAGATAGGACAGGCGGGGCGCAGCTCTACCAATACGACGGGCTGCCTGACGAGGGGGCGGGACTGAACGGGCCCGACCTTCTATTGCAGCCCCGGATTCCCGCCATCACGGTGATGGACAGGCTGACGGAACTACACGGCTCGGCGATGCTCAGCTTTAATTCCGCCCTCGCCGCCCAGGTGGCGGCACATTCGCACACCTTCGCCAACATGGAGGAGCAGACGTTTGGAGACAGCGGAGAAGAAGAAGGGGTAGAGGGAGAGAGGCGTTCGCTACCTGATGGACAGACAGCTGAGAAGGACTAGAGCCTAAACCCTCCTGCTTTACGGAGCTTTGAACAGAACAGATATGGATAGACAGCCAGGGTTCCTGTATTTATGTCTGACCCCACTCCAGGGTTATTTATTGCGGCTGTCCGTTTCCTTGGCTCCATGGGTCTCTGTCATGTCTTCATCGGTGTGTGTGCATGATTGGGTGAGTGCCTGCGTGTGAGTGAGAGAGCATTGTGTGTATGCGAGAGAGCATTGTGTGTATACCAATGTCTGAGTGTGTTTGTGAGTTTTAAGAAGAGCACTACACCACTTTCTGTTACACTCCTCCACCCATCCGTCCATACTTTACCCACAATTCCCCCTGTGGCCACTCTCCTGTGCTACTCAGGTACCAGAACCACAACACAAACTCTGACCTCACCGTCACAAGGTGTTCAGTTAAATCCTAAGAATCCCCTGTAGCTGTTAGAGGCAGAGAGACTTGGTTATAGCATCAAATACATTTTCTCTAACTATTGACCAGTACCTTTCCATGATATGTCAACGTTGCCTAACAGTTTAGAATATTGGTGTCTGATTCAAAAAGCCTAATTAGCTAAATCATTATTATTATTTTTACCACATCACTTCCTATATGACTCCTGTATTGAAAAGTCGAGTCTGATGTGTGGTTGCTCTGTTGAATGTGTGCCCGACAGCCCAGGGTAGAATGCTCAGGTACTGAATCACTGACCGTGGGCTGAATGTAAGATGTTACTATACACACACACACACACACACACAGATGTTACTGCACACACACACCACACTGTAAAAGGGGAAGGAGGGGTACATTTCAAAGAGAGCAGGGGGAAAGCTATTTTTATTATCACTGTTTTATTTCTGGTCTGCCTCTCTGAGTCTGCACTTATACGCACTCCTCAACTCACTAGGAATGGCCCTGTAACTGCAAAGATGTGTTGGCTAAAACACCTGTCACTCAACCAACAGCAACCAATGAGCAGACAGAGACATCAGAGAGAAGGGTGGACATAGTTGACCTTGTAAAATGGACTAGCCTACCAGATTTGGAAATATTTTGATATATTGAGTGTTGTTTTTATTTGAGAGATGAATATGGTCAGGCAGTGGATTGCTGTGAAATGAAATTCATCCCCATCCACTAATGAACCAAACACATTCACAGTGCTTATTTCCCCAATGGTCTCGTCAAGTGCTCCTCTCATGCTCATCTGATGCAGGATACAGGATCAATGATGCTCCAATGAAGAGTCTGTAGGGGATGATAACTGGGTGATTATTGAGGTAAAGTGTTGTACTACCTCATGCCACCTCTACTGCACCTACTATGAAATCTGTTCCGCTGGGGTATGTAACTCCATACCTACTACATGTATCTCAAATCTGAATGGTCTGCTGTGTCAGAACGTTTTGGTTCTGTCTTGTGTATAACTGTAAATGTTTCTATGGAGATTGTACCACTGTATCTCTCCCCTGTCTCGGCATCTGTGTTTCCATAACGCTCACTCACTAGAATGTGATCCAACTCTATTGATTTGGGGATTGAGTTTGGGACAGTTATTACGGAGTGTCCTGGAATGCTACTATCGGTGATTACAATTAATTTGAGTGATGATCGATGATGATGATGATCGAAGGACAGCATGTGCTTATTGACTGCACTGATGATTCCGCTTGTGTGTGTCAGGGGGTGTCTGACCACCCTGAGGTGCCCCCTCACCGTGTCTGCCTTGCCTTGTCTTGCCCTACAGTCCTCCACCATATGTCCCCTTCCTGAAGTGAGTTCTGTCCCTCCTACATTTAATTTGTAAAATAAAATGCTATTCTGGAGCTGACTGTCTTTTGTCTCTCTTTTCATATCGGTCTCTTTCTTTCTGTCTTTCTCAGCTGCCTGAGACTGACCCTAACCCCAGGGGGAAGGGGGAGGAGAGGAGTGGTAGGGGGTGAGGGTCAGGGTAGTGAGGGTTACCTGATATATTTTGTGGAGTCCCAAATTTGTCTGACCTAGAACAGCTGGTGATCCCTGTACCACATGTAAGACCCCAACCCAGCGCACAGACACACACACACGTACCTCTCACACATTTAAATGCATTTAGCTGTTGTGAATAGTCCCATGTTAACGTCCAATACAATTAGTGTGTGAAACTGAAACCTCAAGGGTCTGTCTGAGGTAAACCAAACAGCACCTTAGCTCTTTTGTGTGTCCCTATGGGAGTGTGTCCCCCTTTCCCCCCCCCCTGTGGGAGTGTGTCCCCCTTTCCCCCCCTGTGGGAGTGTGTCCCCCCTTTCCCCCCCTGTGGGAGTGTGTCCCCCCTTTCCCCCCCTGTGGGAGTGTGTCCCCCTTTCCCCCCCTGTGGGAGTGTGTTCCACCATTCCCTTGGACAGCCCCTCTAGTATCAGCCACCCTGTGAAACACAAGACCAATCAGCCCATTCAGACTGCAGGAGAACAGAAAGAGAGAGGGCTGTCTGACATACTTACTGAGGATGGTTTCCCCTGGTATGGAAGTACAGAAGGAGGCATTATTAGGGGCAGAGCAAAAACGTCCATCATCACACTGTGAAAGCCACATTGGGACTGAACAGAGCAGCAGTGTGTGTCTCCAACAACCCAGCTGTCCAATCATTTTAGAATGTTGTACTTTCATTCCTCTCTCCCAAAATAACCATTGACCACGGAGCAGGCAGGCACGGCTTCATGTCTTTATTGAATTAGCCTCAGCATCCTTATACATGCAGCAGGCTGCATGTCAATACTCTGAACTGGCTTCCTCTCCTAATGTCCAGAGACTCCAGAGGAATGGTGAAACTGAATGGTGGAAAATGTATGCACTCACTAACTTTAAGTCGCTCTGGATAAGAGCGTCTGCTAAATGACTAAAATGGAAATGGAAATGGAAGCCTACTACTGGGGATTTGCTGCTTCCTCACCTGGCTTTCCCAGTTCTCCCAGATCGGGGAAGGGAAGGAGCCAAGGGCAGGGAGCATGGAGTCTGCAATTCTTGAGAGAATTTGGAAGCTGGTAGCTATAGAGTTCTTGTTGTGTGGTGACTGAAGATTATAAAATTGCTCCTGCTCCTGGAATAAATGTATGGAAATATGGGCCCTTCTCCAAATAGCTTGTTACCTAAGATTAATACAATGCTGCCATCTAGCGGCCAATATTTTTTTAGTCGTAATAATAAAAAATCAAGGTTATTAAGATGTATAGTACAACATATTGTTATAACAAATAAACCAGGTTTGTTGAATCCGGGCTGTTCACTGTGTATGATATTTTGTCTCTGGAGATACATATTTTAGGAGAATTGTGATGGTGATCCATGAATTAATTCCTACATCAATTTTGCATTGAGTGAGCACAGCACGCGCTCAGCTGATTCCGCAAGTTTCCCACAAACCACCGCGCTTCCTTTTCCACTAACGCCTGCAATCATGGCGGATGTGGTGCAGGAGCAGGTACCGGAGCAGAAGCTCGAAGAGGAGACGGTCCTGAACGGAGATGCAGAAGAGAAAGAGGAGGTAGCCAAGAAGAAGAAGAAAAAGAAGAAGAAGAAGTCGGTAGCCCCCGGTAAGAGTTGCGGACAGGCCAGTTACCGCTGAGCCGTGTATGGATGATTGTGCCTTGTGAAACATGCGCCAGGCCTTATGAAACACGCCTCGCTCTCATTACACACGGATAGCTAAGCATGGAGCGAGACTTCTGTCAAGCCGATCAGGAGGCCGAAATGTCAGTAAACAGACGGAAGTAGTCATACAAACAAACGTAGTAGTTAGTTAGCTAGCTAGATATCTTTCTAGCTTAGCCGCGGTTCGTAGTCCTTTGCTGGCATGTGCCAGAAGTCGCTAGCAATTTCAAAGCCAAGTTTTCTTGTTTCATAATGTGTGGTGGAATGCTGTCATGTTAACGTTAGCTTTCTTACATAAGGTAAACGCCAGAATACAGATTGACTACGATCTTGAGGTTGTAACTATCACAGACTATGATCTGTTTCATAATAATGTATCTATTTAACACTAACTAGTTACGCATGATTGACAGCCAAGATTGGCCCGCTGTTGGCTAGCTAGCTATGAAACGTCAAGAAACGGTTTGATTCAGACAGCATGCTCATTGAACTCTGCGAACTTACTGCTGACATAACGTTATCCTCTCAGCATGTGCTATTTAGAGCAACCTGTCTTCTTGTAACAACGTCAACTAGCTACAGTTCGCATGAATTCTTCTAATGGATGTCAGATGGTTGCCCTTTAAATTGACATACACAACATTTAGCTTGTAATGTCCCCTCGTTCGTTACAGCGTGTTTACATAAGTAAATCAGGCTTAGCTGCGTGTGCTGGACCCAAGGTTATACACAGACGTTAATACTCTCCCCTCTCCTGCCAAGTCCCAGACCTAAGGGATGCACTTTGCGGGATGGGATCATTGTCCACTGTCCAAAAGCATCACTTCCCCGCTGGACAGTACCTTCCCTTGCACGCACATAACACATCTCTCATCTTCCCCTCCCCTGTGTCTCCTGGATGCTCGCTGTTGTGTGTGATGGAGCTGTAGTCGCCATGGCCGCCATGACGTGGTTAGTATGATGTATAGGATGAGCTCACCAGTGTGTATCTGTCTCTGCGTTTTATGACTGCAGCAGCCGGCACTGAGGCTGAGGGCGATGGAGTGGCTGAAGTCACACAACAGCTGGAGAAGCAGGCTCTGGAGGACAAAGAGAAAGAAGAAGACATGGAGGATGGTAAGACATCGTAACAGTACTCCACTCTAGCCTAGTACTAGGCAGCCCCTGACCTAGAACCACATGGGCCGAGCTCCAACCATGGCTCTTCACACCCTGCTGCGGAGCACCTGAGCTGGGTTCAGTCCTGTCGTTGCTCCCCGTAACCCAAATCTGTCAAATCCTAAACCTTAACCATCCCATGTCTGACCCATAAGGACGTAAGTCTATCTCCAGCACAGAGATGACCTTACACATAACTACTTACACATCTACCAATACATGGCCTGCTGGGAGCTGATAAACTCTGGTGTTACATTACATGTGACAAATGACTTCAAATTCCTCCCTATTTCTCTCAGATGGAGACGAGGGGGAGAACTCAGCAGGCAAAAAGAAGAAGAAGAAGAAAAAGAAGAAAGGACGTGAGTTGGTCTTATTTCCTTGGACACTTGAGAGTTCTGACTTTCACTTTGTCTGGTCATGTATAGGGTGCAGTGGGAGAGTAGCCTATGATCTAGTGATGGATATGACTGGCTGGCTCTCTGCCATACTGCTGCACTCTGGAGCATTACCATAACCCTGCAGCCCCCCTCAGGTCCTCAGGCTAATGGGCACACTTTGCTTTTCCCAGAATATTGCTGTGTCACCTCAGGAATTACAACTCAAACTTTCTAGCTAGTTTATGAACTGGTAATGAACGGTTATGTGACTGATTGTTTCTTCCTGTCTTTCACAGCCAAAGTTCAGACTGACCCTCCATCTGTGCCCATCTGTGAGTTGTATCCAAGTGGAGTTTTCCCCATCGGTCAGGAATGTGAATACCCCCCATTACAGGATGGGTAAGATTCATACACGCACTCATACACAATCTCACAAACACCTACTCTTGGCTTAGTGTGTGGTTCGTACCTGGTTAGTGTGGTAGCGGTGCCCAGCCTCTTATTTCCCAAGCACTATGTTATACTAGAGTGGCAGCTCCTCTGATCATCATGCTGTACCTGTCCCAGCTGCAACACAAACTGGTAGCTACCAGAGAGACCGGGGAGGGAGCTTTTCAGGTTTGAGTTTGTTCTGAAATAAACAGTGCTGCCTGGCGTACATGCATCAGTCAGTGTGCTTATCAAACAGAAGTGACAGGGTGATTCTTCACCTTGGATCTCTTCACTGATGTGAAACTCATTGACATAAAGGGCTCTTAAAGATGTGCTATGCAGAAATCACGCCGCCATTTCCTGGTTGCTAAAATTCTAAAAGTTCACCTAATTTCAGTTTGTGACAAAACAAGCAAGTATAGTGTAGAGAATCATTGTACCATCTAAACTGCTGTGAAATATATTTTCATAACCAAAAATATTGTATTTTCAGCTGTTTTGGAGCTGGTGTACAAAACCGAAAGTAAAAGATGCAAAAACGAAACTTACCGGGAAGCATAGAAATAGCGCACATAGAACAGATCTACCGCTTCTTAGACTTGCTTTCAATGAGAATGACAGATCTATAACACACAGTTTGATTTATCATCTAGTCATGCTTGCATTGATTCCCCTGGGTGGTGGAGCAGGATTAAGATGTATGCGTGTACACTAACTTCGTTGTTGATCCCCCAGGGTAGTCGTGCAATGACAAAATGTTTGTGTGTGCTAACCTCATTGCTGATTCCTCCTTGTGAATCACACGCACAGTGATGGGAAGAAGTGTGTGTGTGCGCTGACCGCTAACCTTGTTGCTTATTCCCCTTGGTGCAGGCGTACCGCGGCGTGGAGGACCACCAATGAAGAGAAGCGGGTTCTGGACAAGGCCAATGAGGAGGTGTGGAGCGACTTCAGACAGGCTGCTGAGGCCCACAGACAGGTCCGCCAGCACGTCCGCAGCTTCATCAAACCTGGCATGACCATGATCGACATCTGGTGAGCCTTCATCATCATCACAGCTGAGATGTTGCTTCCTATTCTCTTTCTATTTGTCAGTCTTTTCCCCTTGCATTCCATCTCTCTTTTGCATACATCCGTTCTTGCGCTTTCATCCCATCTCTTTCTGTATAACTAATTTCTCTGTGTGTGTGTGTTTCAGTGAGCGGTTGGAGAACTGTTCTAGGAAGTTGATCAAGGAGAATGGTCTGAGTGCAGGCCTGGCCTTCCCTACCGGCTGCTCTCTGAACAACTGTGCAGCTCACTACACCCCTAACGCCGGAGACCCCACCGTGCTGCAGTACGACGACGTCTGCAAGATAGACTTCGGAACACACATCAACGGTACACCCATGCCACAGTACACGCATCAAAACATACTTGACACATAAACATATACAAACACATATCAACTAGCCACTCAGACCCGTAGGATGCTGTGCTCACTCCCACTGTGTTTTTCAGGTCGGATCATTGACTGTGCCTTCACCGTCACCTTCAACCCAAAGTATGACAAACTGCTCGAGGCCGTGAGAGACGCCACCAATACTGGAATCAAGGTCCGACATCCATTCACACACCATCCATTTCTGAGGCCCATTGATATAATTTGACATAAGTGTAGTTCAGATGTTCAGTCTCATCTCAATCATGCTTCATCATTCTGCAGTGTGCTGGAATCGACGTGCGTCTGTGTGATGTTGGCGAGAGAATTCAGGAAGTGATGGAGTCGTACGAGGTGGAGATTGATGGCAAAACATACCAAGGTACTGACTGAGCTACTGAACACACACAGTGAATTTGTGGTTGTAATTTATGATCAAAGATAATCACTCACAAATGTAAATTTGGATAATTTCCAGTGAAGCCAATCCGAAACCTGAACGGCCACTCAATCGGCCAGTACAGGATACATGCCGGCAAGACTGTCCCCATCGTCAAAGGAGGAGAAGCTACCAGGATGGAGGTGTGTATCTCTTACTGATGCTACAATTGAGCGTTTGATGAGCAATGAGGGAGATGGTGAGGCTAGAAAGGGCTGCAGAGTAATGATGTGCTGTGGGAGGGTGACCGAGTAATGATGCTGAGTAATGATGTGCTGTGGGAGGGTGACCGAGTAATGATGCTGAGTAATGATGTGCTGTGGGAGGGTGACCGAGTAATGATGCTGAGTTAATGGTGTGCTTAAGGACCGTGCCAGGTCCAATTAGCCAGTAACGCAATACCTGTACACCTGAATTGGTGTCGTCGATGATCAATGAATTTCTATAACACAGGATTGCCTGCCCCTGTGTATTTGGTTGACTGCAGCAATGTCTTCCTACCCCAATAAGTGTGTCCTTTTCTGACTGATTACCTCTTTTGCACCACCAGGAGGGAGAGGTGTATGCCATCGAGACCTTTGGCAGCACAGGGAAGGGCGTGGTCCATGATGACATGGAGTGTTCTCATTACATGAAAAACTTTGATGTGGGACACGTCCCAATCAGGTAAGTTGGTTGTCTGTGTGAACACTGGACTGTGTTGGGCAGCTGTGAGACTGTTTATTCCACAGAGGTTGTACCCTCTCTCTCACTTCCTCCCCCCAGACTCCCCCGGGCGAAGCACCTGTTGAACGTGATCAACGAGAACTTTGGCACGCTGGCATTCTGCCGGCGCTGGCTGGACCGGCTGGGGGAGAGCAAGTACCTGATGGCCCTGAAGAACCTGTGCGACCTGGGCATCGTGGACCCCTACCCCCCGCTCTGCGACACCAAGGGCTCCTACACCGCCCAGTTCGAGCACACCATCCTGCTTAGGCCCACCTGCAAGGAGGTGGTGAGCCGAGGGGACGACTATTGAATACTGAACCCAACCTCATTCAAACCGCACCACAACCCCTCCCCTTCAACCCCCCCAATACAGAGAATACACACTGAACCATCTGCCTGCACTCTAACAGAAAAACAGCATCTAAATACAGGACCTTGCTTTGGTCTCTTCTTTCTCCTGCCTTGGCAGAGCAGCCAGTAAGGGCTTTGAAAAATGCTGCTGTAAGGTACCCCACAATGCATTTCTACCGCTACTTAAGAGCGAGCATGGAGGGACTGGCTTACGTAGCAGCGGCTGAATCTTTTTTTCCTCTTTTCTTTTGGTGACATTGAACCACAAAGCTTAGTCGTAATTTTCCCCCTTGCTAGAGGGATCTGTGGACACAGTGGGGTCTCTGCAATCTTCTGAAGCCAGACCTGCCATAGAATATCAAATAAACTGTTACAGTTCAACTGCTTAGAACCCCCAGTATTTAGATCCTTACCAAAATAAGTACCCTCCTCTCCCTCTAAGTATGCCCAGGGCCTGGAGTGTTTCCTCATGTGACCTGATCAGGAAAAACTCCTGGCCCTTACGGCTATACAGTTCCTGGTTCAGACTGCGGTCTTTCAGCCTGACCCTACAGTGTTCTGGTCATTAGTAACAGTCAGGACCCAGTCACTCGGTTGGTGGTAGGCTGGATCGATTGCTCGTCAGAACCCTGAAATTGTACAATTCTTCCGCTTTTGAGTTCTGGGTGGGAACGATGACTAGAAAACCATGCATCTATAGCTGTATGTTTGGCTTCATTATACCGCTACAGGGAGGGGACTCTGCACTCCGCTCCTCCAGTATTTATTTCTTAGATATTTGTAAAATATCTTTGAAATGGCTGCTGCCACTATGTGTACCACTTAATTTTGAATTCCCTGGAAATGTTTTTGTAAGAAGAAAATTATTGAAATAAAAAATGTTGCTCTCTGTATTCCTTCACTGAGAAGATAGTCTTGATTGGCTGTTGGTGGTTGGAAGGATGAGTCCTCTGTTCCTACGCAACCTTGCAGGCATCCAGTAGATTCTAGCAGAGGAAGAAGCGAGATTTCACTCGCCAAAATCTGTCCAAAGCATTTCTATGAGCTTATCGCCTGCCTTCCCGCCTTTTGGGACAACAACTCCCATTGTTAGGGCGGAGACATGAGCATCTAGTCATTATATACAAATCTCTGATTCTAGTTGAACACTCAGCTGAGGCAGCCATCCCGTATACCCTATTTAGAGGAAGCAGTGCGTAAGGCTGTCTGAACTAGTCATGTGAAGGGGATTAAGGTGTGAGGGCTATAGCACTATACAGCATGGTATGAACCTTACCTGAATTAATACACACTGTGGTGTGGATAAAAAAATTAGACAAACTAGTGTTTTCTTAGAAAAATGAAAATATATTCTCATGAGGTAAATTTCTCTAGAAATTGAGGTAAGAATTTGCATAGTATCACTTCCATAAATGTACACACACCTGAGGCAGTATGAGCACAATGCCAACAAACATCGGACAGAAAAAAGGATGAAGTGGAAATGTGCTTTGAATTCTCCCCAAAAGGTGAATCTAGAGAGATTAACAGCATTTAGGTTGAGAGCAGTTTAGCTAGTACCAGCATGGAGATATCTTTCTTTCGCACTCAGTTTCGCCGAACACACAGCAAGGATCTACTTGCATCAGTCTGGCTATTTTACACAAGAATACAGAGCCAACTATATTGTGTGAACAAGTGCTGGTATACAAACACACAGGAGAGACGGGTCAGATATCTTTAAAGACAACACTGTCTAACCTGCTGGTGATTCCAAACAACTAGAGGGGGAAGGGATCAATTACAAAACTATAAAAAAAATCTTAAGTCAGTGGCCGTGTTTATAAAAATAAAAAAACGTGTGAAAAACCCTCCATGTCCGAGTATACAAAAATACATTCAATATTCTAAATGCTGGCCTGCATTTTACAGTGCTACAAAGAACTGATACCAAATTCACTCTTCTGGCAAAGGAAATACAAAAATAGATATGTTCTGATATGAAGGGCACTTTTCTATGACACTTGTGACTGTAGAGATACCAATCAAAAGTTAGGAGGCAAAAGGCCTAAAAACACCAGCACCAGGAAAGACATTTACATTATGAAGACAGAGGGCAGCATTTAGATAAAAACAAACATCCCTTTGGAAACTGGTTACAAAATAGATTATCCAAAACCAGTCAAAGAATATATCCTGCAAATGTTGTGTAATTGTTTTTGGAGAAGCTGAGATACTTTTTAAACGTTTCCCCTCGTGCTTTGGCTTGAGTTCAGTAGTCAATCATGAACCATTTCCTGACCGACCGGACTTACTACAGAGAGCGATACCAAAGACGGTGGATAAATGATGTCCCACTCAGGCTGTTTACCATTTTAAAAAATTGTCACAGTCCACATAAGTGGTGGCTCTCCCATAGGCACCAATGTAATAGCAGCTAGGTCTGGTCTGCTTAGTTCATTGACTGTATATGAACCAGAAAATAGGAGCGAGTGAGGTGTCTCGCTTCCTCTTCAGTCTCTGGCGAAACTAAAGGGGTTAAACTCTAAAGACTATTTATGGAGGGAATTACCTGTTTCAGTCTACATTCCAGTTGAGAATTTGACTGACTGTGACATCCCTTAGTCAACTGTCTAAAGTGGCTGTGAGAAACATTTTAGTTGATTCAAATCAATTTGAGAAAAATAAAATCACAGAGCAGACAAGCAGAAAGGTTGACACCTGAATAAATCTGAACTACTGACAGAGGAAACTTACACAGTCACGCCTGGCCAAAGTCTGTCTGTCTGTCTACTCCTGTAAAGGCGTGTCTATAATACAACGCACACCTTGGCTGATACTCTTGATAAAATAAACCTGTACACTATCAAAAACAAACATTTTCCTTTTCTTTTAAAACCCATATAAACACCATGTACAAGAAATTCACAAAGCAAAAAAAATAAAAAGAGTGTGTCCTTTCTCTGTTCTTTTAGAAAAAGAATCATCAAATGATAACTTCTCCCCCCAGAGGGGATAAAATGCCCACAAATAAAGAGCTAGAGAGAGAGGGCAGGGTTGAGATGTTTGGGGCGGGGCTCAGTGGGTCCTGGTCCTATAGCGGCCTGTCTTTGTCCTGAGTGAAGCGCTGCGTGTAGAAGAGTATATAGGCCTGGGCGCGACACACCTCCTCCACAGAACAAACGTTCAGCTTAGAGTCATTACAGTGGACCCAGAACCCTGAGAGGGAGGATGAGGAGGAAGGAGGAGAAAGGGTATTTGATGTAGGTAAATTCCATGAAAATGTATCAAGGTTGTGTGTGTTATCTTTGTATTTGTTTTTTTTTACAGAAAAATGTATTTTGCGTGTGAGTGAGAGATGTTCTTACTTCCTTCTTTGTTGTAGCAGTAGGCAGTGTAGTGGCCGGAGCCGAAGCCCTTCCCATGATGCATCACCACAGCGGACAGCTCGTACAGGAAGTGTTTTGGGCGCGGGGAGCCGGCGGAGGCGGGACTGGAGCATGGCGAGCTCTTGGGGGAGGGGTCTCTGCAGCAGTATGGCTCCATGTTGAGGAGCTGGTCAAAGCTGACGTGGACCCCGATCTTCTCCCTGTGGTTCCTACCAGACCACCTGACGACCAATCACAACCACAGAACACTCAAAGGACACATCAACAGACCAATCACCAAATAAGACAGCTAGAGTGTTTCAAATGCATGGTTGTGTTATGGTTCTTGAGCAATTGCTATGTGCTCAGTGGTTACCTGCAGTGTTTGAGGTGCTTGGGTGTGTTATGGTCATTGTGTGGTTGTTATGTGGTCATAATGCGGTCAGTACCTGAAGCGTTTGAGGTGCAGGCGCAGGACCTGAGGCAGTTTGTGAACCATCAGCTGTTTCTGAGCTTCAGTCAAGATGACGGGTTTGGAGGAGAACCTCCGCCGCTTACCTAGAGACAAGAGTGAGCGTTAACCCACAGAGGCCATACGCTGCAAGACCCCTCCCCCAGAGACCTGCCGTGTGGTGCCAGGTAACCTCTCCTCAACGGACCAAACAAAGGAGAGATTGTGGTACGGAAAAAAAAGGACTGGGCACGCCCCATTCTCTCGACGGGCTGTAGTGGAACAGGTGAGAGCTCAAGTCTGGTGTCCACATCACCAACGAACTATCATGTCCAAGACAGTCGGAAGAGGGCACGACAAAGCCATTCCCCCAGGAGATGAAAAGACATGGTAGATCTCAAAAATTATACAGCGCGAGAGCACCTGACGGTTGCATCACCGCTGGTATGGAACTGTGGCCTCCGACGCAAGGCATACAAGGGTAGTGCGTACGGCCAGTACATGGGGCCAGGCACAGACTCATACAGGCGGTGTCGAGGAAGCCCTCAAAATTCTCAAAACTCAGCACCCTAGTCATAGACGTTCTCTCTGCTACCGCACGGCAACGGTACCGGAGTGCCAGTCTGGTCCAAAAGACTTCTCACAGCTTCTAACAACCAAAGCCATAAGACTCCTGAACAGCAATATGGCTAACCCAGACTATTGCACTGCCCCCCACCCCATCTTTTACGCTGCTGCTACTCTGTACTTATTTAAGCATAGTCACTTACTCTACCACATGACATATCACTTCAACTACCCAACTAGCCGTGCCCCCGCACATTGACTCTGCACCGTACCCCCTGTATATATAGCCTCCTTTATTTAATTTTACTCTGCTCTTTTTCAACACTTTTTTTGTTGTTGTTTTATTTTACTTTTGTTTAAAACAATGCACTGTTGGTTAGGGCTGTAATAAGCATTCACTGTATGCTGCATTGGTTTCGGCGCAGTGGCCATACTTTTGATTTGATTTTATTTGATAATATCAACTTGCACAGTAGGGGAACCCCTCAGACAGGGCCAAGTACGTGAGCGAGTTGAGCGTGTGAATCACGTCATGGGCAGTGCGCAACCCCCCAGCGCTCAGTCTTCAACCGCTTGCTAAAAAAACTCTCCTCAAAAAGGACTACTGCAGGCTCCAAATTCGCTTCATTCATTAAAATCACAATTTAACCAATACCAATCTATTTTTGTGACTACCTGGACCTACCATTTGGTTTTGAAGTATTGAAACCAAACCATATGATTTGAATGAAGTATTTTAATAAACAGGATAAGGTGACTGTATAAAGCGCTCATCATGTCAAATAGGCCACAGTCATATTAAACAGCATATAAACACTAAATAGGTCAGCAGCCAGACAGGGAGCCTAAGAAGGAACGAAAATGCTATATTATTTCAATTATTTCAAGGCTATAGTCCACAAAAAAAGTAATTGTGAAGCATTTGCGAGTGCGAATCACTAGGCTGGCAGGGTCATTAAGCACTCAGCATTTAAACAACATTTTTTTGTATTAAATCATTATAGTCCATAAATTGCACATACAGGCTGTGACTTACTTAGAATTAATTACAAATTAAACGAAAAATGGCTTATTAGGCTCCATCTACAGTGCCTTTGAATACATTTTTAGAAACATGTGTTTGGCCAGAGTCTGTGGCTTCAGGCTCATGCGATGGTGCTTGGAGAGCAGGCCAGAAGCAGATACTATCTTAATATAATATGCCATTTAGCAGACACTTTTATCCAAAGCGACTTACAGTCATGCGTGCATACATTGTTTTTTTGTGTATGGGTGGTCCCGGCGTTACAAGCGCCGTGCTCTACCAGCTGAGCTACAGAGGACCACAAGGAGGAAGGAGAAGAGAGAAAGGGTATTAGATGTAGGTAAATTCCATGAAAATGTATCAAGGTTGTGTGTGTCATTTTACATTTACATTTTAGTCATTTAGCAGACGCTCTTATCCAGAATCTTCTCAGCGCTTGCAAAGCCACTGGGGATGCTAAACACCCTTCGGGCCACTCTTCTCAGGCTGGGCAGGGATGCGTAGTTGTTATTTTATTTTTCTGTAGGTAGGCCTAAAGGATTTTAGGTAAAATAACCCTATCAAAACAGAAAGCTCATTGAAAGAGGTAAAATGCCAGGCCTATTGGGCCAAAATCAATGATGGCCTATTGTATAGATAATAGAACGAAAACTGTAATTGCCCTAAAAGTCTAAACCCTTTCTAAGCCGGGGCGGGGGTTCTACTAAGCTATATGGAATTGTTTTAAAAAAGAAGGTCATACCAAGGATCATATAGCTATTACATATTACAAAATTATTTGATGAAAAATTATTTTTGGCCTTACTGCTATTAGCCCATACAAACGCATTGAATAACATATTCACTACATGGAACAGATACAATGGGGGAAAAAAAGTATTTAGTCAGCCACCAATTGTGCAAGTTCTCCCACTTAAAAAGATGAGAGAGGCCTGTAATTTTCATCATAGGTACACGTCAACTATGACAGACAAAATGAGAAAAAAAAAATCCAGAAAATCACATTGTAGGATTTTTAATGAATTTATTTGCAAATTATGGTGGAAAATAAGTATTTGGTCACCTACAAACAAGCAAGATTTCTGGCTCTCACAGACCTGTAACTTCTTCTTTAAGAGGCTCCTCTGTCCTCCACTCGTTACCTGTATTAATGGCACCTGTTTGAACTTGTTATCAGTATAAAAGACACCTGTCCATAACCTCAAACAGTCACACTCCAAACTCCACTATGGCCAAGACCAAAGAGCTGTCAAAGGACACCAGAAACAAAATTGTAGACCTGCACCAGGCTGGGAAGACTGAATCTGCAATAGGTAAGCAGCTTGGTTTGAAGAAATCAACTGTGGGAGCAATTATTAGGAAATGGAAGACATACACGACCACTGATAATCTCCCTCGATCTGGACCTCCACGCAAGATCTCACCCCGTGGGGTCAAAATGATCACAAGAACGGTGAGCAAAAATCCCAGAACCACACAGGGGGACCTAGTGAATGACCTACAGAGAGCTGGGACCAAAGTAACAAAGCCTACCATCAGTAACACACTACGCCACCAGGGACTCAAATCCTGCAGTGCAAGACGTGTCCCCCTGCTTAAGCCAGTACATGTCCAGGCCCGTCTGAAGTTTGCTAGAGTGCATTTGGATGATCCAGAAGAGGATTGGGAGAATGTCAGATGAAACCAAAATATAACTTTTTGGTAAAAACTCAACTCGTCGTGTTTGGAGGACAAAGAATGCTGAGTTGCATCCAAAGAACACCATACCTACTGTGAAGCATGGGGGAGGAAACATCATGCTTTGGGGCTGTTTTTCTGCAAAGGGACCAGGACGACTGATCCGTGTAAAGGAAAGAATGAATGGGGCCATGTATCGTGAGATTTTGAGTGAAAACCTCCTTCCATCAGCAAGGGCATTGAAGATGAAACGTGGCTGGGTCTTTCAGCATGACAATGATCCCAAACACACCGCCCGGGCAACGAAGGAGTGGCTTCGTAAGAAGCATTTCAAGGTCCTGGAGTGGCCTAGCCAGTCTCCAGATCTCAACCCCATAGAAAATCTTTGGAGGGAGTTGAAAGTCTGTGTTGCCCAGCGACAGCCCCAAAACATCACTGCTCTAGAGGAGATCTGCATGGAGGAATGGGCCAAAATACCAGCAACAGTGTGTGAAAACCTTGTGAAGACTTACAGAAAACATTTGACCTGTGTCATTGCCAACAAAGGGTATATAACAAAGTATTGAGAAACTTTTGTTATTGACCAAATACTTATTTTCCACCATAATTTGCAAATAAATTCATTATAAATCCTACAATGTGATTTTCTGGGAAAAAAATTCTCATTTTGTCTGTCATAGTTGACGTGTACCTATGATGAAAATTACAGGCCTCTCTCATCTTTTTAAGTGGGAGAACTTGCACAATTGGTGGCTGACTAAATACGTTTTTTCCCCACTGTATATATTTTTTACTATCAAAAGGAAGTTTGTTCTGAAGTGTCTGTCCTTTATCTGAGCAATATAAGAAAGATCAGGAAACATTTGTTATTTTATTTATTTTTGTACATGTATTTACCCTTATTTGTGGCACTAAACAGTCTAAACCCTATCTAAGCTGGGTGTGTGGTTCTACTAAGCTATATGGAATTGTTTTAAGAAGGTTTGCTATTTGATTTGGAATTTTAAGACCCCTTGAAGTATCAAAACATTTGTATTTATTTATTATTTGATGAAACATTTTATTTGGCCATACTGCTATTAGCCCATACAAACGCATTGAATAACAGATTCACTATATGGAACAACAGATAGTTCCCCCCCCCCCTCATAGAAAATCTAAAGGAAGTTTGTTCTGAAGTGTATACTTCCATTCATTTTTTCAACTGGTACCGGGGGATCTTCAGTCGAGTCTTGTGAGGCCTGTGTGCATCCAAGAGCAAAACAACCGACGTGTTCGTGAGTGTCTCACCTTTGCACAGAGGGGTCATATTAGTGTGTAGCCCAAACTGTTCGGATGCTACAGACAGAAGTTAGCAGATCGGCTGTACCGACTTCAGACGAGTCCCAAGACGTTTATGAAAATACTTAGCATACTAGATAACAGTAACTAAAGCAGCACACAAGTAAACTACAAATGCATGCTGGGCATGCCCTGAGCTCGTGAAGTGAGCGCTACTGGAGCGAAATTGGAGCGGGCGAGAAGGCCAACGCTCCAGCCTTTGGGAAACTCGCTCCACGCTCCAGTCAAATTGGGCATGCTCCACTCTGCTCACATACTCCGGACAGGGCTGTGTGAATGTGAATACTCAGTCTAACTATTGTACTGGATGGTAGTTTGACATGCAGAGAGAGAACTAACTGCTTTGTTAAAAATGATTGTACCTCTAACAATCATACCATTGAATGAATGTGTGTTTGTGTGTGCTCACTGTGAACATTTGTGTATGTTTGCCTCTGTCACTCACTGTTGCACTGGTCGCAGGCGTAGATGTTGCCCTCCAGGGCTTCGGTCTCCGTGAACTTGGCCAGCATCTCCGTCAGCTGGCACGACACCTGCGCTGCGCTCTCCCGGCTGTTGCTGTGGTAACGCTCGGGGAACTCCAGCGATAGGTCCCAGAAGGGTTCCACCGTGTTGGAGCGGTGGTCACATGCCAGACACGTCACCTGATGGAGGGGGAAGAGAAGAGGGATAAAGAGAAAGGGGTATAGAGTGAGAGGAGGGAGAAAGAGAGGATGAAAGAGGGAGAGAGAGTTGTGTGAAGGCAAGCCAAAGCCAGCTGAGCTAGCTAATGCAGCAGCACACACACAGGAACTGGATTGTCTGAGATACACAGCTTTAGAAACACTGTCCCCCTTCACACACACACACTCACCCCCTTGTTAGGCAAGAGCAGGTGTGGGTGTGTGCTCAGAGGAGAACTCAAAGACACTCCTCTCTTTCACAGACCAAAGCAGAAAGTACACACGTTCAGTCACACACACACACTCACTCACTTCTGGGTAAATCGATTTGAGTTCAATCACTTTTAGACAGCATCCCTTTTGATTTAAACAAAACTTTCCATACATGTTTGCCCATGGAAGAAGTGGTCAGAAATTGACTTTTTGGACCTCAATGTCAAAACGTTTAGGAGATAAAAGGTGTTCAAAGTTTTGCATACCCCACCCTACAGGGTGAGACATCCACCCTGTAGGGTGGATCACTGGAAAAGATAAACGGTTGAGTTTGATATCATTTAAAAGCTTACAAACAGGGTGTCAAACTATTTTATAATTTCCACACAAAAAATATATATATTTTTGGAACCTTTTACGTCTATTATCTAAAAACACGTAAACTCTGACTGACTCTTTTCATATTTGCATATGTTGTAGCTTAGGGTAAAATATGGTCTAAGCTACAACGTATGCAAATATGAAAAGAGTCAGTCAGAGTTTACGCGTTTTTAGATAATTGACGTTAAAGGTTAAAAAATGTCAAAACAATAAATAAATCAAGTAATTATATAGCAGTTTGACAACCCTTTTTGTAAACTTTAAAATGATATCAACCTCAACCGTTTATCGTTTCCAGTGATGAAGACATGGATGTCTCATGGTATGGTGGGGTATGCAAAAGGTGTCAACTTTGAGCACTTTTATCTCTTGCATGTTTTGGCATTCAGGTCCAGTACATTTAGATGGATACATTTTGGCATATTGTATTATTTTATATATATATATATATATACAGTACCAGTCAAAAGTTTGGACACACCTACTCATTTAAGGGTTTTTCTTTATTTTTACTATGTTCTACATTGTAGAATAATAGTGAAGACATCAAAACTATGAAATAACACATATGGAATCATGTAGTAACCAAAAAAGTGTTCAATTAAAATATATGTTATATTTGAGATTCTTCAAAGTAACCACCCTTTGCCTTGATGACAGCTTTGCACACGCTTGGCATTCTCTCAACCAGCTTCATGAAGTAGTCACCTGGAATGCATTTCAATTAACAGGTGTGCCTTGTTAAAAGTTAATTTGTGGAATTTCTTTCCTTCGTAATGCGTTTGAGCCAATCAGTTGTGTTGTGACAAGGTATACAGAAGATGGCCCTAATTGATAAAAGACCATGTCCATATTATTGCAAGAACAGCTCAAATAAGCAAAGAGAAACGACAGTGCATCATTACTTTAAGACATGAAGGTCAGTAAATCCAGAACATTTCAAGAACTTTGAACGTTTCTTAAAGTGCAGTCGCAAAAAATACCAAGCACTATGATGAAACTGGCTCTCATGAGGACCGCCACAGGAAAGGAAGACCCAGAGTTACCTCTGCTGCAGAGGGTAAGTTAATTAGAGGTAACTGCACCTCAGATTGCAGCCCAAATAAATGCTTCACAGAGTTCAAATAACAGACACATCTCAACATCAACTGTTCAGAGGAGACTGCGTGAATCAGGCCTTCATGGTCGGATTGCTGCAAATAAACCACTACTAAAGGACACCAATAAGAAGAAGAGACTTGCTTGGGGCAAGAAACACGATCAATGGACATTAGACCTGTGGAAATCTGTCCTTTGGTCTGATGAGTCCAAATTTGAGATTTTTGGTTCCAATCGCCGTGTCCTTGTGAGACGCAGATTAGGTGAACGGATGATCTCTGCATGTGTGGTTCCCACCGTGAAGCATGGAGGAGGAGGTGTGATGGTGCTTTGCTGGTGACACTGTCAGTGATTTATTTAGAATTCAAGGCACACTTAACCAGCATGGCTACCACAGCATTCTGCAGCGATACACCATCCCATCTGGTTTGCGCTTAGTGGGACTATCATTTGTTTTTCAACAGGACAATGACCCAACACACCTCCAGGCTGTATAAGGGCTATTTGACCAAGAAGGAGAGTGATTGAGTGCTGCATCAGATCACCTGGCCTCCACAATCACCCGACCTCAACCCAGTTGAGATGGTTTGGGATGAGTTGGACCGCAGAGTGAAGGAAAAGCAGCCAACAAGTGCTCAGCATATGTGCATTCCTCATGAAGCTGGTTGAGAGAATGCCAGGAGTGTGCAAAGCTGTCAACAAGGCAAAGGGTGGCTACTTCGAAAAATCTAAAATATATTTTGATTAGTTTAACACTGTTTTTGGTTACTACATGATTCCATATGTGTTATTTCATAGTTTTGATGTCTTCCCTATTATTCTACAATGTAGAAAATAGTAAAAATAAAGAAAAACCCTTGATTGAGTAGGTGTGTCCAAACCTTTGACTGGTACTGTGTATATATATGTATATATATATATATATATATATATATATATATATATATATACGGTATACACAGTGAGGGAAAAAAGTATTTGATCCCCTGCTGATTTTGTACGTTTGCCCACTGACAAAGAAATGATCAGTCTATAATTTTAATGGGAGGTTTATTTGAACAGTGAGAGATAGAATAACAACAACAAAAATCAATAAAAACGCATGTCAAAAATGTTATAAATTGATTTGCATTTTAATGAGGGAAATAAGTATTTGACCCCATCTCAATCAGAAGGATTTCTGGCTCCCAGGTGTCTTTTATACAGGTAACGAGCTGAGATTAGGAGCACACTCTTAAAGGGAGTGCTCCTAATCTCAGTTTGTTACCTGTATAAAAGACACCTGTCCACAGAAGCAATCAATCAATCAGATTTCAAACTCTCCACCATGGCCAAGACCAAAGAGCTCTCCAAGGATGTCAGGGACAAGATTGTAGACCTACACAAGGCTGGAATGGGCTACAAGACCATGAAAGAAACACAAAACACCTCTCAATCTCCCTCGGCCTGGGGCTCTATGCAAGATCTCACCTCGTGGAGTTGCAATGATCATGAAAACGGTGAGGAATCAGCCCAGAACTACACGGGAGGATCTTGTCAATGATCTCAAGGCAGCTGGGACCATAGTCACCAAGAAAACAATTGGTAACACACTACGCCATGAAGGACTGAAATCCTGCAGCACCTGCAAGGTCCCCCTGCTCAAGAAAGCACATCTCCATGCCCGTCTGAAGTTTGCCAATGAACATCTGAATGATTCAGAGGAGAACTGGGTGAAAGTGTTGTGGGCAGATGAGACCAAAATGGAGCTCTTTGGCATCAACTCAACTCGCCGTGTTTGGAGGAGGAGGAATGCTGCCTATGACCCCAAGAACACCATCCCCACCAACAAACATGGAGGTGGAAACATAATGCTTTGGGGGTGTTTTTCTGCTAAGGGGACAGGACAACTTCACCGCATCAAAGGGACGATGGACGGGGCCATGTACCGTCAAATCTTGGGTAAGAACCTCCTTCCCTCAGCCAGGGCATTGAAAATGGGTTGTGGATGGGTATTCCAGCATGACAATGACCCAAAACACACGGCCAAGGCAACAAAGGAGTGCCTCAAGAAGAAGCACATTAAGGTCCTGGAGTGGCCTACCCAGTCTCCAGACCTTAATCCTATAGAAAATCTGTGGAGGGAGCTGAAGGTTCGAGTTGCCAAACGTCAGCCTCGAAACCTTAATGACTTGGAGAATATCTGCAAAGAGGAGTGGGACAAAATCCCTCCTGAGATGTGTGCAAACCTGGTGGCCAATTACAAGAAACGTCTGACCTCTGTGATTGCCAACAACGGTGTTGCCACCAAGTACTAAGTCATGTTTTGCAGAGGGGTCAAATACTTATTTCCCTAATTAAAATGCAAATAAATGTATAACATTTTTGAAATGCGCTTTTCTTGATTTTTTTGTTGTTATTCTATCTCTCACTGTTCAAATAAACCTACCATTAAAATTATAGACTGATAATTTCTTTGTCAGTGGGCAAACGTACAAAATCAGCAGGGGATCAAATACCTTTTTCCCTCACTGTGTGTGTGTGTGTGTGTGTATATATATATATATATATATATATATACACAGTGGGGGAAAAAAGTATTTAGTCAGCCACCAATTGTGCAAGTTCTCCCACTTAAAAAGATGAGAGAGGCCTGTAATTTTCATCATAGGTACACGTCAACTATGACAGACAAAATGAGATTTTTTTTCCCAGAAAATCACATTGTAGGATTTTTTATGAATTTATTTGCAAATTATGGTGGAAAATAAGTATTTGGTCAATAACAAAAGTTTCTCAATACTTTGTTATATACCCTTTGTTGACAATGACACAGGTCAAATGTTTTCTGTAAGTCTTCACAAGGTTTTCACACACTGTTGCTGGTATTTTGGCCCATTCCTCCATGCAGATCTCCTCTAGAGCAGTGATGTTTTGGGGCTGTCGCTGGGCAACACAGACTTTCAACTCCCTCCAAAGATTTTCTATGGGGTTGAGATCTGGAGACTGGCTAGGCCACTCCAGGACCTTGAAATGCTTCTTACGAAGCCACTCCTTCGTTGCCCGGGCGGTGTGTTTGGGATCATTGTCATGCTGAAAGACCCAGCCACGTTTCATCTTCAATGCCCTTGCTGATGGAAGGAGGTTTTCACTCAAAATCTCACGATACATGGCCCCATTCATCCTTTCCTTTACACAGATCAGTCGTCCTGGTCCCTTTGCAGAAAAACAGCCCCAAAGCATGATGTTTCCACCCCCATGCTTCACAGTAGGTATGGTGTTCTTTGGATGCAACTCAGCATTCTTTGTCCTCCAAACACGACGAGTTGAGTTTTTACCAAAAAGTTCTATTTTGGTTTCATCTGACCATATGACATTCTCCCAATCCTCTTCTGGATCATCCAAATGCACTCTAGCAAACTTCAGACGGGCCTGGACATGTACTGGCTTAAGCAGGGGGACACGTCTGGCATTTGAGTCCCTGGCGGCGTAGTGTGTTACTGATGGTAGGCTTTGTTACTTTGGTCCCAGCTCTCTGTAGGTCATTCACTAGGTCCCCCTGTGTGGTTCTGGGATTTTTGCTCACTGTTCTTGTGATCATTTTGACCCCACGGGGTGAGATCTTGCGTGGAGCCCCAGATCGAGGGAGATTATCAGTGGTCTTGTATGTCTTCCATTTCCTAATAATTGCTCCCACAGTTGATTTCTTCAAACCAAGCTGCTTACCTATTGCAGATTCAGTCTTCCCAGCCTGGTGCAGGTCTACAATTTTGTTTCTGGTGTCCTTTGACAGCTCTTTGGTCTTGGCCATAGTGGAGTTTGGAGTGTGACTGTTTGAGGTTGTGGACAGGTGTCTTTTATACTGATAACAAGTTCAAACAGGTGCCATTAATACAGGTAACGAGTGGAGGACAGAGGAGCCTCTTAAAGAAGAAGTTACAGGTCTGTGAGAGCCAGAAATCTTGCTTGTTCGTAGGTGACCAAATACTCATTTTCCACCATAATTTGCAAATAAATTCATTAAAAATCCTACAATGTGATTTTTAGGATTTTTTTTTCTCAATTTGTCTGTCATAGTTGACGTGTACCTATGATGAAAATTACAGGCCTCTCTCATCTTTTTAAATGGGAGAACTTGCACAATTGGTGGCTGACTAAATACTTTTTTTCCCCACTGTATATATACACACACACTGCTCAAAAAAATAAAGGGAACACTAAAATAACACATCCTAGATCTGAATGAATGAAATAATCTTATTAAATACTTTTTTCCTTTACATAGTTGAATGTGCTGACAACAAAATCACACAAAAATTATCAATGGACATCAAATTTATCAACCCATGGAGGTCTGGATTTGGAGTCACCCTCAAAATTAAAGTGGAAAACCACACTACAGGCTGATCCAACTTTTATGTAATGTCCTTAAAACAAGTCAAAATGAGGCTCAGTAGTGTGTGTGGCCTCCACGTGCCTGTATGACCTCCCTACAACGCCTGGGCATGCTCCTGATGAGGTGGCGGATGGTCTCCTGAGGGATCTCCTCCCAGACCTGGACTAAAGCATCCGCCAACTCCTGGACAGTCTGTGGATGGAGCGAGACATGATGTCCCAGATGTGCTCAATTGGATTCAGGTCTGGGGAACGGGCGGGCCAGTCCATAGCATCAATGCCTTCCTCTTGCAGGAACTGTTGACACACTCCAGCCACATGAGGTCTAGCATTGTCTTGCATTAGGAGGAACCGAGGGCCAACCGCACCAGCATATGGTCTCACAAGGGGTCTGAGGATCTCATCTCGGTACCTAATGGCAGTCAGGCTACCTCTGGCGAGCACATGGAGGGCTGTGCGGCCCCCCAAAGAAATGCCACCCCACACCATGACTGACCCACCGCCAAACCGGTCATGCTGGAGGATGTTGCAGGCAGCAGAACGTTCTCCACAGCGTCTCCAGACTCTGTCACGTCTGTCACGTGCTCAGTGTGAACCTGCTTTCATCTGTGAAGAGCACAGGGCGCCAGTGGCGAATTTGCCAATCTTAGTGTTCTCTGGCAAATGCCAAACGTCCTGCACGGTGTTGGGCTGTAAGCCGTTTGAGCAGACACATGCACATTTGTGGCCTGCTGGAGGTCATTTTGCAGGGCTCTGGCAGTGCTCCTCCTTGCACAAAGGCGGAGGTAGCAGTCCTGCTGCTGGGTTGTTGCCCTCCTACAGCCTCCTCCACGTCTCCTGATGTACTGGCCTGTCTCCTGGTAGCACCTCCATGCTCTGGACACTACGCTGACAGACACAGCAAACCTTCTTGCCACAGCTCGCATTGATGTGCCATCCTGGATGAGCTGCACTACCTGAGCCACTTGTGTGGGTTGTAGACTCCGTCTCATGCTACCACTAGAGTGAAAGCACCGCCAGCATTCAAAAGTGACCAAAACATCAGCCAGGAAGCATAGGAACTGAGAAGTGGTCTGTGGTCACCACCTGTAAAACCAGTCCTTTATTTGGGGTGTCTTGCTAATTGCCTATAATTTCCACCTGTTGTCTATTCCATTTGCACAACAGCATGTGAAATGTATTGTCAATCAGTGTTGCTTCCTAAGTTTACAGTTTGATTTCACAGAAGTGTGATTGACTTGGAGTTACATTGTGTTGTTTAAGTGTTCCCTTTATTTCTTTGAGCAGTGTATATATATATATATATATATTTTTTTTTAAATATATATTACTATCAAGACAAAAATGTGGTAACAGTCATGCACACACATCATGCAGTAAAAGCTCCCATCCAAATACCTCCAGTAAGATCACTACTAATAAATGTAAAGGCCTTTTAATCCCTTTTTCAATCCATTTTAATCCATGTCCAGACTGGTGAATCACAAAAGTGTGTGTGTATATCAGTATAAAAGTGTGTACTGTGTATCAGTGTGTTTGTGAGAGTGTGTTCCTCTCTTTCTCACCTGGCTGAGGAGCTGTCCATGGAAGATGGTGTTGACCACGCTGAGCACCTGCTTGATGAGATGTCTCTGTCCGGTTGACACACCAGCGGGCGGTGTGTGTGTCCCCGTGCTCTCCAGCTCATGCTGCACCTTGTCCAGCAGTTCACACAGGAACTCCTGGGCATCCTGCTGGGCGTATCCCCGGAAGGCTGGGATCAGCTGCCACACCGAGTGCAGCATGGCGAAGGGCGACACCAGCGCCCACTTGCCCGACCACATCACCTGGAAGAGGGTGTGCAGCTCGTGGCACAGGGAGATGTGCTTAGAGCTGGGCTCCTTGGGCTGGATCAGCTCCATGCTTCGGGCCCTGGAGGCCCCCCCGCTTAGCCCAGCGCCAGCCAGGGGGCCTCTCCTTAGGGCCAGTGGGGAGGACGACACTGGGCCCCCGGGGCTGGGAACCACCAGCTGGCCGTGGACAGCCGAGGCCAGCAGCTCCAGGGCCTGTGTCAGGTCCAGCTGGAGGAAACACTCCCTGAAGATGTGAAGGTGGCTCAGCACCTGCAGGATGGAGTTCATGTAGCACGTGTTGCCTAGGTTACGCAGGCCAGTGACGCCCGGGGTGACCGTGGGCCGCCGTTTGAGGGGTGAGTCGCCCTGTTTGGAGGGCGCACGGCGGGGGGCCGGGGAGGGGGCTGTCCGGGCTTGGGCAGAGGAGGCTCTGGTTTTGCCTTTGGTGGAGGAAGAGGGGGTGGAGTAGCGAGCGGGTTTGGGCGCGGGGGTTTTAGGGGGGCGGCCCATTCTCTTGGGAGGGTGAGTGGCGGGGCTCTGGGTCCTTGGTTGGGGGGTGAGGGGGGTCTGGGGTGTGTGAGGGGTGCGTGTTCGTGTGGGGCGGGGGGTGACAGCAGCGGCGGCAGCAGCTCTCTGACTGGCTCTCCTCAGGCGGTGGCTCTTCCTGGGTGGAGCCCTCTCCAACTCTTCTTGTAGCTGCCTCTTCAACGTCTTCCTTCTCTCCCTCAACTCCTTCCTCCTCTCCTCCTCCTCCTCTCTCTGCCTGTCCTCCTCTTCCCTCCTCTTCCCCCCTTCCGTCATGCTGAACCAGGTGTGGAACACTCGACCCATCAGCGCCCGGCGGCGGTGCCAGAGCGCCGTGAACATGCGGTCCTCGTCCCTCAGCTGCAGTTCGCTGGAGCCACAGGGCTGGGGGGCGTCGGGCGGGGCGCTAGCTAATCTCAAGGTTCGTCCTGAACGCGTGGTGACCTCGTAGCGCTGGCTCTGGATGGCGCTGAGCGTGGAGCGCAGCAGCTTGAGGTCTCCCGTCGCGTTGTCGTTGAGCACGTAGTCGTCACACAGGTAGCAGAAGACATAGAGCTCATTGACCTCCATGGCCAGCGGGTGGCGATGCTGCAGAAAGTGCTGCAGGGCGTGCTCCTCGATGTAGCGGCCGCACGCAACGTGGGCGCAGCCCAGGCAGGCCCACACCGACTCTGTGGTGTTGCAGTCCACGCAGTGCCACTTCTGGGGGTTGAGGATGGAGTGGTCTGGGGCCAGCCTGAGCCGCCCCACGTGCTTACACCTGTCCATCGCACACACTTGCTGGGGGGCTCAGTCCGTGTGTCTGTGGGTAGGCGAGTGTGGGTGTGACACGTCCACACTGGGGCTTCAGATCACCATGGCGAGCTCAGAAACGGGGCGCTCCCACGGCATGGCTTTATCTGGGGAGGAAGAAAGAAAAGAGAGAGACTGAGTGAGAAAGGCAGTTCTACAACACTTTCTAAACTTCTATAATCTCTTCTCAGTAAAGACCTTACCCAAATCGTATGAACAGATCCTTTGTTTAAAAGATGCCCGTCAGTGAAAACAACTGTACCAAAACCTTATGTCTTCCTTTTAAACCCACAACCCATTCTGGTCTTTATAATCATTTGTGGTCACACATTTAACCAGTTAGCTCTCTAACATGGGTTCTTATTGTCAAAGAAGAGAGGACAATATCCTGAATGTTGACTGCGGTGATCAGATGTGGTTTTCTGCCATTACAGATTTCCTTCCTCTAATGTACCCTTTAAAACAGTTTGCATAACCCTGGGGGGTTAGGCACTTCCGTAGCACAGTTTGAAAACTGCTGGGGTTGGGGATTCCTGTTTTAGAGTCTCAGCTCCATCATCATCACCCCCCAATGGGGCCAAAGGGAGACTTAAGCCTGGCAAACAAAGGGGGGCTGAGCTGGGAGGGTAGAGCACCCTTTGTGTGTGTACAGGCAGCCTTACAGAGAGAAAGGGGCAAGAAGAGATGGATAGAGGAGAAAGGGAATGGAGAAAGATGGATAGGAAGATCAGAAGGGAAACTAAACTCGGGGATCTGAGGCTACCAGTTACCCTTCTCCATGAACCAATCTATAGTCTATGTAGGAGGAGCAACACTATGAAAAAAAATGTATGCACTCACTAACTGTAAGTCGCTCTGGATAAGAGCGTCTGCTAAATGACTATAATGTAATGTAATAAGGCTGACCCTGACTACACAGGTCCAAGTTCTAACGAGTGTTTGTTTACCATTCCAGACTGCCTTCCTGTGATTTAAATAAGTAGCTGTTACCACTGAAGGAGTTTCTGGCTGGCATGCCCTGACTGAGTCTGTCTGTCAACATTGTACCCCATGACTCCAACTGTTTTTAAATATGATTTAATCAATGCAATTGTGGTTTTATGACCATCGATATTCGTGATACATTGTTTAGTTTTTTTTATCCACACTAGATCTGGTGGGCAGTTACTAGCAAGGACATTGCTTTGCTTCTGCTTCATTTGACCCATTCAACACTGATAACAAAAGCGCGATATTTGTGTTTTCAAGCCAGCTAATTTAGCTAGTAAGCTTTCCCAAAGTGTTTACCACTTCACTAACGTTAACTCACCCGACAATGGTAAATTATCCCCGCAAGACAACTTTAAAAACTAGCTATCTAGTTAGCAACATTACCTAGCTAACAATGTCACCAAAATACTGGTAACTAACAGCTCTTTCTTCTATCCGTGATGTCACTAACTAGCTATAGTTATAACACGCCTAACGTTACTGATGACAAGAACCTCCTTGTAAACTTATCGAGGAGGATATCAAAGGCTCGTGCGCGCGCCTAAGGTGCCCTTGTGCTTTCTTTCTCTGTCTAGCGGTATGTATCTTCTAAATAAACACAAATCAAACATCTAACGTAAGAAAGCTAAACATAATCGCTAGTAAAATAATAAAGTATCTAGCTAGTTTGTTGGCTAACTTGGTGAGTAACATAGCTAGCTAGCTAACATGGCTAGTAGCAACCAAGCTAATCTTGTCAAGCCAAGTCTAAATACGTTAGGGATCAATGCGTCAGTGTTATAATTGTTTATCAAACATGCTAGTTAGTTTTCACAGGAATGTGTACAGCATAACAACTGACACGAATTGTAAAGAATGGCGAAAATGGAAAAAGTACCATACCTATCCTTCACCGCACTTATTCCTCTGATACTAAAACGGTCGCCATCTTGCATCTACTCTTGTCGCGTGGTGTTGGCTCGAGCCCGTCCGCGGTAGGGTAGCGTCAAGTGTCGTTGTTGCCTGGCTCAAGGTAGAGGCTCTCGTAACATCAGATTTAGGATCAGATTATTGTACTCCAATCCTAAACGTTATCACTGAGGTGATTAGAAAACATCTGACTTTGTATCAGTGGTTAGGGGCAACCTCTAACCTACTCTTGTGCGTGTCCTGGACCGACACAAACAAGTGTACTGATGGCACAATTTTGCAACATCATCTCAGTTAAGGATATTGTCATGTCATATTCATGAAGCCAGGCCAACACAACATAATCAGAGAAAATATTTGACATAAAAGTGAAGTAGCCCTTCACATTCTATTAAGCACATTCTGCTTGTGTTGAGTATCACATATAGACTACTGTTTGGCACTGCAAATGGCCTATTTATATTTTCTACACAAGTAAGGCTACTAATAAAGTAACCCACGAACAAAGTTTTTTTTCTTTTTTCTACTATCACTGCTTCTGGAAAAACAATTGCTTTCAAAACGTATCAATGCCACAAGATGGCAGTGATGTGTCAATCAATGTTCATGTTGTGCGTGAGAATACGTTGTAAACATGAGATATTATTATGTGTGTGTGTATGTGTGTTGGGGGGATGCAGGTGTAGGGCTCCATGCTGGTTAATGGGGGCATTGGGGGCTGATGGCACACGCTATAGAGATGGTTTCAGACTGAGTGTCTAATATTAAACCCCAGAACCCTGAGAATTAAGTCTTAGACATGCTAACCACAAACTGAGCCTAGGATTGACTCACTCAAATGTACCCAATGTTCCCAAACTCTGTCAGCAGCTCTGGCCTCATGTGAAAATGTCCTGACACAGTGAATGTGAGGATGAGTGGATACAGTCAAGAGACATTGCCAACCGTCACTCTACCTGAAAAGGAGTACTGAGAGAGAGGATTGTTGATCCCTAAACACAAAAATGAAAGAATATGCACATGTAACCAGTGAGTGGGTTCACACACACACACACACTCTTGTACAGCTAACCTTGTGGGGACACACAATTCAGTCCCATTCAAAATCCTATTTTCCCTAACCCGTACTCATACCCTTACCCTAACCTTAACCCTAACCTTAACCCAAAAACCTAAACTTAACCCTAAACCTAACCCTAGCTCCTAACCCTAGTTCCTAACCCTAACCCTTAACGTAATTCTAACTCTAACACTAATTCTAACCTTAAACCTAAACCCCCTAGAAATAGCATTTGACCTCGTGGGGACTAACAAAATGTCCTCAATTGGTCAAATTTCTGTTTGTTTACTATTCTTGTGGGTCCCCACAAGAATAGTTAAACACGTCCACACACATACAGTGAGGGAAAAAAGTATTTGATCCCCTGCTGATTTTGTACGTTTGCCCACTGACAAAGAAATGATCAGTCTATAATTTTAATGGTAGGTTTATTTGAACAATGAGAGACAGAACAACAACAAAAAAATCCAGAAAAACGCATGTCAAAAATGTTATAAATTGATTTGCATTTTAATGAGGGAAATAAGTATTTGACCCCATCTCAATCAGAAGGATTTCTGGCTCCCAGGTGTCTTTTATACAGGTAACGAGCTGAGATTAGGAGCACACTCTTAAAGGGAGTGCTCCTAATCTCAGCTTGTTACCTGTATAAAAGACACCTGTCCACAGAAGCAATCAATCAATCAGATTCCAAACTCTCCACCATGGCCAAGACCAAAGAGCTCTTCAAGGATGTCAGGGACAAGATTGTAGACCTACACAAGGCTGGAATGGGCTACAAGACCATCACCAAGCAGCTTGGTGATAAGGTGACAACAGTTGGTGCGATTATTCGCAAATGAAAGAAACACAAAATAACTGTCAATCTCCCTCGGCCTTGGGCTCTATGCAAGATCTCACCTTGTGGAGTTGCAATGATCATGAGAACGGTGAGGAATCAGCCCAGAACTACACAGGAGGATCTTGTCAATGATCTCAAGGCAGCTGGGACCATAGTCACCAAGAAAACAATTGGTAACACACTACGCCGCGAAGGACTGAAATCCTGCAGCGCCCGCGAGGTCCCCCTGCTCAAGAAAGCACATATACAGGTCCGTCTGAAGTTTGCCAATGAACATCTGAATGATTCAGAGGAGAACTGGGCGAAAGTGTTGTGGTCAGATGAGACCAAAATCAAGCTCTTTGGCATCAACTCAACTCGCCATGTTTGGAGGAGGAGGAATGCTGCCTATGACCCCAAGAACACCATCCCCACCGTCGAACATGGAGGTGGAAACTTTATGCTTTGGGGGTGTTTTTCTGCTAAGGGGACAGGACAAATTCACCGCATCAAAGGGACGATGGACGGGGCCATGTACTGTCAAATCTTGGGTGAGAACCTCCTTCCCTCAGCCAGGGGATTGAAAATGGGTTGTGGATGGGTATTCCAGCATGACAATGACCCAAAACACACGGCCAAGGCAACAAAGGAGTGCCTCAAGAAGAAGGACATTAAGGTCCTGGAGTGGCCTAGCCAGTCTCCAGACCTTAATCCCATAGAAAATCTGTGGAGGGAGCTGAAGGTTCGAGTTGCCAAACGTCAGCCTCGAAACCTTAATGACTTGGAGAAGATCTGCAAAGAGGAGTGGGACAAAATCCCTCCTGAGATGTGTGCAAACCTGGTGGCCAACTACAAGAAACGTCTGACCTCTGTGATTGCCAACAAGGGTTTTGCGACCAAGTACTAAGTCATGTTTTGCAGAGGGGTCAAATACTTATTTCCCTCATTAAAATGCAAATCAATTTATAACATTTTTGACATGCGTTTTTCTGGATTTATTTGTTGTTATTCTGTCTCTCACTGTTCAAATTAAAATTATAGACTGATCATGTCTTTGTCAGTGGGCAAACGTACAAAATCAGCAGGGGATCAACTACTTTTTTCCCTCACACACACACACACACACACACACACACACACACACACACACACTTGTATGATCAATGTCCCTCTCACTGATCCGTCTCTGATATGGAGAAGGGCTTAGCTTTCAGCAGTACCACAGGTGTGTGAGTGAGTGAAAGGTGAGTGTGTGTGTGTGTGTGTGTGAAAGAGGTACATGTACATGTGTGTAGATCTGTCATCCGATTCCTGTTGAATCACTAATGTTTTTCTCTCTCTATGACCCGCGGCCCTAACTGAGTCTTCATGTCCACACACGTTCCTTCCCTCCCCCCTCTCGCGCCCTCTTTCTCTCTCCTCTCCATCGCTCCTTCTCTCACCCACACTCTACATACTCCACAAACCACACACAAACACACACACACACCTCCTGTTTGTATTGAAAAAGGTGGATACCATAGCTCTGTGAAAGTTCTATATAGTTGCGGTTTGTGGCAAGTGAAAACACAGGTGCTGATGGGTGAGGGGAAATGGTTTACAACCAGTAAATAAACACATTCCCCATAATTATGTTTTATGTTTGTAGCATTTATGTGTTGATTGGTACATGTCTTAATGGTTTATGTCTGTCTGTCTGCTTACCTGTCTGCCCGTCTGTCTGTCTGTCAGCACCTTTCTCTCACTGTGTCACTCACTGTGTCACTCACTCTATGTCAATGTGGGTGTAATAGGTGGGTGACATCAGGGGGTCGTTTTCTTGGCAGTATCATAATCACAAGTTGCGTCTCAATCACCATGCTATGTCAACAAGGCCCTGTTCTGGCTTCTTCTAATGTAGGCTACTTTTGGTAAAGAAGCGTTCCTGAATGTGTGTGTGTGTGTGTCTGAATGGTTTGATAGATACATAGCACAGACTGCTGTCTCTGTTCCAAGGGCAGTTCAGTTCCCATCCTACCTCTGTAAATCCCTTTAGCCATTCTACTCACGCACACACGCCCCATGACCTTGACTCTTGACCCTCACCTCTGCCTCCCACTGCTGTGATCGCCCCAAGTGTGCAGGGTCACCATAGCAGGTTGTGAACTCTGACCTGGCCAGGAGTGGAGCTGGACTACCCATACCTGGCATGTGTGGAATACCTCGTCACCTTCAGCTCATCCATGTCACTCTGACGAGAATGCCAGGAATGGTCCGGAATGCCGCAGCAAACACCCTCTCCCTAAAGCCAAACATTCTGTCTGCTCTCCCATTTCTCTGTTATGGTCAACATTCCCTGAGTCTGTGTGAATGTGTCAGAGTGTGTTTTGGGAGAGTGGGAGTGGTGTATTATTACCTAATCTGGTGAGGGAGAGAAAGGAAGGATGATAAGGATATTTTCATCAAACTAATCTGAGGTATTCCAAGGCTCCTGTGCCCCCGCACATTGACTCTGTACAGGTACCCCCTGTATATAGCCTCGCTACTGTTATTTTACTGCTGCTCTTTAATTATTTGTTATTTTTCTATTTTTATTCTTTCTTTTTTTAAACTTATCTATTTTTTACTTAACACTTTAAACTGTTGGTTAATAACATTGTTGGTTAAGGGCTTGTAAGTAAGCATTTCATTGTAAAGTCTATACCTGTTGTATTCGGCGCATGTGACAAATAAAATGTGATTTGATGGAGAAATCTAACAATGTTGTTTTAGAGTCTATAAACAGCAGTCGGTGTGTGTGTGTGTGTGTGTGTGTGTGTGCTTTCACTTATCGGTCTTGTGTACTCACTAACCCAGAGGACAGGGATTTTTCCACAGTGAGGAAATGTAAAGAAAATGTAATGCCTCAACATTCCTTGGATTTGACCGGAATGACATTATTACATGAACACATAATCAAATAAAGAGAGGACATCATCATATTTCTATAGATATATACAAGTAATACTGTACAGGAGCAGACATAGGAAGGTATAGAGATGAATTCAGGGCTCTGTAGGTCACAGCAATATTACACATTGGGATGTTGTTGTGATATGACTGTTTTGATCAGGAACCCCTCCAAAAGAGAAGCTACATCTATCCTGCCCAAATTTCGGAGTCAAAAACGGATCAGTTGGACTGAAGCTGGATGGATTTGGGCTCATCAGACACGCAGCCACACACACACATACACAACACACACACACACACTAAATCATTCACAGAGAGATCACAACACACATACACATTCGCAAACACACCTGGACTCAACCACCTGTAGTGGCATGTATGGCTTATTCAACATAATTACGTGTGCTTGTACACATCTGTATCTGTTACACAGCTTGACAGAAACAGAACACATCGGGGAAAGAGGCACAGGTCACCATCCACCACAAGCTGGGGCCTTCCTACAGGGGTCACAAGGGGTCAAATGTGTCCTTCTGTTGTCCAGTCTTGAGGTCAACATGTCTTGACCCATGATCCCATTGGCCCTTCTGCCCTGGGATAAAGTGCTACAGAGAGTGAGTGACTGGGTGTGTACGTATGCGTGGAAGAGGGGGCCAAACTGTCACTCAAACAGAGGCTCATAGAGTCTGTATGTTCTCTCTGCCAGCCTCACACTCTTATTGGCCCAGGGCAGATAGGGGCGGGGGTTTATAGTGTGTAGCCCCCCTCCAGAAGAAGGGTAAATACAAATGAGGTCCTGTAGGCTCTCGATCTAGCTCTCTCTCTCTATAGTCTGCGAGTAATCTATACTAGCTAGCTAGAATAGCGCTAGAGAGCTAGCTCCAAAGGGAAAGGGCTCGACTTTTCGATCGTATCCTCTCTCTCTCTCTCGCTCTCTTCTCTGCTTAGCTACTCTCTCGCTCTCTCTCTTCACCAGGTGCAGTTTTCTTTCATTAGTGTGAGGACCTTGCGTCCAAGGCTGGCTCTCCAGGGCTTGACGAAGCTCTTCATGTTGACGATAAGACGGTTCTGCTTCCTGTCTGCATGGCCCGCCACCAAGTACTCAACACCTAAGTAGTCAAAGCATAAACAGAGACATCATTAGCTCAGCAGCCCTAGGTGTGCGTGCACACGGGTGTGCATAAGTGTGTGTGTGAGACTGGCCTGGGTTGAGGATGGGGCAGGTGCAGCCCCGTGCGGTCCAGGACTCTGGGTAGAGAGTGACTCGTCCTTTCTGGATCTTCACCTTAGTGTTCTGACTCAACACCTTCTGAACCTTTACCTCCAACTCAGCATGGGAGCCCTTATCATGGGCTGACAGGATCTTAACCTTCAACACTGAGACAGAGAGGGGAAGAAGAGGAGAGAGAGAGAGAGAGGGAGGAGAGAGGGAGAGAGAGAGAGGGAAGGAAGCAGGAGAAGGAGAGAGAGAACGATAGGGAAGGAGAGAGGGAGAGAGGGAGGAGAGAGGGAGGGAGGAGAGAGAGAGGGAGAGAGCGAGATAGAGAGAGAGAGAGAGAGAGAGAGAGAAAGGGGAAGGGAGAGAGAGATGAGACATACAGACACAGATAAGGAGAGAGCGGGAAAGAGATATTTAGACTTTTAACAAGCCTTTATTGTACAATAAAATACTGTTTACATAGAGTTATCAATAAACAAACAACACAGTGGAAACCAAGGAAGTAAAAAAAACAAATATGGTGTTATTACCACTATCTCTCTCTCTGTTGTTCATGTGTGTCTCAGTACTCACCATAGGCAAACTTCATGCTGCAGAAGAGTTTGCTGTTGGCCAGGACCTGCTCCTTACACTCACATTTCTCTGCAGGGGACACAAACATATTGACATATCACACACCAATATCCCTCTGGATAAATGACTGATACCTGCTCTGTGTGTGTGTGTGTGTGTGTGTGTGTGGACTTAGATGAGTGGTGACTTAGGAATGTGAGGACAGTGTGTGTGTGTGTGTGTGATCAAGGAGGAATGTGTCTCCCTCAGCTGTAGGCCCTGGGAGGTCTAGGAGAGGGACATTTTGGAAATTGTCCACAGACACACAGACTCACAGATCTTTGTTCTCTGCCCTTGTAAGGATGTACTATAACTTTCACTGCTTAACCATTAATACTTGGGCACTGGGCTGTGGAGCAGACCACACACCACACACACACACACACACACAGTGGTGACCCATTGTCTAACCTGAGTAGTGTAGGGCAGAAAAGAGCTCGTCTGCCCTAAAGATCCTCACCGGCTCACTGGAGTTACCCTCCAGATTATACAGGTCCAGATCTGACCTGCACACATATACACACATTATAGATTTGCTGTTATTATAATCATAATATTATATATACAATACCAGTCAAAAGTTTGGACACACCTACTCATTCAAGGGTTTTTCTTTATTTGTACAATTTTTTACATTGTAGAATAATAGTGAAGACATCAAAACTATAAAATAACATATGGAATCATGTAGTAAACAAAAAAAGTGTTAAACAAATCAAAATATATTTTATATTTGAGATTCTTCAAATAGCCACCCTTTGCCTTGATGACAGCTTTGCACACTCTTGGCATTCTCTCAACCAGCTTCACCTGGAATGCTTTCCCAACAATCTTGAAGGATTTCCCACATATGCTGAGCACTTGTTGGCTGCTTTTCCTTCACTCATCCCAAACCATCTCAATTGGGTTGAAGTCGGGGGATTATTGAGGCCAGGTCATCTGATGCAGCACTCCATCACTCTCCTTTTTGGTAACTCTCCTCATGTCCATTGCTCGTGTTTCTTGGCCCGAGCAGGTCTCTTCTTATTATTGGTGTCCTTTAGTAGTGGTTTCTTTGCAGCAATTCGACCATGAAGGCCTGATTCACACAGTCCCCTCTGAACAGTTGATGTTGAGATGTGTCTGTTACTTGAACTCTGTGAATAATTTATTTGGGCTGCAATTTCTGAGGCTGGTAACTCTAATGAACTTATCCTCTGCAGCAGAGGTAACTCTGTGTCTTCCATTCCTGTGGTGGTCCTCATGAGAGCCAGTTTCATCATAGCGCTTGATGGTTTTTGCGACTGCACTTGAAGAAACGTTCAAAGTTCTTGAAATGTTCCGTATTGACTGACCTTCATGTCTTAAAGTAATGATGGACTGTTGTTTCTCTTTGCTTATTTGAGCTATTCTTGCCATAATATGGACTTGGTCTTTTACCAAATAGGGCTATCTTCTGCATACCAACCCTACCTTGTCACAACACAACTGATTGGCTCAAATGCATTTATAAGGAAATAAATTCCACAAATTAACTTTTAAGAAGGCACACCTGTTAATTGAAATGCATTCCAGGTGCCTACCTCATGAAGCTGGTTGAGAGAATGCCAAGAGTGTGCAAAGCTGTCATCAAGGCAAAGGGTGGCTATTTGAAGAATCTCAACTATAAAATATATTTTGATTTGTTTAACACTTGTTTGGTTACTACATGATTCCATATGTGTTATTTCATAGTTTTGATGTCTTCACTATTATTCTACAATGTAGAAAATAGTAAAAATAAAGAAAAACCCTTGAATGAGTAGGTGTGTCCAAACCTTTGACTGGTACTGTATATTTACTGTATATTATATCCGACGGTGTGTGTATACTGTATGTGTGTGTGTGTGTGTATACTGTATGTGTGTGTGTGTGTGTGTATATGTGACTCACCCAGACATGCAGTATCCCGTGAAGGGGTCGCAGTCTCCTGCACAGTCGCACGGACGGCAGCCGTAGTCATGGAAACCCCAGTATCCCACCATGCACCTGTCGCAGTGGGAACCCCCCACGCCGGGCTTGCAGACACAGTCTCCATTGGTAGGGTCACAGGGAGACCTCCCGCCTGGGTGGAAGGGTATTGAACCCAGGGGGTGGCAGCCACATGCTGGGGGGAAGAGAGAGGAGAGGGAGAGGAGAGACATGGCACATCAGTCACATATACAACCATAACTCATAGCTCCACCACAGCTAATCAAATACACCGGCACTCAACCATGGCCAATGTTATCTACTCACAAATAAACCACAGCAATTCATTTGGATCTATTTGCACCTTCCCACAGTGAATCAAATCCACCCACATTCAACCACAGCCAATTAAATCCACCACACTCAACCACAGCCAATCAAATCCACTCACAGTAAACCACTGCACACATGCATATTGAGAACCCTAATGTTGGCAACATTTCCAGTTGAGTATATTTAGTTTTTCTACATATGACTTATTAGTCATGTAGAGTTTCCCTTTGTGTAACTGTCACACAGACAAACACACTCCAGAGTGTGCCACCTCATTGTAGCCCAGCCTTAAGGAGGAAGTGATAAGAGAGGGAGAGGGACCACTTCCCAAAGGACTCTGGACTGACTGGAATAGTCCAGGGTTTTCCATGACCATGTAGCACAATGTTATCTCTGCCATCCTCTTATCAGATCGCCCACACACACACACACACACAATCACACACACGCACGCACACAATCACACACACAAGGACACATGCACGCATGTACGACATGCGCATGCACCCAAGCACACACGCGGGAATGCACATACACACATCTTTCTCAAATACATTCCACAGTTCTCCCTCCCTCCCTCCCTCTCGTCTCTCTCTCTCTGCTGATAGTCTGTTCTTTAAACAGCCTGCAGCAACATAAGATAGAGGGACAAGCACAGTCAGTGCTATGTTCGGCCCACTCAACAACCACCACACACACACACACACACACACACACACACACACACACACACACACACAACATTACCCCCCCCCATAGAACACACAACTTGCAAAGTCTCAAAACACACACACCACATAAAATCTACATAAACATTATTGCTGTCCTCGCAGTCTGTGAATTACAAGTCAGAAAACTTTGCAGGGGGTGAGAGTAACAGCCAAAGTAGTCACCATAAATCTGTACTCATCGGAATACAAGGGGGGGAACTAGAGAGAGACAAGAGGGGGAGATAGGAGGGGGAGGAGGAGGGGTGGTGTAGTGCTTTATTTCTGTTGTTTAATGATGCTTGAAGCCCCCCCCCTTCCTACCCCACTGGCGGTAAATTACTATTTAACCAGAGCCAGACCCCCTGCGTCTCTCCCCGGCTCCCCTGTCTGTCTGTCTGTCTGGGTGCAGGGAGATGATGTCACAAGGCTCTACTGTCTGAGACCCAGACAAGGCTGTACCTTTATCAGACTTATCGCCATGGGCAACAAATATAAGATAAGATGCATCCATAGTTTTATTCATTCTGTATCTTTCATTATCAACAGACCTTGTAAAGACACATGCAGACCACACACACTCACACGAAAGCAAGCACACTCTCACTCATGGACACACGCATGCAAGCACAGACACACACTCACACACACAATTGCTCACACACAATCACACACTCCTAAAGACAGGGGAATCATTACACTGACATCTAATTCCCAAAGGCATATGTAGGGCAGCTAGGATATACAGTCTTTCTCTTCAGGGTGAACCGCAACAGTTCTCCAGATTTACGGTAATAAACTTGAACTTCAAATCATTTCTGTTCCTGAAAAGCATCTATTGAGGCCCTGTTGAGACTGTAGTGTTCAGTCGCCTCAAGTTAATCATTATAGTAGAACAATACCAGCCCAGAAGCAGCAAAGCCATCGGTACACACAAACATACACACACACACACACATATTTTACCTCTCTCTCTCATGTTGTATAATAGGATCACGTTGTATAATAGGACATTGTTAATACAGTAATTGTATAATAATTGGAGTTTAGAGATGAGAATGTGTGGAGGAGTGTGTGTGTGTGTGTTGATGCAGTGAGCTCTCACAATGAGACCATTATGTGTCTGTAGTGATACGTGACAGAGCAGCTGGCCGAACAGCCACAGAACACACCCACTAAAAAACAAACAAAAATGCACTTCACACACACACACGCTCATTGTTACTGTGTGTTTTCTTTAAAGGGCTCCGCCATGACTGGAATGGGAAATACTTCCTAGAGACGGAGGGAAATTCCTCAGTTGTCAGATTTCAACCTCGCTCTGACACTGGGGTTCCCCTCCCTAAACGTGTCCTGTCTACAACCATTCCCCAAATATGTGTTCCACTCTCACTTGTTGACAATGTGAAAATCCAGCCTCCTGCATAACTGTGGGGCTGAGCTCACTGGGTCAAATCAGACAGATAATCTGAGAATGTAACCACTGTCGTGTTTATGGATGGGTATCTAGTGTTTACTTAAGTCTAATCACAGGGCACAAACAACAGCACACACACAAGGCCCTTGGGTTAAATGCGAGTAGACACATTTCAGTTGAATGCATTCAGTTGTACAACTGACTAGGTATCCCCCTTTCTCTTTCCTTTTCCTTACATGAGCCTGATTAGTCATAACGAGCCACTCCAGTGACTCACAGGAGAATGCAAACAGCCATAACAACAAGGACAGGGATCGGGGTAGGCAGTGTGTGTGACACTCTGGTCCCAGGTATGCCCCAGTCTGATGATGAATCTATGTAATCCTCAGACAGAGCATAGGCTGTGTGAAAGACACAACACACACACACTGACACACACACACACACACACAAAGAGCCAGGTGGCCATCAGGAGCAGCGTTATGCAGCACGTCTCGGCATGCGATCTCAGCCATCAGCATTCCGGGCAGGAATGAGTTGGCTCTGCCAGTAAGGGTGTGTGTCTCATGTTTTCTGTGTTTATGTGTGGGAGTGTTTGTGTGATTGAGTCAGTGAGTGAGTAATAGGTTCAAATAAAACTTGAAATCTTTTAAGTACTTTGAGCTTTTGCTTTAGCCATCTGGAGTGCGTGTGTTCGTCTTACGTTTACAGAAGTCCTGGGCCGTGTGGGGTCTCTGGGGGTCTCTGTAGAAGCCAGTCTTACAGCTCTGACAGTTGTGTCCCTCTGTGTTGTGTAGACACTCACACACACCTCCGCTGCGCTGGCCGGACTCCCGCCACACCAACCAATCAAAACTGCAGCTCTGGGCATGCCCGTTACACTTACACTCTATAGGGAGACAGGGTGGGACATCAGAATCACAGATATCTGTCAATCATCTCTAAACATTCACTGATTGGTCATCATCAATGGAAATTAGCACTGGCTGTAAGTGGGGCCATGTTTTTCAGGACCAGATCCAATGGAAATTAGCACTGGCTCTAAGTGGGGCCATGTTTTTCCTGACCAGATCCAATCCTCAGCTAAAACTCCTGGCCCTAGTGTATAGTGAATAGTAGTAGTGTCACTCACTCCTGCACTCATGTGGAGCCCCTGTGAGTCCGTCCGCAGGTTGCCATGGTCGGTCGTTGTAGAGCGGAGCGCAACGCTCACAGTGAACACCTGCAGTGTTGTGTCTACACACACACATCCCCTGAACCTGAGAGAGAGGAAGAGAGGAGAGAGGAAGAGAGGAAGAGAAGGAGAGAAGGAGAGAGGGAGAGGAAGGAGAGAGGGAGAGAAGGAGAGAGGGAGAGGAAGGGGGGCAAAGAGGTCAGTGTAAGGGAGAGAGCAGTTCCCACGTGAGAGCAGCAGCACCCCAGTCTAACCCCTGGGGGTCGGGGGGCTCCCCTGCCTGTTCTCTTTCAGGTCCTGTCCTGTAATTGCTGAATGGAGATTGATTGTTTGGCTTCATCGCTGGAAATGAGCACTGGCCTCGTGACGAAAGGGGCCTGAAAAGGACACAGTGTGCGCGTGTGTGTGTGTATGTGCGGAAATATGCAGTGCTGAGAGCACAATAACAGTCTCCTTGTCATTCCTGTGAGGTGGAATGTCATGCACGCGGGTTAATGATGTGCTCTAGGTGGGAGGTTGACAAGGCATCTGTGGTAGCTATTTATCTGTTTGGGTTACAGTGCCTCAGTGTGGGGAACACACACACACACACACACTGAACACAAACGCACACACACTCCAACCCCTGCGGTAGTTTCAGTTTCCCACGGTGTATGGCTATAGGGGCTGCTGCCCTCTACCTCTAAATGCCCTCTCCTCCTATACGCCTGTGCTGCACAGACACTCACACAGAGGGTTAAACACCAGCATGGGAGAGACCTGTAGCTACCAGAACTGGGACATATCCCCGGCCCTTGCCCTAACCCCATATCTCAAACTCAACCGGAGCCACTGTGCCAGCCCAAGACAAAACCCAAACCATATTCCATCAACCAGGAGAATGGAGGAAGATAAGGACAGATAGGTAAGACAGTGTGAGAAATGGAGAGGGAAGTGGATGTGATAGGTCTGGACTGGAGAGGGAAGTGGATGTGATAGGTCTGGACTGGAGAGGGAAGTGGATGTGATAGGTCTAGACTGGAGAGGGAAGTGGATGTGATAGGTCTAGACTGGAGAGGGAAGTGGATGTGATAGGTCTAGACTGGAGAGGGAAGTGGATGTGATAGGTCTGGACTGGAGAGGGAAGTGGATGTGATAGGTCTGGACTGGAGAGGGAAGTGGATGTGATAGGTCTGGACTGGAGAGGGAAGTGGATGTGATAGGTCTGGACTGGAGAGGGAAGTGGATGTGATAGGTCTGGACTGGAGAGGGAAGTGGATGTGATAGGTCTAGACTGGAGAGGGAAGTGGATGTGATAGGTCTGGACTGGAGAGGGAAGTGGATGTGATAGGTCTGGACTGGGCAAAGAAAAATTAAATGAGTGAAGGAACTCCTCAATAAAGCTGTGTACATGACTACATCAATGAGAATTATTATGGAAAAGGGGGAAGGAGGCGCGGGAAGGAGAGAAGAGAGGAGAAAGAGGGGTGAAGGAGAGGAGAGGAGAGGAGAGAGAGAGAGGGGGAAGGAGAGGAGAGGAGAGAGAGAGACATTGGCCAAGCTCCAGATAGCTGGTATTCCAAACAATTTGACATGTTTACCTGCGTGATATGGGACAATTAGCGCATACACATACACCACACACGCACAAATACAAACCCAGGCTCCCAGGCACACACACACCTGGACCTGTGAGCCCTGCAACACCACAACAACAAAAACACTGTTTCTCCCAAAAAACACTTTGGACTGCACTACACACTGTCTGGGCACTATTAGCCCACTGATTACTTGGTTTACTTACACACACACACACACACACACACACACACACACACACACACACACACACCAATGGCGGTCAGTGCCGTTTAAGATGAGGGAGGACGATTTTGTTTTTCATGAGCATGGCCTTATTTCTATTACAGCATATTGGATGACTCTCATTCATATTCCATTCATCCAGTTCAATGTAACAGCGATAGGTTTAGGCTACTACATGATACTCTAATTTTCCCTATACCCATCATGAGGTTGCTACAACCTAGGCTATGAATGAGAGTTTACAACGTAGGTGCACACAGGTCGAGAGACAAATTTGAGGTGACAGTGACACATGGACAGACAGTGACATTCAATACTGCATTGCAAACTCTTGCCTGCATCTAGCTGATATAGTGTGTAATCATTAGTCCAACAGTTGCAAACAAGAGTTTCTATTGGACAAATTCAGGTATGTTTATCCCTGTTTTGTTCTGTTTAAGAAACTTTTTCAACAGAATCGGCAGAATGAATAATAATAATAATATAATATATGCCATTTAGCAGACGCTTTTATCCAAAGCGACTTACAGTCATGTGTGCATAATTCTTTTTACGTATGGGTGGTCCCGGGGATCGAACCCACTACCCTGGCGGTACAAGCGCCGTGCTCTACCAATTGAGCTACAGAGGACCACGTATCATGCGTAAACACAGTTCACTTTCATAGCAGCCACGTTGTATTCCTTCTCGCATCCATGTGCTGTCCTCCTCTCACCACTTCCCTTTGCTTGTGGACTTCAATACACAACGCATCAGCTGTATGTGACCAGGCAAAAAAAACTTTCCAAGCCAAACCGCTACACACAGCCTACATTGTTGTCACCATATTAGCTAAAGTAACGTCATAGTCAGCATAGCTAATAGAACTAACGTGTTAGTAAACCCGCTACAATCATGCAGTAACGTTAGTGTACAGTCAGTAAGCAGTGACACCGGCGGGCCCCGGTGGCAATAAATTAGTAATACCAAAAGCTTACCTTGACTTGGAAGAGTTCCAGTGTTGTGTTGGAAAGTCATAGCCAGCTAGCTAATATAGCATCCCTCTGTTTGAGCAGGGTGTTTCAGTAGGCTAAACTAGCTAGCTGCATTTGCTAGCTAAGTAAGTGAAACTGAAAGTGAAAAAAATCTCTCTCTCTCTATTTCTCTCTAGCTTCTCCTTCATTTTGGAATAAATTAATTTGTTCAAAACTGTTCAACTATTGTCTTTCTCTCTTTTTGAGTCAACTACTCACCACATGTTATACACTGCAGTGCTAGCTAGCCATAGCTTATGCTTTCAGTACTAGATTAATTATCTGATCCTTTGATTGGGTGGACAACATGTCAGTTCATGCTGCAAGGCCTCTAATAGGCTGGAGGATGTCCTCTGGAAGTTGTCATAATTACTGTGTAAGTCTATGGAAGGGGGTGAGAACCATGAGCCTCCTAGGTTTTGTATTGAAGTCAATGTACCCAGAGGAGGACAGAAGCTAGCTGTCCTCCGGCTACACCATGGTGCTACCCTACAGAGTGCTGTTGAGGCTTCTGTAGACCTTCTTTGCATAATAGTGTGTTTTGATCCGTTTTTTGGTGACGTGATTATATTTAGTATAGTTTTATTTAAAAATTATAAAAATGTTAATGTTTTACAATTTTACATTTTATGAAATTCACTGAGGAGGATGGTCTTCCACTTCCTCCTTTGAGGATGACACACACACACACACACACACACACACACACACACACACACACACACAGTCTTGTACAGCTAACCTTCTGGGGACACACAATTCAGTCCCATTCAAAATCCTATTTTCCCTAACCCCTAACCTAACACTAACCATAACCCGTACTCTTACCCTAACCCTAACCCAAAAACCTAACCTTAACCCTAACCCTAAACCTAACCCTAGCTCCTAACCCTAACCCTAAACGTAATTCTAACCCTAACACTAATTCTAACCTTAACCCTAAACACACACACACACAGAGAGAGCTTAGTTTTCATGAATTTTCGAGAAGCCCCTAGCTGCAGCACACTTAAGGGGGCGGGGGCGGCTGGGGGCGGGGTCAGCCCGGGCCCACCACGCCCACCACATGGTTTCATTTGCTGAGGCTTTCCAGACAGACAAGCGATGGGCAGAGCTGGGTTCTTATAGCTCAATGGGTTCCTCTGGGCATGTTCAGTAAAAAAACGTTTTGGAACGTTGCAGACTCAAATGCCATGAATAGAACTGAAATGATTACTTAAATCAGAGAGGCATGTTTGTTCTACATAATACATTTATATCTGAACGTTGGCCAGCGATGTGTCTGTCATCCTGCTGAACGCGGCCACATTAACGATTAGCCACAAAAGTGGAATTTGCGGTTCGCCTTCAAAATAAAAGTCCCTCATCGAAAGCGATGCAAACATACAAATAGTGGATCGAATCATGCAATATTTGGACTAGATAATGCTAAACAAGATCGGAATGTTGTTACATAATTTAAGATGAAATACAATAATTAATTAGTTTGACAATAAGCCGAAAATACAGTTGAAATCATGGGTGCACAAAATCCAGGCTCCTGACCTGCTATTTTGTGGGGGGTTTTGAGCTGATCTTAACTTTTTTTGTAGATAATGTTTCCGCCATCGGTTCCTATGACTGATAAGAGCATCTGGACATCAGAACAGCAATCACTAACCTCGATTTGGATGAAGATTTCAGCTTCAATGAGTCGACAGCACAGGACATAATGCTCACACCGGACCAGGCCCTAAATCCCCTACACTCGGAAGAGAAAGAGACGGCAATATAGAGGCCGACGTGGGGGCACCCTGATGAAACTATGGGGGAGAGTAAATAAACCGCCTCTACCCTCTGTTCTATTGCCGAATGTACAATCACTGGAGACCAAACTGGACGAGTTCCGTTTGAGACTATCCTATCAACGGGACCTGAAGAACTGTAATATCCTATGTTTCTCTGAAACTTGGCCATACAAGGACATGGATAATATACAGTACCGTTCAAAATGTTGGGGTCACTTAGAAATATCCTTGTTTTCGAAAGAAAATCATTTTTTTTGTCCATTAAAATAACATCAAATTGATCAGAAATACAGTGTAGACATTGTTAATGTTGTAAATGGCTATTGTAGCTGGAAACGGCTGATTATTAATGGAATATCTAGATAGGCGTACAGAGGCCCATTATCAGCAACCATCAGTCCTGTGTTTCAATGGCACGTTGTGTATGCTAATCCAAGTTTATCAATTTAAAAGGCTAATTGATCATTAGAAAACCATTTTGCAATTATGTTAGCACAGCTGAAAACTGTTGTGCTGATTAAAGAAGCAATAAAACTGGCCTTCTTGAGACTAGTTGAGTATCTGGAGCATCAGCAATTGTGGGTTCGATTACAGGCTCAAAATGGCCAGAAACAAATAACTTTCTTCTGAAACTCATTAGTCTATTCTTGTTCTGAGAAATGAAGGCTATTCCATTCGAGAAATTGCCAAGAAACTGAAGATCTCGTACAACGCTGTGTACTACTCCCTTCACAGAACAGCGCAAACTGTCTCTAACCAGAATAGAAAGAGGAGTGGGAGGCCCCGGTGCACAACTGAGCAAGATAACAAATACATTAGAGTGTCTAGTTTGAGAAACAGACGCCTCACAGGTCCTCAACTGGCAGCTTCAATAAATAGTACCCGCAAAGCACCAGTCTCAACGTCAACAGTGAAGAGGCGACTCCGGGATGCTGACCTTCTAAGCAGAGTTGCAAAGAAAAAGTCCAGTGTCTGTGTTCTTTTGCCCATCTTAATCTTTTATTTTTATTGGCCAGTCTGAGATATGGCTTTTTCTTTGCAACTCTGCCTTGAAGGTCATCATCCCGGAGTCGCCTCTTCACTGTTGACGTTGAGACTGGTGTTTTGCGGGTACTATTTCTCGCATGGAATAGCCTTCATTTAATTTCATAAACCGGACAACTACATCCAACAAGAGTCAAGACAGAGGGATACACTAGCTTGAAACTTCTCATCGCGGATCTGGTAGAACAAAAAGCATGGCCAATTTTATTGATTCCCCCTGATGTTGGTTTATAAGGTTCTACTGTAGGTGACAGGGCAACATGTTGTGTGGACTAAAATACACTACGTGACCAAAAGTATGTGGACACCTACTCGTCGAACATATCATTCCAAAATTATGAGAATTAATATGGAGTTGGTCCCCCCTTTGCTGCTATAACAGCCTCCACTCTTCTGGGAAGGCTTTCCACTAGATGTTGGAACATTGCTGCGGGGATTTGCTTCCATTCAGCCACAAGAGCATTAGTGAGTTCGGGCACTGATGTTGGGCGATTAGGCCTGGCTCGCATTCGGAGTTCCAATTTATCCCAAAGGTGTTCATTGGGGTTGAGTTCAGGGCTCTGTGCAGGCCAGTCAAGTTCTTCCACACCGATCTCGACAAACCATTTCTGTATGGACCTCGCTTTGTGCACGGGGGCATTGTCATGCTGAAACAGGAAAGGGACTTCCCCAAATTGTTGCCACAAAGATGGAAGCACAGCATCGTCTAGAATGTAATTGTATGCTGTAGCGTTAAGATTTCCCTTCACTGGAACTAAGGGGCCTAACCGAACCATGAAAAAGCCCCAGACCATTATTCCTCCTCCACCAAACTTTACAGTTGGCACTATGCATTGGGGCAGGTACCGTTCTCCTGGCTTCCGCCAAACCTAGATTTGTCTGTCAGACTGCCAGATGGTGAAGCGTGATTCATCACTCCAGAGAACGCGTTTCCTCTGCTCCAGAGTCCAATGGCGGCGAGCTTTACACCACTCCAGCCGACGCTTGGCATTGCGTATGGTGATCTTAAGCTTGTGTGCAGCTGCTCGGCCATGAAAACCCATTTCATGAAGTTTGGATCTCGGTAGTGAGTGTTGCAACCGAAGACAGACGATTTTTATGCGCTATGCGCTTCAGCACTCCCGTTCTGTGAGCTTGTGTGGCCTACCACTTCGCGGCTGAGCCGTTGTTGCTCCTATACGTTTCCACTTCACAATAACAGCACTTACCGGGGCAGCTCTAGCAGGGCAGAAATTTGACAAACTGACTTGTTGTAAAGGTGGCATCCTATGACGGTGCCACGTTGAAAGTCACTGAGCTCTTTAGTAAGGCCATTCTACTGCCAATGTTTGTCTATGGAGATTGCATGGCTGTGTGCTCGATTTTATACACCTGTCAGCAACGGGGGTGGCTGAAATAGCCGAATCCACTAATTTGAAGGGGTGTCCACACTTTCCCACTTGGACAAAAGGAACACCTACGTGAGAATGCTGTTTATTGACTACAGCTCAGCGTTCAACACCATAGTGCCCTCCAATCTCATCACTAAGCCAAGGACCCTGGGACTGAACACCTCCCTCTGCAACTGGATCCTGGACTTCCTGACAGGACGCCCCCAGGTGGTGAGGGTAGGCAACAACACATCCGCCACGCTGACCCTTAACACGGGGGCCCCTCAGGGGTGCATGCTTAGTCCCCTCCTGTACTCCCTGTTCACCCACGACTGCATGGCTGCTCATGACTCCAACACCATCATTGAGATTGCCAACTACATGAAGGTGGTAGGCCTGATCACCGATGACGCTGAGACAGCCTACAGGGAGGAGGTCAGAGACCTGATAGTGTGGTGCCCGGACAACAACCTCTCCCTCAATGTCAGCAAGACAAAGGAGCTGATCGTGGACTATAGGAAACGGAGGGCTGAGCACGCCCCCATCCACATCAATGGGGCTGTAGTGGAGCGGGTCGAGAGCTTCAAGTTCCTCGGTGTCCACATCTCGAAAGATCTATCATGGTCCAAACACACCAACACAGTCATGAAGAGGGCATGACAACGCCTCTTCCCCCTCAGGATTCTGAAAAGATTTGAGACACAGAGGACAGGCATTCCTAGTTATATGTACATATCTACCTCAATTACCTCGTACCCTTGCACATCGACTCGGGAACTGGTACCCCTTGTTTATAGCCAAGTTATCGTTAATCATTGTGTATTTATTATTACTTTCATTATTATGTGTTTTATTTTTCTATTATTTCTCTATTTTCTTTCTCTCTGCATTGTTGGGAAGGGCCTGTAAGTAAGCATTTCACTGTTAGTCCACACCTGTTGTTTACAACAACAAAAAAGGTTTGAAATCCCACTGTGGATGTATTAGACTGCATAATTGCTTTGGGGGCATACTCATGCACTGTACAGCCTTACCCATGGATTGTGCACCCATGAAACGGGGTATCAGCCTACTTAGTGACACCCACAGAAAACAATTCTCAAGAGTCTACACAAATATTAGCGTCTTCGCTCTAACTCCCGAGTGGCGCAGTGGTCTAAGGCACTGCATCGCAGTGCTAGCTGTGCCACTAGACTCAGGCTCTGTCGTAGCTGGCCGCGACCGGGAGACCCATGGGGCGGCGCACAATTGGCCCAGCGTCGTCCAGTGTAGGGGAGGGAATGGCCGGCAGGGATGTAGCTCATTTGGTAGAGCATGGCGTTTGTAACGCCAGGGTTGTGGGTTCGATTCCCACGGGGGGCCAGTATAAAAAAATATAAAATATGCACTCACTAACTGTAAGTCGCTCTGGATAAGAGCGTCTGCTAAATGACTAAAATGTAAATGTATTGCAGAACTCTGAAACAACTGTGAAATGAGCCACATTAGCTCACCAGTCCACCTATTGTGTATTTGACATTCAGATCTAATGTGTCTCGTTTCAGAGTCCTGCAATAGAGCTAAGATGCTAATATTTGTGCAAACTCTACATAGTTATGTTCTGTGGGTGTCATTGAGTAGGCTGATACCCCATTTAATTGGTGCACAATCCATAGATAAGGCTGTACAGTGCATATTAGTATGCCCCCAAAGCAATTATGCAGTCTAATACATCCACAGTGGGATTTCAACCGTTTTTTCTGTTTATTGTCAAACAAATTAATTATTGTATTTTATATTAAATTATGTAACAACTTTCCAACCTTGTTTAGCATTATCTAGTCCAAATATAGCATGATTCCACTATTTGTATTAGTTTGCATCACTTTCAATTAGAGACTTTTATTTTGAATGCAAACCGCAAATTCCACTACTCCACACACAGAGGACAGGCATCAGTGACCATAGCAACGTAGTAAACTAAAATGTTCGATGTGTGAAAAAGTGAATTGCTTTAACAGAATAAGCATGCATAAAAAGTATTTACAGGCAACAGAAATGATTAACCCAAAAATGTATTTTTATTGTTAGACGTGACTCTGTAAACCTCTAATGTTAGCCATCTAACTACCTAGCTGCTCTGTCACATATATCTGCTGACATATCACCACGCAGAGCGAGGTGAAATGCGGATGCGCCTCAATCAATACAAATATATTCCCATTCAAAATCCTATTTTCCCTAACCCTTAACCTAACTCTAACCTAAACCTCAAACCCCTAACCCTAACTCCTGACCTAAAACCTAACCCTAATCTTAACCCTAACCTTAGCCCCAAACCCTAAACCTAACCCTTAAGCCTAAAATAGCATTTTAACAAATTCAAAAAAAAAGTCATGACTTTTCAAAAAGTTGATTGTTTTCCTACCTTGTCAGGACATTCTGGTCCTGATTAGGTAGGAAAACATGAACACAAACTCACACCCTCCCGTCTTGTCTGAGTGTGTTTACAGGCTTGTAATCTCTCCTCACTGTCTTGTCGTGCTCTGGTTGTTTGGGTTTGGTAGATATGACCGTCCTGGGTCGAAACAGAGACAGAAAACAAACTGCTGATAGAGATAGAGATAGAGAGAGAGAGAGAGAGAGAGAGAGAGAGAGAGAGAGAGAGAGAGAGAGAGAGAGAGAGAGAGAGAGAGAGAGAGAGAGAGAGAGGGAAAGTACTTATATAACCTCATACCGTCCCCCGTCTCAACGCTTGTTTACCCAACTCTCCCGCATATCACACGACACACCAACGTTCCTACAACGTTAGGTCATGTTGTGTTGTGATATAACCTAATGTTTAGAATATCAACATTAAAAAGCTTAAAACACATTCTGAGGATGCTTTTGTAGCCTAGATAGAGTCAAGTCCAAACTAGGTTAACAAGGTGTAGCCCACTGGGTTACCAGATAAGCCAGTGATATTATGGAGGAGGATGAGAAACAGACTCCTCTGATTACAGTGGGCTCACACAGAGGAGACAGACTGACCGGCTGCAACCATACAGGCTCCTAGATACTGTAATACTGCCACAGACACTGCTATTGTGGGCTTAACACTGATACACAAAGTTATAGTTACCCACAGTCAGACAGTCTCTCTGTGTCTATGTCTCTGTCTCCGTGTCTGCAGTCTAAAGGTTCTGTTGTCACACTCATCACACTCACTTTCCCTGCTCTCTGGGCCTGCTGATTGCAATAGAATAGGCGCTCTGCTTCAAAAGGCGTCGGGCGGAACTGCTTGTGGAGATGGCAGAGATAGGCGTTCCACTGGCAGTCTGAAATGCTCACTGCATCTCTAATGTCCATCTACACACTGTGAATGAGCCATGTCTATTCACACCATTATCAGCACGCACGCGCACACACACACGCACGCCTGCACACACACACACACGCCTGCACACACACACACACACAAACACAAGCTTCTTTAGACTTCATCACCATCATTAGCCCAGTGCTGAATCAATATCAACATCTCCTTTGTAATCTGGATCACAGGAAAGGCAGCTCTTTATCTACCCAGACAGAGCAAACCCAGGACAGGAAGTGGGACAGAGAAAGGTGATAGCCCTCATCACTATGCCAATGATTGATACACATAACGCACGCATGCACACGGGTATGCACACACTTACACACACAGACAGTCAGATACACAGACACAAACACACACACACACACACTCACCACGTGGTTGGTTCTGTCCCTGACAGGCCGGTAGCCGGGTGCAGGGACACACTGCTCGGCGTGCCCATTGCAGAAGCAGCTGCCCTTCACGATGAGGTCATAGATGGCGAAGTGCTGGGTGGGCGGGGCTCCAGCGGTGGGATCTTTGACCTGGCAGGGACAGGATTGGCGCTCCAGCAGACGTATGCGCACGTTGGTCACCCTCAGCTGCTCCTGGCCTGACGCCCCATACGGGTCAAGAGATTCCCATTGGGGGAGGGCACGGTAGATAACCTGTCAATCAACCAGTCAGTCAGTAATGCTTCAAAATGATACGAGTTAGTGGCAATATATTATTATGCAAGACTTGGTGACAACACATCTGTTTTTCTGCACCTCTCTCTGTCTCTCTTTCTTTCTTTCTCTCTGAGTCTTGCATCCCTAAACTGATGATCCCTCCATATTACCCCCCAGCCCATGCACAACTGCCATCACCCCGGTGACTGCTCCTATGGCAACCTGCTTACACTGCTGCTGTTGTTGAGGGTAAAGTGTGTTCCTGAGAGGGCTGTGTGTTTCTGCCACAGATATCACTGGGGCAAAAGTGTGTGTGTGGGAGTGTGTGTGTGTGTGTGTTACAAGGGGAGTGTGTGTGTTTAAGGGGAGTTTGTTGACATTGAGGGAAGTGTCTGATACTGGGAGGGTGTGTTATTGGTGGAGAGTATATATCCCTGACATAGATATAATTGGGTGAGGGGTGTGTGTGTGTTTGTTTTTGGGAGTTGACTGTGTGAGTCGAGCCCATGCTGTGTCCCCATTGGTTGTATGGCTGGCCTGGGGTGTGATGGGAGGAGCACTATTAAGTTCCCTGTTGTTGGAATAGGTCACAGAGTCACAGCATTGTGTTCCGCAATTAAGGGAACACAACCAATAGGGCAAGGGGCGCCAGTCCGCGGGAGAGGAGGACGAGACAAAGAGTGGGCGAGAGATGCAGCCCCACATAACTCAGCCCTGGACAAAGGCTCTGCGACAGTCCGGCGACACTGCAGCAACACTGTCACACACACAAACACATCCCCAATGGACAATCCCAAACTCCACACACAACATCCAATGAACATTCCCAACTACACACACACTTCCCCAATCAACATTCCCAAACCCTGCAAAAATTCCACAAGAGGCCTTCCGGATGCTCCAGCTGCAGGCAAAGGGTACAGACTTCATGCAAACCACACAACGAATGCAAACTCTAACACACACATACAAACAAACAAATTAAGTATCTCATTAAAGTTTTTCGTGCATATGAAATGTAAAGTCATTGTCTGGGTTTGGTCTCTCTGCCTAACTATAGAAACAGAGAGAGCAGTCCCACAGAAACATTATTCAGGGGAGCATGTGGCACTTCTACGCTCATAATCTTTTCTTCCTGTTAGTCTGAAAAACAGTGTAAATCTGGCTTTAACAGCCCTAATTCCATCAAAGCACTGTGGACTGTAATCTGGTAAACAGGAACAATGGGCATTGATAGAGAGAGAGAGAGAGAGAGAGAGGAGAGAGAGGAGAGAGAGAGAGAGAGAGAGAGGAGGGGGATGGGCCGTCTCGCCTGCAGGACCAACTTCCATCAGGGCAACGGCGCTTCCTCCCTGACAGACAGACAGACAGAGAGAGCTGTGTGTGTGCGTGCGCGCCAATGTGTGTGTGTGGCTTGTTTGGACGGCTCCCTCCCTAAGGAGGTCACAGTCTCTATAACAACACACACACATTCTTCCAGCCCAGCTGACCTCATAAATAACACAAGGAGCCCTGAGCTCACCAACAGAGAGACTATCTAGACCTCTTCAGCTAGTACCTGAACTCACAAGCCTCTCATGTTTTCCCCCATTCAGACGAAACATGTTCAGCTCTCAGCACAAGAGATGACATGCTTTTTAATGTTCATCAGATAAAGGAGGGGGAAAGCTGAGAATACCTTCTCCCTCACTGTATCGCTCCAAGCTAAGACACTCCTCCTCCTCCTTCCTTGTTGCTATCCATCACAGCTAAACACTTATCTGATTGCAGGAGCCCAAACACTTAACACTGACTAAACACACACACACACGTGTGGATATACGCAAACACCTACACACAGTCACCTACTCGACACATAATTGTTACACCAGTTAAGCTCAAACACTCAATACGTGTCACAAACACACACAAACATGCACTTGACACATTGAGCTAGTAGGTGAAAGACGACAGGGTAAGGCATTTTTGTGTCTGCACCTTGGACCTCTGTATGAACATAAGGACACAGAGCACAGCTCTCAGCTCCCAGGGTAAAGCATACACACACCGTTCTGTACATGCCTTGCTGTCATCACAAACAGGCCACAGACAGTTGAGCTGTCAGTTGGCATTATGGTTTTACTTAATGATGAACATCACAAGATAAATACAGTAGCCATAGTGATAGAGAGAGTGGATGATGGTTTAGTATAGCAGGCTCTGTGATGAGGAGCTGAAAGGACTCTGGAGTCTTGACCCCTCCCCTGACCTTAGGGTCATCAGACAGAGGTTAGAGGGTAAAGGTCATGCTACTATCACAGTGTCTCGCTGCTTCCCTCACACACACAAAAACACACAAGCATTCACACACATACATGCATTGCACGCACATCACAACAGTATCTTATAGTAGCTGGCTCCCTCAAACAAACACACACACGTTCACATGCTCACAATTGCATGGACACACACACACACACACACACACACACACACACACCACTCACAGGGGAAGACTGCTTTTGGATGTACGATAAAGCGGGTCATAAAAGATGACAGGATTATATGTAGGGAATCCTACCGGGGGAAAGCCTGTGGAGCAGTGCCATTACAGAGTCAACATGCACTACATCAGGGATCATCAACTAGATTCAGCCGCGGGCCGTTTTTTTCTTAAGTGGATGGTCGGGGGGATGGAACATAATTGGATATAATTTGTAGACTGAAAATTGACCAAACAGATATAATATTTGACTAAAATATAATAATTTCAAACCATGCTTACATTTGTTTATGATCACGTGTATCTCTATTATGTGTGGGAATACTTGGCAACAGATTTCCAAAAAACAACAACAACAAAATATATATATACATAATTTTGTTTAAATTCATGTTATTTCTTTTTCAAAAACTTGGGGGTCCAAATAAAACCACCAAATTGGGCCTGTGGTCTGCCAATTGGGGAACCCTGCACTACATGAGCGCCCTGCACTGCCTTGGTAGGAGCTGAAACCCCTCACACACTGTTTCAGTTAGACATCAAGAAGCTGCCAGGAACCCTTTCGTGCCACATAATCCCCACACCCACCTGATAACCACCCTTCTGTAGTAGTAACACTATCCTCCATAGTGCTGCTGCTAGCTTGGGTACTATGGACTACCCTGGCTGTAGAGAGCTGTAGAGAGGTACTGTGTGTGCAGACTGGAGTTCCAGCCCAGCACTAACACACCTGATTAAACTCATCACGGTTTTGATTAGTACCTGTATTTAGATTAGAGACCCATGATTTAGACACACAGGGGAATATGCAGGTTAGCTTTATGAATGGGGGGAAGTGGAGTGGACACTCCTGTGTGTAGTACAGTAGCCAACATCTATCATCCTTCCTTCCAGCTGTTCATCCGTCCATAAGTAAGGTACCATAACAGGACACATCCTGGACGGCTAGAGGTGTGAGTCTGAGCTGCTGTCTGGACTAACACCTGGTTCTGTCTCAGACAGTCCTGTCTGTCTGTCTGCCTCTGTACACACACACACGCACACCACACACACACAAACACACAAGCCCTCCTCAATCCCTCCTTACCTCTCCCCTGGTACAGGGGTAAGCTCCAGAGTATTTGGAGGTGCAGGGGGCCCCGTCCAGCACTGCCTTTCCCTCCTCCAGTCCAAAGGTAGCACTACAGTTCCTGGCGTAGTACTGCAATGTCTTCCAGGTCTGCCCGAAGTCCTGCGAGCGCTCCAGTGTCATGGCGGTGGGGCGGGGCGAGCGGAACACCATGATCAGGTGGGTGAAGATGAACTCCGCCTCCAGATCCAGCTGCAGAGTCTCAGACTCCGCTTCCCCCGCCGACTGCCACCAGGTGTTGGGGTGGCGGAAGGAGGAGTCGGCCATGGCTGCAGCCAGGTGGGCCTGCAGGGGGAGGGCCGCGTTGCACTCCCCACACCTGGCCGGGGGGCAGGGCTCTCTGGAGGAGGAGGGGTCAGAGTAGGAGCAGTAGGGCTCGGTGCCCTTGTAGCCACATACGGTCTGGGTCAGGACCCTGCGGCCTAGCACCAGATTGCCCATTCGGGGGTTACACGCCTGGCTCTCACAGTGAGGGGCTACACCCCCTACACGACCCACATCTATAGGAAGGGAGAGAGTACAGGTTATAGGAGGAGGATGAGGAGAAGGAGGAGGAGGGTGAGGTTGTGTGTGTGGTGTGTGTGGGTCGGTGTGTCTGTAATCTAAACTTGAATCTAAAATCTTACAAGAGAGTTAGACAGAACCGGGGTGGCATTGTGCACCTGCTGTTGACTTGAATGCTTCAATGTGGACTTTGACACAGTTACAGTTTTGGGCAGCTATGGGAGGAGGATGTGCACTCCAGACAAGTTCCAGATGCATTGCACATGGGATTTAAGAACACCCCCTGGGCAACACTGCCATCTTTAAGAGCCATCCCCGCTGCCAACATGCACACAGGGGCTGTTCTGTTCACAACAGGGGTTTCATGTTTTTATGTAACACAACAACTCTGTTTATAATGTAGGCAGGTATTCAAAATCCATTTTTGGCAGTCAACAATGGATGGTAGCTCACAGTAGCCTTCATTGTTATGGGTCTTTTTAGGTTATTACATAGTTATAAAAACATATCGGTATCTTTGTGTTTCGTTTGAAAACATTCTGCATGATAGAGAAAATCTCAATGATATCATGAGACACGGGTTTCACCTCCACACAAATAGAATGTTGACCCGAGGTCGGAGCGTGAGGAAATACTTCTGTCACCGTTGCTGCACTTGTCACGCGTATTGTTCGGAGACAGCGGGAACGCTACATTGTTGCACACAATGCATACACTGCCTTTGAATCAAATTCGACTAGGAGCAGGGTTTTAAAAAAAAGAAAAAGTACAAACCTGCAAGAATACCAGATAGTCCAGTGCAGGTAAAAACAGCAAACAAAGTCCACATCATAGTTCCGACCCAAGAGCAAGTGTTACCAAGAAGAGGTTAGCCAATGAGAGAACTCGAGAGCAGCCCTGTGAATAGGCAACGCGACAGCTCGTTTGAGTTTTACAAGTGGCAAATAGATGCAAAATTTCCTCCGCGAATGTAAAGCCAAGGTTCAAAGCCAATGTAGGCTATACTTTCCCTTTCAACAACAATCAGATATGATCAAAGAAGAACAAAGACCCCAGTTTGACAACACAGCCGGTTCAGACACCCAGGGAAAAGTATTCCATTATGCCGCATTTACTTCTGCAAAAGCCAGGACTGATCTGCGTTCTCTCGTATTCGTCGGGACCTTCTACCTTACAGTTGATTTGCTTGCTAATAGCCTGAAGATATACTGTGAATCTACTATGGAATACTGAGAGAGTGACAGCGGGCTTGCGGCTCCGCCCCGTCTCTTTGCATTTTTCTCTTTAAAGGAACATTCCTGCTAGTCAGGAGCCAGTTAGTGTCAGGTCAGAGCTGGCACACTACGGTTATCCAAACCTCTCCAATCCACAGACACTCATCCGGATTAAAAATTAAATGCAGTAAAGTTTATTGACACTTTGCGTAAACAAACCAAAGGAACGCAGAATAACAAAGACCAGGGTCCAGAATTATTGAGGCTAATGAGCTGAAGAGGATTCACATTGGGGGAAATAATTGCCGCCTTTTAGAAAGGCGACTCCAACCACGTTTCCATCCAACCTTTTTATGCGAGTAAAGTAGGCCTACATGTCGGATAAAAAAAATTCACAACAGGCCTGATGGAAACAGCTACTTTTGTCGGTAAACTTTCCAAATGTTAACAAAACAAAATAGGTTGGATATTTTTGTGTAGGTAAAATGTATTATGCGAGAAATGGAGGTGGAAACGCTTTTATGCGCAAATATTGATATAACCATCATATCGAAGTAACCTTGGAGTCACGGGATTACATGTTTGTGTAGTCCTACTCCGACTCGGGAAAGCGTGCAGATTATTAGGCTACAGATTAAAGACTACAGATTAAAAAAATTATGATGAACTTCACAGGGTGGTGAAAGTGCAAGGTGATGAGCTTGATCCTACTTTCCAATAAATATTGAGGATCTTATTCTGTTGACTTGATGTTTCCATGCTTGGCTGCCGATTTAACAAATTAAAATAATTTGGCCATAGTAATCTTATCATGTAGACTATACCCACAACTGTATCTGCGAGCTGTTGGCTAGAGCACACATGCCAATACCAGAGTGGGCACATTCGCTATATAACACAACATGTTTTGTGACATCAGTAGAGTTGAAAATACAATGGAAACCCATTTAACTTGTATTTTTTATTTGTAAGAAATTTAACCACATTATTTTTATGGAAACCCATAATATTAACTTGAATTTTTATGTGAGTTTTATTCTGTCACCTGCTAGTGAACTTTAAGTACCAGTGTTTCCAGATTTCTATGAAATATGAGCTATAATTACTTACAATATGAGTGAAATCGTTTTCCTTCCAAGATGTTTAATAAATTATGTTAAAAAGCAACTTTTCTGTGTTGGAATGGTGTGGGCATACCCCAACAACAGAATGGTGTGTGTGTAATGGACATTATAAATATTCACGCAAGTAGACGGCTGATTGGCCAGCTCATCCTAATCTAGAACGCTGATTGGCCAGCTCATCCTCCTCAGGGAGATGACATCATCTTCTATGAGGAAATAGCAAGCATCTGTTTGAGATACAAGTTTGAGGTGGGGGTTTTGAGGAGTTTTTTCTCCAATTTATGCTTTGGCCACAGTAGGACGAGTCAACGCCATGAATATTAACTTCTAAAAGTGAAATTTCCACTGGGCAGTTACTTTAAAATTGTGGAGTTTGGTCACTTGGCTGAATACACTTCTGCATGGGCTATGTTGACAATATGCTACTGATGGCCTATCCCAACAAAATCCCAGATAATTGGAGTGGAATGCAAGCCAATTGAGATTTATGAACTGATCGGTTTCTGCAGTACCAATTAATTAATGAACAACGCTGCCCTGTGCAGAGCAGTTTATAACAGGGGTTGGCCTTTTAATTCCTAGATTAATTTTTAATAGCCTACCAAAGTCCTGCTTCCCGTTTCCAAAGGACTCTTAAAGGGATACTTTGGAATTTTGGCAAAGAGTTCCCCAGAGTCAGATGAACTTGTGGATACCATTTTCAGGTCTCTGTGTCCATTATGAAGGAAGTTAGAGGTAGTTTTCGAGCCAACGCTTACTAGTGTTAGCGCAATGACTGGAGGTCCTCTGTAGCTCAGCTGGTAGAGCACGGCGCTTGTAACGCCAAGGTAGTGGGTTCGATCCCCGGGACCACCCATACACAAAAAAATGTATGCACGCATGACTGTAAGTCGCTTTGGATAAAAGCGTCTGCTAAATGGCATATTATATTATTAAGTCTATAGGTATCTGCTAGCATCCACTAGTGCTAGTTAGCAACTTCCTTCAAACTGCACGCAGAGACATACAAATGGTATCCACAAGTTCATCTGACTCAGGGGAAATCGATAAAGGGCATTGCCAAAATCCTGAAATATCCCTTTAATAATGACCCCAATAAATCTTATTGTCTAACATTATAGGCCCAATCTCAATAATAATATAACTTCTCATCTTGTCATTAGGCCTATATAAAAGTGTAGTTGGTGACAGTGCTGCTGAGGATATGGGGTTTGATTGTAGCATATTCTCTCTCTGCAATAGGCTACAAACTTCCAAATATTGTGAATTTTGAACTAAATCAATACATGTTGCCCCCGTGTGGTCAGTGCTGGTAATGAGCATTATACAGTAGTACAGTAAAGTCATGGAGCTGCATTGTCCTGCTCTAATTCTTTGACAGGCCCTCAACCTGCCTCATCTTTGCTGCTTTCTGCTTCACCTCAATGAGCCCAGCATGGCTACTCTTCATGGAGCACACCAGAGCAGACATGCTGTCTAATATCTCTCATTCTCTGTCTTGCTGAGAGCTCTAGTTCTCCTGGATCATATGCTGCACTTCTGTTTCCATCTTCCCCATGACTCTTCATCCCTGCACATCTATTACACATTAGACAATGGAACATGTCAGTGTTATCCTAGGTCATGCATGTAGCAGCTCATGATTAGTGATAGTTTAACTATCCTTTAACAGTATAAGAGTTTTCCCATGATACATCCCTAGGTGTATGTCTGTCCATACAACCAGACAGACACACACACACACACACTCACATACACACACTAACACACCTGAACATGCTCACACAAACATTAACAAGAATAGTATAATGACGTAAAGACATCAGTATTTCAGTAATGTAAAGAGGGTTTAGTGTAATTTCAGAGGAATTTCCATTGAAACCATCCCTTGCTGTTGGAAGTGTTACTCATGATCTCAAGTTCAAACTTGCCAAATGGTTTAGTAACAGTCGAATGCTTCAAGACAGAAAAATGGATGAGAGCATCCTCCAGACTGCCAGTGCGTAAAAAGAGAGCCGCCCAGAGTCCAGACAGACCCAGATATGACAGTTTACCTCTATGCCATGAGTTCTTCGTGCAATTCCGGACAAAATGTATTAATTTATTGAAAATAAATAAATAGTTTCTTAAATTGCTGAAAATTATACATTTCAAATAAATATTTTATTTGAAATGAAATTCAGATTTAAAATCTTGTTTCAAATGTTTTTAATTCAGTCACAATGACCTTGGACACCAGTGGTTTCCATTGATGGGTCGCTCCTCCTGGGGCATGACCGAAGACTGGGTTGTGGCTTGAAAACGTTGAATTTGTTTATTTGCTTCGTCACATAGAAATGAGTAAAGCTTTATCTAGGTAGATTACATCCATTGATAGTAAATAAGTCACATCATAGCCCAAATCTTTTTGGGAAGTGGACCGAAGAGCAGTACTTAACACGATAAGCACTCCCCATGCGTTATCATTTGTTGACTTCTGTAACCGTAAAAGCCTGTCACGCCCTGGCCTTGAGAGGCCGGTTGTCTTTAGTTGGTTTGGTCAGGGCGTGAGTTTCTATGTGTATATCTATGGTTAGTTCTAGGTTTATATTTCTATGTTTGGCCGGGTGTGATTCCCAATCAGAGGCAGCTGTCGCTCGTTGTCTCTGATTGGGGATC